TTCAAATTCTGTATTCTATAATAACGCCCCTTGCGGTATGTGAGTGACTGCGAGTTTGTACATTCATTCCGGCGCTATTTTTTTGTATATATCACATGACCATGCGTCACGTGTCCGTACACTGGAAATATACAACAGCATAATGTGAATGGTTTCCAAACCAGACGTGATATATTTGTAACAAAACTGTCAACTTAATCAAAGAAAAAGGCCGCTCTGTTGTATTTTTCGCGCCTCAGTGTTGCCAACAAGTCGTGTATTTCCGACAAGGCGCTTGAACACAACAGGCAAAACTTTCTCAAGATCATATCGCGATGAAAACGTGAATTTGATCAAAGCGGGAGGTATTAAATCTTGGGTTTGACTAGCCCATAAAAAAATTATAACCAATTTATTTTGTAAAGAGTTCATCCCAATAGGCTATGTGGCATTTTAGCGGGTGCTTGCAAAGGACAGCTTTTTGTGCACCTAAAAGTAATTAATGATCCCATCAATGGAAATTTATGGTGTGCATTCCATAGCAAAAAGATGCGCTCATGCAGATAGCGGGGCGTTGCTGACTTCTATACCGGGCTCAGAGTCAATGTCCCCGCGGAAGGTCATCCGTCAGACACGGTCGGCGAAGGCTACGTCATGGTTTATGGCAATTTATAGACGGAACAACAATCACGGTAAACCGCAGCAAACACAGCCGCAAAAGCCTAGACCTCCGTCGATCAGAAGTCACTGATGTGGTTATCAGTATGGACATATTGGAGTGCTGAGCCTTTACCATCACCACCCAAAAAGGAGAGTGATCTGCCTAGCCCCATGAGTGCTTTTCCGATGTCACCGCCACGCCGTGTTTGGGCTGAGCTTGAATGAGTTCTCTTTGTTGATTGTTTTTCCGAGATGGTGTTGCTTTCTCACGCTATGAGACAAATTTTAGTCATATCGGATGCCTTATTTACGAAATGTCCCAATTTGTGATTACAGGGTGGCAAGTATAACCGTTTGATAAAAGGTGCTCATTCAGGGATCCTGTAACTTGTAGGAATTATTGAGGGAGGATATTTCACTATCTCTGTTTGATCGCCTATCAGAAAAACCGCTTCGGAAGATGTGACTGTTTAACTAGTGTACTTAAGGTCACCACACAGTGGGTCGCGATGTTCATGAGTTAGTACCCCCAAAAAATCGTTTTATTTTTTAAAATGACGTTTGACCCAAATTTAATTTCCAATGTGATTTCTTAGAAATAATGTTTCTTAGAGGTTTTCTGATCAGTTCATATACTTTTAGTACCTTTTTGAGCAGTTTGAAGTGGACAAACATCGATAAAGTAAACAATACCGTCACAGTCTCACTGAACGCTCTGGATGATAAACCTTGCTTTGGCACTGTTCCCACGACCTTCCTGTACGGCTGTACGATATTCGAATTCCAACAACACTTCGATAACGGCGTTGGAATCGATTCTTATACCCTTCACGTAACAGTGCTGCGTGTTGCTATTAAGAATCGATACCCGTCAGTTTTGCATTCGGCCTCTAACACAAGTATCGCTTTCAAGAGCATGCATCGTCATCACCGTTTCGCAGGTGGGGTCAGGCTGGGTCGTTTTAGGGAGCCTTTTTACCTGGCGATACGGTATAAGACCGTTACGGTAACACAACAGGTGTGTTGCTTGAGATGATGATGGACACAGATTGTACCTGGCACAAACCAAAAAAGAAATTCTCACTTGTGGCACATTCCGCGGAATGCACACGAAAAATGTGGCCCTAAAAGCCTATATGCAAGATCACTAATGTGCACTTTGTCTATAGTGGCTTTCGGTGTTACTGGGAGACGGAGGAACAGCTATGGACTTCGGGGCCCCTTACGAAGCAAAGCTGAAATATTGATAGTATTGAAACCACACATGTGTCCGAAGAGGGGCAATGTTCCCATACCTGTCTTTTCCTCGAGCAACTTTGTGGAGGGCCAAAAACATCGAATTGGTAGAGTTATATCAAAACCTAAACACACAAGTCTGGTAACTAGATATACAGTTAACTATAAGTTTCCCCCAAAATTACCTAAGATTCAAAGTGGTTGATTGCTATAGATGACCTAGATGAAGCAAGATATAATTCTTTACTGAAACATCCAAATCTAACCTTATATAATCCAGGTTTATCTGAAGTCGATTTCCTTATTGTAATTCACAATAAATGCAGGCCGAAGTTTAAAAATAAGGGTTTTTGTAATTGCATCGAGAATAAACGGATATAGGTATGATCCATGATTAATATTTGATTCAGATCGAAATTTAAGTTGTCTGGTTCTTGGAATTTCTTTCATCGGTCTAACTCATCTCTGCCCACCTATAGGCCTACCCGACTATAAACAGCAGTGACCTGAATTTCGGAAGTACATTGCAAAGACTGGTCACCATCTGGACTAGAAAAAGTCGTTATACATGTATACCTTTAGTCTTTACTTTGGTCTTTCACATCCTTGATTTTCTGTAACAATGTCACAGTTTTTTCCCCCAGATGCATGCCTGCTTTGTAAAATAAACTGTTCCCACTTGTTGTATATTTTTGTACCGTCTAATGTGCACGTTGCTGCTGATCGTATTATGTGGTGAGTGTTGGAACTTCGGCGATTTGAGCCTAATAAAACATAGACGTAATAAAAAACAAGCCAGATTTGTTTTCTAAGTTTGGAAGTGAAGTATTGTATTGATACTACAGTGCAATACATTTGAAGGATAATTTGTTTGTCTTCAGATGTTTCAAAATTTTAAGGGATATCTGTCAGACAGTGCGGACGGTCCAGCTGGACGGAATTGTGGGGTGATGGCATTGTGTTCCCTTTGTCCCTATTTCTAAACATTCTCTTCTGGGGTCATGTTTTTCTATTGTAAAAAAAAGTGGGGTGATGTGTCCTGAAAGGAACATCACCCCACAAGTGGGGTATGGTCAGAACGGCAAATGTGGCACATTTTAATTAACAAACCTCGCTCTCGTATAATCTCTTGTGTCATTATATCCCGCCAAACTTAGGCCTATTCGTGGAGTCTCGCAGATCGGACGACAGGCACTGCGCGCATAGAGATAGGATCGATCGTACAGGGACGAGGTTGTTATAACGGGGAAGGGGGTATTAGGAGGGAGGTCTACTTAATTTAAATTGAACATGTAGTGGGATAAATATATTTTTAAATGTCAAAAAAGTAGCAGTTGATCGTATATAATACTGGTGTTCTGATTCACGTGTCGGACGTGGCTGGAAATAATCCCATTGATACAGTGGGGCAAGGACCTAAAGGGCAATTATTTCCCGCCAACTCCGCCCACCATTTTGCAAGACCTGGCTTTCTATTTTGCCAAGTGCGGGGTACAAAACTCCAATCCAAACCAACCATCAATTTTAGTTGGATTTGTGCTACTTCGTATCTTTAATTTACATGGCTTGGGGCAGACGCGGCCTGGTGGCTCTCTGGTTGTCTATTATTAAACCTAAGCCTATAGGTACGGCGCTTTTCAAAAAAAACACACACAATAAACGATTGTAACTGGTGTGGTTTTGAAAACCAAATTGCTTGGAAGAGAAGGGGATGGCCTAAGCGATCATTTTGTGAAGATGAAGAAGAAAGAGATATTTTGATGAATGATCGTATTGGCACCAGGAAGTGTAGCTGTGAATGCATGCAGCCCGTCGCGTCAATTCCACTCTTGCGGAAAAAAAGTAGGGGACGCATCATAGGTCCATGCTCCATGCTTCTGACAAAACACAAGACTCATCCCCCTTTTTCCCCCTTTCCTAAACGTTTTTGGATACTATTCAGCTTTTGGGGCCTGCCACATAGCCTCGGGCCACTCTATATACTCGCTTTGGATAAACGGGCACTAAATCTTGGCGCTAGCTTTTGTCCGCCGGGCCGGGTGCCTGGCAATGTGTTGGAGTAGCAGCGATATGCTTGCCATCGCCCAAGCCTGGTCCTAATCCTCCACTTTCGCGTCATTACTAAATTGTTATTTCTCTGTCGGAGCTGGGAGGGAAAAAGGGGAGAAAGCCTTACAGAATAATACCACAGATTCCCAGAGGGGGCAGAGCACAAGCGGCTTTTTAAAATGTTCTCAACTACTCTGTCATTTTCCTATTTGGATGTAACTATGTTGAGGGCGGGTGCAAGAGATTTATCTTGACCGGCATGGCGGGGTTTTTTTCTTCTTTTTTGGTGGGAGGTTTTCAACGGCCTGAGGGGTGGTACTGGTGGTCCCTGTCAGACGACTGTCGACATGTTGATTCATCGCTATTTACTTTGGCTTATTCAATATTTGTTTTGCGGCATATCCCAAAGCCATATATTTTGACAGTCACTTGATCCGGGAGAGAATCGCTTTAGATCTCTAATCGAGCGTTGCCTTTCACCGACGTCTCGACACCTTCAGAGGGGAACCATTTTGAAACACACGTCGGCTTCAAAGTCACAAAATATTTGAGAAGTTGGGAAAAGTAACACAATGTTGACAATACTATACGGAGACCAGCAGTTACCTTTTCTATATCCAACATTACCGATACCACGGCCGTAATTGACGACAGAGCTTCTCGGTTTTTCGATATCATTGTACGTACACTTTCCGTGCCTATTCAGCGTTGCATCCAGAAGATAAAATAATCAATTTTCAAATTGGATTGCTAATTATCTAGCATTACTTTTGATGCTAGATTTTAAAAGTTACAATTTTTGAATCGGGAACGTATTATAGGGAAACAACATTTCTAAAAGACCAATTAAAGTGTAGAATGCAGTGTAGCAAGTGCTTTTCATCCAGGGGCAGTTCCACCTAGATCCAAACTTGTTTCTTGTCGGATTCCTGTCCAATGAAGTACCGGTACTTCAAAATGGGCCTTTAGTTATGACGTATCTTCGTAAATGATTTGAGCTTTCATCCTGGGGCCGGATTCGAAGCAGTTAATGGTTAAGATATTTTGGTCATAATTATAATGGTCCATGGACTTACCGTTTGGCGCAATGACCCAATTACTCCAGCCGATGACATTAAAATCGACGTAGTAGTCGTACAGTTTACATTTATCTCTTCCCCGGTTACCAGTCCTGGAGGAGGCTCTCCTCTTACGCCGGTCCGAGCGCTCCATGCCCCTCTCAGGGCTAGCCTCCGGAGCTGATTTCTCATTCTCCCTATTCCCGGATAATTCTTTATTCCTCCCTGAGTCCTGAGATGAGAGGGGCCCAGCCCCAGGTAGCGTAATGTCACTGGCTAAAACGTTTTTATCGTCAAGGAAGAGCACGAGCAGCGGGCGCCGGTCTGTGTGCTTGGGGCGCGGACGCTTGGAGAACACCACGGTACCTTTGGGGAGTTCCCTCTCGCTCTTAATTCTCATCTCGAAGAGCTTATCCGCTGAGACAAGATGAACGCTTCCCGCGAAGGCACTGGAGACGTTGAAGTGGACCCAGCCCCGTAAGGTAAAATTCACGGTCTTACTGTCCACGAGAGTCCTGGACGCGACGGGCGGGCCACCTAGAAGGGGGTTCACCCTCTGGCGGAGTTCGTACAATTCACAGGTGACCTGCCTAGGCAGCATGTCGTCCGTCCATCCGTCTACGGGTCTGGGTTTCTGTTTGTAGAGCTGGAGTTCGGCGGCGAGGACTGTCTCTCTGTTCAGCACGCTACTCGTGTCGAAGAGGTATCTGTGACGAGACGACTTAGAGTCTGCGTGGAAAAGAAACAAGTTCAAGCGGATTTACATTTGGCGCCAAAAATACGATAGTCAGGGTATACATGTCAGTAGTCAGGTAACAGTCTGCGTTGAATGTTTGAAACCTCTCAAAACTTCTTTTGAATTCCACTCAGAACGGGAAATACAAAAAGCCAGGTAAATAACCTTATACGTTATAAGCAAGAACACGGCCTAGCGTCTCTGTTTAGCATTTTTACCGATTGCAATGTAGGAAAATGTTTGAAGTATTGACAATGTAAAATCTCCGTTGCAACTCTGTCCATTTGCATACGTCAAAAACTCGCTTACATAATCAGACTTGTCCATTCTCGCTGATATTTTCTCAAGGTGACCTACCGCACCTAATTGGTCGTCAGACTGGCAGCAAGCGTGCCATCTCACCCGTAGCTGGGAACAAAGTTCCTCGCATCAAGGTGTTTTCTTGCAACGCGTTTTTTTTATCTCGTAAGTTATGTCCACGATTACGCCTGAATTACGCAGGAAAACAAACACGGGAGGAGGAAAGTGACCACACTGCAGGCTGACTGACGGCTCTGGACACTAAGCCTGACATGCCGCCATCTTGCTTAATTTAAGACACGCTGAAAGCACACGGTGTTGCTGCTGCAACAATTTGGAGAGAGCAAAAATGGGTCACAAAGTAAAATGCCACATTTTTACTTTGGCTGCTAAGTGCTAACAACGACATTTGTCTGATTGCCTAACAACTCGCTCTGAAACGGAGTTAACGATATTCAATGTGCGCTTTTGAGTGTATACCACTTTTTTTTATTCAATTCAATTCATTTCATTTCTCTCCCAAAATTTGATACTTGATGTGATTTCTAAATCATCAAAACTAGAAAACATATACCATACATCCATACAACAATGGAAATATTAATTAACAAGAAATGATAACCAAAGAAGATGATCGTTTAAAGGGGAATCCCCGAGACACAGGAAAACTATCTTGAAAGCAAGACGCTGTACTGTATTATTAGTGATGAAAGAGACGGCAATTATCAAATCGTGTTTTTCCAAGAGATTGTCGGAGTCTTACCCTAGAATTTACGTCTTATGATAATTCAACAATTTTGCAAATGAAATAAACGAGTTAATTAAAACACGACAGTGTTGAAATCATTTTGTACGTTTATGTGTTTTGGTAAGCGAATAGGATAACCTCATGTTTATCATTCCTACATAAAAAGAGCTTTTCCAAAATGAAAGACGAAGTGATACGTCAACGCCTTCATAGAAAGAGGGCAACGCTCGACTTTTTTCGTAAAAACAAAATTCCTCTGCCCTTTTTTTCTGTATCGATTGAAAGAAAACAAATATCCCCATTTTACTGACATGCTTCTCTGATCATATTCACACAAAACCTCAAGAATATTGTCCAGCAGCCGCTGCATATTTTATCTAGTAGTAAATAATTGATGAGTGTTGTCCGCAGAGTACGGCAGATGAACGCAGACTGACCTTCCTTTGATAATGCTGGCAAGGTCATAATGGTTAGGCCGACTTTCAGCTCAAAAGAAAATCCTCTGCTATATTCTCTGTCCCTTTTCTTTTTCAGTTACCAAACAAATGGCAGATTTGGATAAAAAAAGTTGGCCTCTGGCACGCCACGTAGCTCATCTTTAACACGAAAACAGATAGAGCGAATAATAGAGGAGAAATATCCCCAGCTGCGGTGGCTCCCCAGTGAAAAGGCGTCCCGTCCCTGACGGATGGACGGACATGCGGGAGAGGATGTGCTTGTGTGCGTTTGTCGTGTTTGCAAATCGTGCCACGAGTGTTGGTAGGGAAAGCATGCGCATGCGTACAGTGCATGAAAACAATCTCAGCACGATGGTAAATTTGACAGGGGAAAGCAGGCAAAATTTAGTCCATATAGCTTTCAATTGTTGTGTTGCTATGTCCATTTCAGTCATATTTCGACTGGTTCCCTCATGAATCCATGGGTCACTATATATACATAGCCTGTGTGGCTACCAGTCATTCTTCTTTACCGATAAGGCCGAACCAAAAATGGAACACAATCAGTGACGTACCGATGCCTTATAGTATGCAATACATGGCCATGCTTACCGCCGTAGTGGCCATTTTGGACGTGTTCCCTGACTTCGATCGAGTTAAACATAGCATTGTTTTGAAATGCCCAAGTAGACTATTCTGCCTTTACCATCGATATTGATCAATTTTCAGTCGCAGAAAAATACTTAATAAAACGTTTCTCGACACAGCTGCGTAGCCAGGGTTCTTACCATTGGGGGCGAGTGGGGATGGGGGTGGGCTGGATGTTACAGTAGGGGTTGAGGGGCAATTTCTGCTAAACTCAGATCCTCAATTTTATTTCAGGGAAATGTGCCTTTGCCTCTGCCAAATTGACATCACTGTTTACAATTACAAACGTCCCGAGTCCTTGTCATATACGCACGTTTCTTCAACAACTTAGACATGTCCCGTCTTCTAAGAAGACAACTGTGGACGAAACAGAATCCAAAATAACCTAATAGAGCAAAGTCACCCAGCAGAATTCCATTCATAAACACACTTGTCCCATTTCCCCAACCCGTGGTCGGTCGCTTAGCGAAAGCGAGAACAGAGGCACTGGGGGCAGGAGGCCAAACCCCTCCTCGTAAGGCTGGCCCCGCTCCGCTCGATGACAGACTACCACGGCAGTGAGTATAGGCCTATGTTGCCTTCGGCTTCGAATTGGGTAAGTGAACTTTATCGAAAACAATAACAAGACGTATTTTTTTGCTCGGCACCCACTCAATGCGGGAATAATGTGGGTATACAGCCTTCAACCATGCCTCAACCAACCTTCAAGACTTGAATTTTGTTTTAAATAGGTAACTAGAGGTACGCTCACGACCGGTATTTTTATGGTGCAATTTATGATTTCCTCGCAAGATTGGTAAATATTTTGTCAGTGGAATGACAAGACTTACGAAGCGTTTTGACAGACCAAGCAGGTATATGTAAACTTTTCTTCTGAGCATACACATGTTTTAAGTGACACCGTTTTTTTTTATAGGTTACAAGCAAACAGTCGATCTTCGCTGATTTGTTTTGCGACCTCCAAATCATCGTTGGTGTTGTCAATCACGGACTCGTTACGGTTGACACTTGGGGGGTAAAGGTGAAGCAGGAGCAGCAAGGAACACAATGAAAACTCTGGGTATCGGGAACCCGCAGAAATGCAACCAAAACTGAACGACATCACTCTAGCATTTAGTTTGACAGGCCTAAAACATCTCAACAAAAGTGATCTGCATATTCTCCTATACTGTGGAAGCTTGTAGCTCTTGAAAAGGAAGGATTCCAAGAGCTATCCCGGACAATAACGCCACCGATTTGGCGCACAAGTGCCTCCAATCTCAGACAAAGATTGAACAAATCGGCAAAGCTCTTTGTCACAGCACGATACGCGCTTCCTCCGAATGGCACACTATGAGTCCGTTAAATAGAAACGATAAATGGGGAACAGTTGTAGACTCCGAATGTAAATTCAGTTTTGTTTAAGCTACATCTGCTGTCTGATTTGTCAACGTTGATGTCCCGTCTATTTCATATGGAGCTAACGTGGAATGCGCGTAGCTGTTAAATTCGTCTGGCTCACTCTCTGGTCATGTTCCCAACCGCCCGTGTTGATTTCCCGTGCAATTTTGTGGTTAACTGCTCATTTATTATACTGAATGGTTGGAAAGAACAACTTCGGAACTTGTCGGTTCCTTACAGAATGTGTTCAGTGTTGCAAAACATTTACCGGGCTTATAAATCTAAATGCCAAAGTTAGCAACTTAATTACTTAAAAAAACAAAAACAACTCACGATTGTACAAACGGGTTTCATGTATAGTTTCATAATCAGTATAGTTTGCAGAAAAACGGGCTGGTTAGTTCTAATTCTAGCTTTTCACAAATGTAATGTTCATAATCAGGAAAATATAAAACATCGTCGATCTACAATGCTTATTCATTTCTGAACAATAGTTGATATATTTGTTAAATGATTTTTTTTCACTTTCAAAACCACAAAACATTGTGCAAAGTAACCGATTGTGCATTTTAGTTCTCGTGTTATAGACCTAAGCATTTTCAGTCGATTCTTGTCTTTTCGTCCTCAAATGTGACACAGTTATGATGTTTTCCATCACCAAATCGTCAAAAATTTAACAACTTTGCATTTCGGGCATGTCCACAGGTTCCCAGGTTCCTAATGATCATTGAAACCAATTTGATCTGCACACTGAAAACACTACGTAGTTGTAATTGACTTCAAACAGTCCAACTTACACCCAGCTTGCCCTTGCGGTATAGTCAGCTGGGTGCAACTTTGACTGTTTTCAAGTCAAACTAACTAGAGTGTTTTCAGAGTGTTTGAACTCCTTGCTATCGTAGGTAGATAGCACAAACCGCAACGGGTGACCGTAACGCGTTATGTACAGTACCGTTGTGCAAGACACAAACGCCCGAGGGCCGGTTTGAAATCGAGCAACATGGCTTTGGCTATAGTTGCTTGTTTTTGAAATACTTCGGTCAACTCAGTGTTTAACTTAGATCATGAAAAGTATATGAGATCTATTTAGGCATTAAACATTGCATATAATGACATCATCTGTGACATTGATACATGTACACTATATTATTGTATTGTACTGTAATAGCTCATCATTATATACATTTGGGACATCAAACCCCCTCGTAAACAAATAGTGACTTGGATGTACAATCCTGATTCATTCAAAATTGCAAGCAACGTCTGAGTGAGGAGGATTTTTGCAGTTAAGGATAATTATAATGTATATATGAGACTCAGCAGCGAACAATACTCATTCCCGAAAGAGCAACAGCGTGAACTGAAAATTGATGCCGTATTATACACACACGTTTAATTAGACCGAAAGCCATAGTATTTCGCAGCCATAAAGTAAAGCCTATATGGTCTAATGGTCTAACCTTTACATGAAAACGATTTTGTAATATGTTTACTTTATCCAGCGGCTGACTGTATATTTGTCGCGCATACAACATCTGTCCTTGGCTATTTGAGCCCAGGTTCTGCTGTGTAAGAGTCGCTAACCTACACAAGCCAGGCACAAGCTCTCAGGTAATTGCAAGTTCATTGTCGTGGTTGTATTGTTCGAGTTGGCGAGGCAATCGCTCACACGTTGTCCCCTATAGAAGTTTTATTTAACCATGCGGCTCTCCACAGGATTGTGCCTGTCATCTTTGAATCGACCAAAAAGAGAGTAAATACTTCGAAATACCACAATGTCAGCTAGTCAGTTCGAAGCTAATACGAGTTGTGCAGTAAAGATAAAGCCCCCCGTGCAGAGATTTTAGCTTTTGTTCCCGCCACGATCTCCGCGGTCGACCGTCCCGCAAGGCCCGCCTTGTGCCGTGGTTTACCCGGAGCGCTCGGCCGAAGAACCCGGCAGCATGTTTGCTCTCGTACCGCAGTATGATTTCTCTTCAACCGGGGTGTATTTATTTTAAGTCTGTCGTCATTTTTTTTTTATGGATGATCTCAATCTTTGGGCTAAACAAATGTCGTCTGAAGGGGGATTTGCATTGTGTTGAGCATGCTTCCGATGTCACCACCTCGTTGCTATGAAAACGGAAAGCGGTTTGCACGGGTTTTGAGATTGTAGTTGCCGCGCAAATATGAACACGAACATTTGGAAATTGTTACCGAGATCGTCTCTGGCATGCATGCAGTATACTACCAGTATCCTATAAATACTCAAACTTGAACGCGTACATCTGCTTCCGTCGGGCACGTGGGCACTTCCCGAGACATGTCTTCATGTCGCCTGCCCGATTCCTGAATCGGAAGCAGCTCCTGGGCACGTTTGGAAAAATGATTTTGAGAATAAAGAAGATGTGAAATTTCGCACTTTTCTGCAATAGATTATTTCACTATACAATTGATGTTTTGAGGTTGACTTTGCCTATAATATTGCCGAAAGATGACGACACTTATTCCCAGAAGACCCTTAAACGCAAATATTCCATAGAAATTCAAGCATTGTAGTGTTTAAGGAAAAAGAAAAAAATGGTAACACCTGATTGAAGATGAATCCTTTGCTACCGGCTTTCTTTTTTATCAAATAGTGTGTTCACCCTCACTGATTTACTTCTATAATTATCTTTTTCACGCTTCAGCGTGCAGAATATGCGCAGCGGGGCTTTGTAAATGATTCTCATTATGTCCCCATTATTTCGTAACAAAACCATGAGGATATTGTTTGCTAGCAAAGGGTACGAACAATAAATCAAAGCCCAAAGAAATGCTGCTCTTTGGGGAAGTGGGAAAGTTACCTTTTCAATATATTTTTACGACCAAAAGCTTGTTTCATCCGCCATTATTGTACACACTATGGCCTACACGTTTCGCAGCCTTTTTTGTCCCACGGACGCGCAATGACTTGCAAGATTTCGTTTCTTTAATTTTGGTGGGGAAAAAACGATCCATTAGTGTTTGAAACGTTGTACTGTTGTTGTGTCCTCTTTTTTTTGGTCAAATATTTCAAGACCAGATTTGGATGTTTCACGCCAATGGATCAACCATAAGTGTGATAATATTGCGAGGTATCGAGAACAAAATGCAGGAGATTTTCGGCAATACTTTTGAAAGAAAAATGACGTCCAACATCAATCGTTCTGGGTTCAGTTTGTTAAAAAAAAAATTACAAAGTACAGAGCGACACTGCTTTTGGGTTGGGTTGAGCTAGCTGTCACACCTCCGTCCTGTATTTTCTCGGTAGCGGTCAAAAGAAATTGTACATTAAGTCATTGTTATTCTACTTTACAAAATAATAACGCGATACATGTCTGGGTAAATTGCCCAATTGGGCAGCATCTGCGTAGTGTAATCTAATCAATCGGCGTGCTGAGTTCGCACCTGCTGTCGCATGGCAAACATAATTCCAAGATGGCGAGGCTGTATTGTCACGTGACATACCCCGGTAAGCCGTGGTGCTCAGTTATGTCAAAGGTCATGGGATTAAGGGTTATAGTGACGTCACATTACAACCGCTGTTCAACAGTCTATTTTAAGTCCTAGCTTTTAACTAAATTTGACAACTTTCAAGCTAAAGATTAAATGTGGAAATAATCAAAGAATAATTGGTTGCTGATTTTTTTCTCTGTTCTTTTCAATTAAATGTTCAATTGATACGCTTGAAAACTAAATCAAAACTGAATTTAAAAAGTCTCATATTCAATAAAATCACTATGTATTATATCGTGAAATGTTTATATTCGTAAATCACTTGCACGCTTGTTAAGAAAATTTAAATACACAAAATGGTCACTTTATTTCAAAGGTTTGGTTCGAGGCATGTTTTAAGGCTTCCATATTCTGTTCATTTTTCCCCCAACGAAAGTAAATCTCTTGGAATGTTGACTGTCATTGTGACGACACTGTGACTACATCCACGATTGACAATAGGGGAGTAATTACTCAATCTCTGTGAGTATTTTGACTGGGTTTTTATCTAAACAGTTATAGGCCCCAAACTTTGTTTGGTCCAGCGGCCTCTGCATAGACTCCTATTGTACATCAAGAGGACTTCAGCGGTGTTCGAGTCACTCCATCCGCTAAACTTTACTCAGCGATACAAGGGAATAACAGCGCAAAACAAACACTTGTCAATGGACTACTTTCACTCAAGCAGCTCTCGGGTAGTTAGCGTATATGCACAAGGATTGAATGAAGAGGAACCGCCCGAAGCTTCTTGGGTCTTTGGGGAAACAAGGGTTAAATAGAATAGAGCGGATATCTCCGGTAAGAAAAGCCCGAGATTGGACCGATTGTTGGGCGGGAAATCGTAGACGATTGGAGCGGATAATAGCCTATTGCACAATAATTGGGCAGGGATCAGCAACAAGTGAATGAGATGGGAGAAAGAGAAAGCAACATTCTCTGTATAAGATTTCGCATGCACTATACAATGACAAATCGATGTACCCTGTTTGTATATTTATGTCTGAATCGCAAGTTCATATTTCGCTATGACACCGGAAGACCAAGATTGAAACTTTGTTTATTTGATTATCTACGCGTCGACCAAAACCTTCCGTCATCACAACCGATTTGCTGCGCTGATACCCGTGTTGACCGGTATCCAACACGAGCTGCCATAGTGATTAAAGTTTACTGAGGTTGAATTTTGGTTAAAGGGTCTTTTTTGTCGGGGGGGGGGGGGAGAGGGGACTCACCTTTTTCGTTGAATGATCTGACAGTGTTTGCTCTAGCATTGGCTGTGTGATGACCAGAGCCTACCGTAGATTCCAACTGATGGTATAAATTCACCATGAATGCCGGTGGGGTGGCCACTGCCGTGCGATTGGGTCTCGGTACGGTCTTCAGCCCGAAGGCGTCCAACAGCCGGACTATCTCGGCTTGTCCTGGTTCCGGCGCAGGGTGGCCCTCCCCACTGTCGCCCTTACCCGATCTCCTCATCTTGGGCTGCCGGTGTCTCCTCCCCTTCGCGTTGGCAAGCTCCGTGTCTATCGGCGAGCGCTTCCTCTCCAGGGGAGATGAGGTGATGGTGGAGCATATTAGACAGAGAAGAAGAAGGATGCAGGAGGCCCGGCACAGCACCGTCCCAGGCACAGTAAGACCTGCTGGTCTCATGACGCGTCTGACGGGGCCACCTGTCCGGTTTAACACGCTCAAGAAAAAAAACCGGCTGAGGGGGGTTTGTTTTAAAACACTGGGCGAGAGGTCACGTTCTCGTGGTCGCCTGAACAGTTGGGTAAACGGTACGCGACCCGAGAAGCGATCGCCGGGTGCTTCTGGGGATGATGAATGGCAAATTATGCAGTGACGAGGCTACCGTGTCGTGACGAAAAACGAAAACATGTTCCTGGTGGTTCATTTCATCTCTTTATGTACTGCATCCGTGGGGCATGGTACGGTGGGAACGGGGAACTCGCAGTCGGCAGATCACAGGCAGTGTGTCAAAGTCAACACTATTTGATAAGCACGCTTGCACACCCGTCACACATCCATGGAAGTTTGAGCTCAGCGAATTAAACAAAAAATGAACGGCGGGCAGGAGCGTGGATCGGTACTAGACTGTCGCTTGTTGGTATCAGTCCTGCCAACTACTGGAATGTGGTCCTGCCCTCGGTGTGACTAGTAGGAGCTCGCCATGGCGATGAATATATCATTAATCATGCTGCGAGTCAACGCATGTCATTTCTGTCTCCCATACGCTCACACTCACTCACAGACTACTGTCGGGGCATCGGTAGTCGCTTTAGCGTGCCGACTTTATCCTTTACGTTACGGGTACTGAACGGGCCTCTGAAAAGAAGTACAACACGGACAACACGGGATCCACACTGAGCCCCGGTCCAGGTTGATGCGCATACACAAACCCTCAAAAGTGCCGCGAGCGAATTTCACCGCATGCCTGACGCCCAACCTGTGGTCGCTGGCCTAGCGTGACAGGCCAGGCGTGCACTGTGTATACCCCTACTACTCCTCCCGAACACTTTACAGCCCCATCCCCGCTGTCTCACCGCCAAGTTACGAACAGTAGGATTTGGGAAGTTTCAAAGGAACCTTCTTGACTCTCAACAAAGGATCCACTTGATTTTTATCCGAAATGTCGCCGGTTTTTTTTTTAAACAGCTCCCGAATTTGAATGACTGGTGCGGTAGGTACAGGGGATGACTTATCCCCCCTGGCAATTCGAGACGTGTCTATTAGAGAGAACCTGCTGTGGCGACAACTCTCCTACAATGAGACATCAAGGGGCTGTCAATAGCGGCTACATTACAACAACTACCTGCATAAAGAACGCCGCCAATCACAAACTTGTTGGGACAAATCGCGGTGTAAAGACACGATGCTACAATCGGCAATAGATTCACTCATTCCCCATCTAATAGATTGTAGGATGTCCTCCCCCATTGAGCTGAAAGCACCTCCACAATGCAACCATTCAAACTCCTAGCCTGGGCCGGCTCCAGAAATAAGGCTTGCCGTGTATTCTACGTCACATGACAAGTCTGTGGGCGGGGAACCGTGAAGGTCGTCCTATGCACTCATCAGAATTTAAATTTACTAGCTTCTGATTCTTATAACCGGCGATAAAAGTACTGTACACCTGTCGTCCAACACTCACTAATGAGCCTTTTATCATCAAACTTGTTTGGAAAAATGAGCACATGTCTATTATTGGATGTGTGTAGTCATAATTATGAGGGGAAAAAACTGTGGCATTGAAATAGCCCAGCCGACCAGATCTAATGATGGAATCTTGAATAGGAAGATAATCGCTCGCCGTAGTTTGGCCGTCGGGAGGCCCGGGACTGGCGACACGATGTCACCGATGAAGATCACTCTTTGCCTACCTCTAAGAACTCTTCCAGCGGAGGAAAAAAGACCAACGGCTGTCCTCATTGACCGTCACAAAAGATGCCCTAATCTTCAAGTTAATCCCGAACAATAGCGAGATTGACGTTTAACTAGATCTTGTCAATTAGAAGATCGTTGTGTGTAAAAACATCCGTTTGTTCAACACTTTGTATATGCGGGCGTATGGTTGAAGCCACTTAGTAGACCACCAACTTGGATTATCCTTTGCAAATTCAGTCTTAATTGCGTACAATTCAGAACGATCGCAGACAGAATTGAACATACAACTTGCAGCGGCGTCAATGATCGTAAGTAGTCCCTACGAATATACTGCTGTCGTGAATAAAATCAGCTGGTGACGAGTAACTGATAAAATGGTCTCAACAATAAAAAAAAAAATCATAATTTCGGTGGCTTCCTTTATCAGTTAAATGTATTGACTTTAGTTTACCATACGCCACGCCAGTACGAAGGCACTCATTTTGTTTGTAATAAATAAGCAAAACCAAACAAATTAGGCTTTACTTTCAAGCTGCATTTCACTGTTCCAAGCTTTTTAATCTCGGAATGAAGGTCTCATTTTCCCCCTTCTCATATGGAGACTTTGGTCCTTTTTTTTGTTTTATTTAATTCTGCTTAAACAGAAACCGTTTCAAGATATTGTCCCGCAAAATTACGAGTTTTGTATTTTACACAAAGTGCTAATGACTGTTTTGTTTTCGGCAAGCCTTTGTTGTCATTTATCCTCTTCTATGTTGTTTTCGTTTGTCCCATCCCCCCCCCTCTTTGTCACGGTTTCCATGCATTTTCTCTCTTCCCTAAACTCTATCTGTACATTCAATTTCCTGCTCTCCTAAACGAAACGCTATCTCCCCAATTTCATCGATGAACAAAGAGACCAACGAACAGGCGGGAAAACAAGAATGCCCAGGTTACTGAATATGTCCTCAATATATCATGTTATATCACTGTTTTAATAGCACGATAGGTGCCAAAACCAGTGACTTGAAACCGCCAGACCTTACTAGCAATTTTCCTTTTGACACATCTCGCATTTTTCGAATACCACTCTCTGTATCATATGACAGTATTACGCTTTGTGAAAACTTCAACAATGAAAACACATAAAATTTATATTTATTTTGATCTTCTATAGGGGGATTACTTGGCACTGGAAAGGGAGGAATATAAGTTTTTCCTTTTTATCGTCATCCTTAGTGCTGAGCTAAGGGAGTTAGTGGTGAAAAGAGGGGATCAAATTTACACTTTTTTTCAACAAAGACTCGGCCCCCTCTCGGAATTAAGTGGGATATAAAAACAGATTTTTATTCCCTATTGACATCAACTGTTGGATTTTGTTAAGGTCAAATAACAAGGGAGGACTCCAGCAGGTCAATCCTTCTGTTTCTATACATCGTAAAAGCTTCAGTCTGTACTTTGTAGGCTAATAAACCGTAAAGAAACGGAAATATAGAATTCAGAAACACCAATTTTGTTTTCCTCGTTTTACTTACACATCTGATACTTTTACAAACAGAATTACAAATATCATAGATTGATATGAGCATCTTTCAATGCACAGTGCACTTTAAACATATATGTTCTGAGTAACTATGCATAATGTAAAGTCAATGTTTCGGCAGATACTTGCTGGTCGTGTTGAGAAATTTCCAGTAATGGTATTAGGATTGGGCTAATGGCAAATTCTGTCTGTTATTTCTTCACATAAGAAAAGCGTTACAAAACAAGAATCACCAACATGCCACTCGGATGGTTCATTCATTTCAGGCCCCAATGGGAGGCTTCTATTCACTCGACAGAAAAGAAAGAAAAAACTTCTTGTAAAGATGTCAACTGAAAGTATGCTAGAACGATTGAGGATACAGCGTTTCTTTGGCTTGTTCCCTTGACGGTCAATTGAGCTTCGTGAATATACACGGATTAGAGGAGATTTTCCTGCCGCAACATGGGGGTGATTTCAAAGCGGGCACTCCCCGGGGACTCGCGGGTTATACTATTCTCCCCGCCCCGTCGTCGGGCAAAAGAGAAACCTTCAAGATACAAGATACACCGTAAAGAATGCAGGAAACGGGACGCATGTATGTAGTTGTGTATAATGGTCACAATACCAGCAGGGGATTACAACTCACAATGTCAGAGTTTTTGTTGGATACGAAGCGGTATTTTCGAGCAGAGCTCCCCCGGACAATAACGGGCAAGCTGGTGGGCGACTGTAGTATCGTACAGCTCCCGCCTTCGGTTTACATAGGTAATAGTCTAAGCCCCGAAGCGAAAGGATACGTTGCATAGAAGAGTGGCTTGTCTGGGCAGAAGCTGTTTAGTCAGCTCCTAAGTCCGATACAATGCATAGGGTTTTGTAAGTCAAACAATTTCCACTGAATCGTAAAAGCATGTGGATTTTTTAAAGCTGTGACTCACACTTACAACAGATGTTTATACGTTTCTTAAATTTAAATCTATACACCATAAATTGATCATTATAGGGAAATTCTGGCAAAGCTATAGGTCCATGCATGTAAACTATCTGGCAAATAAAAAAATACACCTGTCCTATTATAAGAAACGTTCATCTTCCAACGAATTTACAATCATTGATGAGATATAAATCAAAACAGTGTGGCCTGCTTGAAGTGTTCGATGTTATACAGGCATTATTACCAGCTCCTATGTGAGAACCAGGCGCTGGTGGCGCTGTTCAATTTACTCCTTTGTGGTCCATCCTCTATAAACCAATATTATGAAACACTTTCAGCAAAAAGGGGCATGCCATCTCCTATAGTTGATAACTACGTAAGGCGAACTTCTGTCTCATTTGTCTCGCGTCACGCGGCCTTCCCTCCCCTTTCTCCACTGAACCACGTCCCACAGTTACCCCGAATCTACGTGAGTTTTATGGGAACCGAGTAGCTGAGACCACACCCAGTCATTGTTCAGATTCCATGTCCAGTATTGCCGCACTCCTTTTTCGTGGGTCAAAGTTTTGAAAAATGGAAGGCGTTTATGTCTTAAGTCTTTGCTTTTGTTAAGTTTGTTTAACAGGGCATTATGTGAAGGTTCCAGACGGATTATTTGGTATCCGTCCTAAAGATGTTATTGACGAGTTACTGAGGGGGTTCAGTCGCTAGGTGACTCACGACTCATAGACAACTTGAAATTCTGTTGGTCCGTGTTATACTCGGCGTGCAGGAGGTAGTTTCTCACTGCTCTGTTGCTCTTGTGTCTGTACTGCACAGCGGCCATCTGATGTGTGAACAGGGTCTCGAATAACTGGTACTCGGCGTTCTTCTTGGCTTCCTTCTCCTCTTCCTCTTTCTTGGAAACGGTTGGCATCCCAGTTGGCTGTACTTTGGCGAAGAGGCTTCCCCAGTTGATAGGACTCCCAACCCCGGCGAGGAAGGCTGCACCTAGCAGGTCTTGGACGGTGACGGTTTCCACTCCGGCCCGCCAAGCCATCCCTCGCTCCTTGGCGCACCGCCTCGCGTAGTCGATGATCAGTCTCCGGATGTGCGTTTTACGCGTGGACGTCATCCCCCTCGCTGCACGATTCGTCTCCATGTCTCCGGAGTCGGATGACTCTGGATGTATCTCCGCGGTGGTGTGGGATGGCCTAACATGTTTGTGGCGGAAAGTGTGCAAGGCCAAGGCGAAAGTCCCGAAGAAACCTGCAGGATGCGTGGGCTTCGGTTGAGTACGAGATTCAGTAGTTTGGATGGCAGAATTGACGGTGTCATCTGTGTCGAAGTGGATCACATGCATCGTAGATTCCCCCTCATCCGTGGAGGAGAAGCAATGAGTTGATGAGGATGAAGATGACATGTGCGCTCTGTGTGAGGGCTGCATACCGGCCCTGTCAACAGCTGAATACAGATCCACCACGCTCAGCAGGAACGTACCCATGAACGGCAGGCAAGGTGGTGACAATAGAGACTTCCTAACTGCCATCTTGTACAGGTCGCTCCTCCCGTCATCAGCCGTCAGGAACACCAACTCGCTCCAGAGACCATACTCGTCTGGGAAGTCCTCCTCGAACGCCTGCCAGGTCTTCCTCAGTCGGTAGACCGGCAGCACCTTCAGCCCGCTCAGGACGGCCTTTAGGCTGTGGAAGTTCTGCAGCTGCCGGCACCGCTCGGCCACCAGCACGAATCTAGCCACGGTCGCTGCCCGCTCCTTGACGGTCGACGGCCGAACGGTCTCGGTGGAGACCAGTCCAACTACTCGCTCAAAGAACTCGATGAGCCTGGTGGTGTGGGGAGCTCGGGTGTGTCTGTCCTCCTTGAGCCACAGGCAGTCCACCAACTCGGCTTCTCGCACGCGTATAAACAGCAAGGAGTCCAGAAGGGTTAGTTCTCTGGCCAGGACCTCTGTATCAATTTCGTGGACCCCGACTCTTTGCTGTGGTTTATCATGGTCTAGCTTTGCCTGTTTGCGTTTCCATATACTGTGAAGAATTCTTGTCGAAAAATGCTCCGCGTGTTCAGACTTTAATTTACCCTCGGCATGCTGTTTCCTGCGAGGTTTGTTTCGACTGTCGTGCTTTTCGGGCTGCAGTTTCCCTTTCAAAGATTTCTCGTGTTTCTTTCTCCTGTGCCTTGGTGGAGTTTTCTCTCCCGGCACTTTCTTGCCGGCCCGACCAGAAATTCCTGCTCTCCCCTTTCCGTAAGTAACCGTGGGCATTTTACCACCTCCATCCGAGAACTCCACGTCTGCCGACATCTCGCGACATCTCGCTATCTCTTCCTGCAATCTCGTCTGCTCGGTTGACAAGAGCATGACGTGACCACCGATCACGTGGGGCGTCTTGGTCTCGTCGTCGTTCACCAGGTCCTGGTAGACCAGAGAGGCCCGATGCGCGGCGTCGGCTGCCGGTTGCATATCGTCCAGGAAGCTGGCCTCGCCTTCTAACACGTCTGGCAGTGAACAGCGATGATGCAAGGTCTCCTTCGTCGGTATCGGTGGCAAACCGCGCCTTTCCCTGTGGAATGAACGTCATTAAATACAACATTATAGCAACTTCAACTACTCTTTAATTGCCGGTATACTTTAACAACATAATGTATTAATGAGCGGCGTAGCTCAATGTGGCCCTATGCCGATGTTTTGTGTACGAATATTTTTTTTTATCCGCAGGGGCCGCATTTCATTGCTACAACTTACTTCTCTGATTTAACAAACTATTCTGTACGTTATTTACATGTCATTTGTCACTGTTAATGACAAAAAAGTATTTTTTTTGTTTTGTTTATTTTTAGCAAGCACTTGTAAAAAAATCTTTCTCCTAAAGGTTTTCGTGCGCATGTTGACTTTTCGCCGTTCTTAACCTTTCCAGCTGTCAACCATTTGATGAATCGGGAGTTTGTAACGACCCAAAAAGGGCCTTGACTTTTAGTAAAATCTCCCCCCCCCCAGCCAAAAAAAAATAATTACAGGCTTTTAACTGTAAATGGAGGATTAGTGACGGGGATGTTCATGCTATGTGTAAGGCGCCAACGAGACTGTCCAACAACCCAGACAGCTATGTTATAATGGGTGCGGGATTTTTCGTTCCATATTAACGCCCACGCATCCTATTGCAAAGAAGTCCCTTTTATCCAAATTTACAAAGATTTCTTCAGTTCAGTGGCGTATCGGAGGGGGAGGGCAACTTGCTCCCTTGAGGGCCTTTTTTTTTTTTGGCAATTCTCTCTCCCCCCCCCCCCCCCCCCCCCCAGCAAAATCGTGTCCAAATGTGCTGCAACGAAGAGCGCCACATATTGTCCGATAGTGTCCAAGACCGTCCGTACTGAACAGCGCCCCGAGAGTAAGACATGCAGTGTCCAGCTTCCCCCTCCCCCTTTCCACGAACCCTAAACCTGGATACGCTACTGGATTTCTTCCAGCTTACATTTTAGAGTATAACCTCAAGAAACATTAGGCTATAAAAACACACACACGATTGCCGGTTTTGACCAAAGCCGGTTCCTTCAATGTTTCATGAAGTTTTAAATATTTTGTGTTGTTGGTTCATTCAATGAACTTTCGTTTTGGTGTTCCAACGGGAATCTTCACTGTGTCGTCTGACGAAATTTGGCATCAGTTAATACAAATCTTGCATGGTCAAGTGGTGAGTACGATGTATGAGACATCAGGTTGTCAAAAAGAGGAACAACAAATCGCAGTCAGATCCGATACTACATTGTTTATAATTATTTGTACATGGTGATTGCCGTCTAGGCCTACGTCTTACCCGTGAGGTGTGGTGATGTCTGCTTCTCTCAACTGGTCGACTGCCGTCAATGAAGCCAGAGGGCGCCACCTGCCGACGTGTCCATGTCCATGCGCCTCCATGTTAAACTTTTGAAAGAGGTCCTCCACGCACAGGATGAGCTTCCGGTTAATTTCGTCAGAGACAGGGTGCATCCAGTCGAAGTTGGTTTCTCCTACCAAGCTGCCCACACTCTTGATGTCTTCCAGGCTGGAGTACGTGTCTGAGCTGCTGTAGCTGGCTTTCCGCATAACGAGGGAGTGCTGATTCCCCGCGGGCTGCCAGACAAGTGAAGCGGTTGGATTCATGATGACCGCTGCAGACTTTTGGCTCTGGCCGTGTTTCACGGTGCTACGAGAAAGGTCTTCATGGGTGGAATGTTCGAGCAGGTGGTCAGGGAGGCCTATGTTCGCTGTGTCGTGGTCATCAGCCGCTATCTGGCCGTCGTGATCCCGAGACAGAGCCCCTCCGAAGTGTCCGACCCAGTGATAGGCGCGGGACTCACGGCGTTTCCGTTGCTGCGCCACCGCCAGGGCCGCTGCGCTGTCTTGGCTGTCGACCGTTGACTCGTCCAAGTTACCATTGGCGCGAGGTGCCCTTGTTGCCTCGATTGATAACGGGTGTTGTCTTTTCTCGTGGCGCCTCTCGTCTAGATCATGGATCCAGGACAGCCACTCTCTCCATCGGTCCTCACGGTGCCTGCCCTCAGCTAGCTCTAGGAACCAGGTCTTCCCTGTTGACAGGCGCAGCCTCAAGACGTGCTCGCCGCGATGTTCCTGATGTTTCCTGTTTGATAGTCTTGTATTCTGCAAGGGGAATAGATGTGCCAGATGGAGGTACTCCAAGTTGGAGGGTGCATCAGTAGCAACCACCACGGTTCTTAGATGTCTGGCGTTGGTGTCCACAATCTCCTCAGCTATCAGAAACACGGTCTCTGTCAGGCCAGCGTGCACCATGCAAAGACACTCCCCGTGCTTTCTCTCTAGAACGAAGCGACTCTCGACCAGTACCACCTCGTCACAGAAGTCAGAGTATTCTCCGCTCCACAACAGTTTCTGGAGAGTCGCCATCGGCTCCACGACTTGGCCACAAAGCGAGATAGATCGACAGTTGTTTTATCAGCACTGTCGGAATCCTCAGGTGATGATGTGACTGACTTGGTTGCGATTATAAACACAGCTGTCTACGCGCGCAATGATGCTTCGCGATACGCGCGTTGTTACATCATGTGCGTATGGTGTTTATTACGTCACAAAAGTTGAAAAAGTCAGAACAGGCGCTACACGTTAACTTCTGACCAATCAGCGCCGAAGCTCGAAGAAAGGCATTGCAGGTTTTCAACCAATGAGGGCGCTATACAATTTTACTGCAGAATTTCCCGGAAGCCGCGTGATGTACAGCTAGCTACTTAGCTACGTGAAGGAATCGGTTAGTTTGATGGAAGGACAACCGCTTTTAAATATACCTGTGCGATGACTGAAATTCCTTGACCAAATACACTTCTCTCTAGAGCTGATTTTACGGTGTTTGGAATTTAGCTTGCAGATGTGTGGTGTATAATAACCGCCCCCTCCAAAAAAAAGAAGAAGATGTAAAGGATCTTTTTTTTTTTTAAAGAAACTGATAAAACATGAAAATTCTACTTGATTGATGTTCTTTCAGCAAAACGAAAACAATTCACACAGTCACATCCCTATAAGATTTGTTTTCGTTTTGCTAAAAGAACACTTACCTTTTTTGTGATCCGTGGACAGAACTTTAAAATGGTGGATGTGTTTAAAATCCGTAACTTGAAAAGTACACGAGTCATTTGCATGCATCTTGTACTAAGAGGTTTTTTTAATTGGGCTTTCATATTCATGATAGTGCTGCAGATCCTGCCATTTAGAGTCCTGCCATTTAGAGTTCCTTTTTTTTTACTCACCCTGTGTAGCCATAAAATACAACGACACGGTTTATCCTGATTCAGCAGGAAATGGTGTGTATCACAACTAGCTGACGCTGTCCTACAATTTAGGACAAGTGCGCATGACTCATACGAGAGGAAGTCATTGGATGAGCGAGTGCTGTACTAAACCTTTATTTATGATCGATGCTACTCTGTGCTTGGTTTCACAATTGATCATCGAAAGTACTCCCGAGTCGTGCGCTGAATAACCCACATGGGCTGAGATTGTTGTCATTTCGGGCCTTGTTTTGTTAGTTTGTAATTTATTGTTCAGGAGCACTTTGAATTGAAACTTTTTCTCTTTGTGTGTGGAGCATTACTTATTACTATAATTGTCGGACCACAAAAGTGTATTTGCTGTGGAGAAAACAGTCCAACAAAATATTTTTTTCTGTAATATTATATTCCTTTCCCCGTTTTATATTGACCTCATATCCCATAAATGATATAAAGTCGCGACTTAAAAGAACATGGCAATGTTAGACTCAAAAATGCACTTTACAAAGGAAACATCGTTTCATTTTTTCAATTTATTTATTATACATGTAAAGCACAATATCAACATTATCATACACGGGTTTACGGAAACATATAGGACCTAAATTAATCAATTTAAAACTGTTACATTTTATTCTGCAGTGATCTATTGGATGTACGTACTCTGAAAATCATTGCATAAAACTGTCATAATTACTTTTGAATTATCTAGTATTGTAAGTTATAAGATGAAATTTCTTTCAATGGATAGTACAATTATACCATGCCTTGTGTAATTTTGCCAAGTGTGAAATGTGTTTTAATAATATACAAAATTGCAGTACAACTCGCAACCTCCATGGTAAAATATCTTCCATCATCTTCAATGAACAATACCGGTTATCATGACTTTTACACGCTACTGATTTCCAGTTTCCATACATCTAAAAACTAACACCTGAACCAACTTAATCTACTCACAATTTCGATTCAGAAAATACAAATTGGGGAAAGATTTCCATATACGAAGTTCACTAATTTTCCTCTGTATTGACTAACAAGCCCTCAGATAGCAATTTCATGTCATCAAAGTCAATTTGAGCAGTGAGAAAATACAAGCATTTTCTTAGAAAACACTTAGAATGTTTCAGTCCAATCTCATAGGGTTTGTACACAGGGTGTTGAGTGAACTTCGTATATGGAAATCTTTCCCAAATGAGACACCAGTGATTGTTCTCCGAACTTGATGAGAAGACAATTGTTCTAGTCCAGAATTCCAATTATGGTCTCAAAAAAATTCTAGACTTGATAATAAAACTAGCCTTCAGTTGTATTTTGTATTATATTCCCTCGGCATCACACAACCATTCCACAACTATTACATACAAACTAATGGAATTTGCTCTCACAGAAAAATCGACTTCTAAAAACTTAACAGCTACACAACTCCTTTTCACCAAGAGTTTTTTTTCCCCATTTGTTTACTGATAAATATTTGGAGTTGCACAAGTCCCCATCAACAATAATTACCCCATTTCTATTGTTAGTTTTTGGAAAAACAATTTTAAACATATAATTCATTGCTAATAATGCATTTCGAAAAGTAATACAAATACTATTGATAAATACAATGTAGAATTCTTGGTCAAAATAATCTGCAAGATTTCTGCTGAAAATTTATCAAAATGAAATGATGTTTCTTTCTGTATTTAACAATTTCAAAACAGGGTTATACAAAGAGGAATTTGTTTTCTTCACACTGAAGTTCCAGGAAAGAATAGCACCCCCAGCAGAGCAAACCCTTTGCCGCATATTTTCTTGCGTCAACCCAGGCACACGCAAGTCATTTTGACAAAATGGAGGCCGTGTAATTAGTTGCAACATACAGGGTGAACAATAAAAACAATGTAATCCAAAAACAACGGTGCTTAACTCTCACTGTGCAATCATGGCTGTACATGGAGACAGTTGTGACAAGACAGGTCCCACACATTGGGCAAAACATGGCGATCTGCGTAATGTTCAGATGAGAAATGTCAAAGCTTATAAGGGCTGGCTTGTCTCAACTCTCTCGTTTTAAGACTCTGGGTGTATATTGAGGTGGTCTGCTGTTGACGATGGGTGGATCTATGTAGCAAGGGTGTCCTTAGGGTGTGATACTCATTCAGGGATCTCTCCATTCTAGGGACACAAACAAGAAAATCAGTTATTTATTTTCTTCACAAGTTGGAAAGCAAAGGCTTTAAAACTCTAACATAGAATAGACCAATCCACTAAGCTCCTCCCCCTGATGGTTGATATTTTGCAATATCACTTTCCCCTTACTTTAAAAAAGCATTGTAGGGCCTAAAATCATGGGAAGCTGTGTCGGTGCAATTCAAAACAAACTTTGGACTTACGTCCCATTCCCAGTACAGTGCTTTGATGACTTCTGACTTCAACTGTGGTCCAAAGAGAGGGTTGAGTTGCATCAGGAATGTGCACAGCCAACTGTCGAATCGAGAAAAAAAAACACAAATGAGGTTTTTATCCACTTTTTTCCTATTTTTTTTCGGAAGGAATTTGTTTCATCTTATCCTGAAAGTGTGTAGGGATTTTGCCGATGCCCTTTGTATCTCTTTGAGGGTTGTGTGAAAGTTTCAGAATGAAAAGTTGATTTTTATGTTTTGAACATTGTGCTCAGCTCATCTTCAAGAGAATATTATTAACCCTAACCAACCTCGACCCTTCAAAATCCAACTGCATGTTGAAATCTGTTGGAGTGAGTACTGCACTAGTAAACTGATTATGCTTTATATTGGTTAAGGCATACCACCATAATCAGAGTCCAACAATTTTGGGTGTAGAGTTTACCGTTATGATGTTTGATTTTGCAAGAGTGAGGAAGGTTCCTAGTAAATCACTCAAGGGGGTTAGGGTTAAAGTCTTATTCATGTGACCCTTTGATGACATATATGATATTCTGATAGAACAACCAACCCCTTTGTTCAGCATGTTCAGACTCTAGACACGTCCCAACAGAAAGAACTCTCTTGTGCACTGTGTGTATCTATCAGATGGAATGCAATTAATAATTTTGAACGGGATCTTGGGTGGATTCAGCAGGGATTTCGACTGTGGCTGTGAAATGTGAGTACCAATTTCACTTGTACTTACAACAAATAACAGCAGAATGCAGTGAGCGCCAACATCAACTGGATGATTCTGCAATGGGTAAAAAAATGATGGCAAGACATTAATATGGGTATTGAGAAACATTTGAAAGTTTGTTAGGAAATCGGGCCTAGCTAGGGGCCTTCTTAGAAAAGTTTCTTGACTCTCCATAACTTTGGTCATAACCGCTGAAGTGGCGTACAGGTTGCAACATTCTTTCCGACTGACCTTCATTGATATAATGATGATGAAAACAAAGTGGCATCAGGATGCTCAACACAACATGTCAACATAACACACAGGGGCGTAAATCCCGGGGGGGGGGGGGGGGGGGGGGGGGGATGATTGTTTTTTTTTACCCCCCTCCCACTTTTTGACCAGGGGGGGATGGGCTATTGAATCATCCCCCACTTTTTCGTCATGAGAAAAAAATGTGGATTTCGAGGTATGTTTCAACATCCCAATGACCAGAATGTATTGAATAACACTGAAAAGTAGAGAAACAAAGCACAAAAGCTTTTAAAATGCGCCTATTTGATGTAAGCTTGAGTATACATCTAATTAGATACATCCAACATGCCCAATTCATGAAGAGCGCCCCCTAGTGTAATGTGGTGTCCAGCCCCCCCCCCCCCCCCCCCAGCCCTGGTTTTTCGAATTTCCATGGAAGGGCAATTTTTGGATATTGGTCATCCCCCACCTCCCCCTCTTCCCCCCCCCCCCGCCCCCCACCACCACTCGCTGGCACAGATTTACGCCACTGAGTGACACAGGTACAGTACACACCACTGATGTCGGAAATACACGCCTTATCCCAAACTACATACGTAATCCAAATAATCAACACAGTGTAGGACAGTTCAACACTGCATTGATTTTTCGCTACTGGAAACTCACCCTCTATCTGCTCTTTTCCGTGGAACAACAAATGGAAGAACAATGCCTATAAATGCCCATATTACTGTCACAATAAGGAGCGTTATCCAAGCACTTGCCATACTTAAATCACGTCGTATTCTCACCGATGCTTTCGTTAAAAAAATAAAATCACTCTACAGCTCAGTGCAGTAATGATCTATGCATATAGCAATTGTGTCATGTGATTAGTAGTCTGGTCCCCCTGTTTCGGATATTATCCAATTTCTGTTGATAACGTCTGGGTGACACATAAGTCTACAAACCTAAAAATAGAACAGCCGCTTGATTGGTTTATATTATAATTATTGCACTTTTACGTCATGACAACCTTTTGATAAATGAGCGTTCCAGCTCACATTTAATCAAAGATGTCTGAGCTCAGTGCCAGAACAAAGTTACATACTCTAAAAACAACTTACATGACTGGTTTTAGTCCTATAGTTATTGAAAATTGAATACGAATCAAAGTTTCATATAACCCATAATAAAGTAGTATAGTTGGAAACGACTCCAATTTCAGTTATTTGCATAACTATTTTTCCAAAGTCAATAATACTGACTTGAAAAAATATAGTCAGATTGACTGATTCAATTTGCACCCAGCTGACCCTGAATGTGGCTATAGTCAAAGTTAACTGGGTTCTAGTCAAATCTGAATAATGTGTGTGTGTTTTTTTATTTATTTTTTTAGAGTGTATCGTATCTTGGATAACGTAATTAATCGAGTTGGGCTAGAACAGCATCGTGTCGATGTCCAGCCCATAATACACACTGCATGCATTGCATATAAATTATCTCCCGAAAAACACCGCGTTGCCATATTGCAACACTAGAGAACTAGGCCTACAACCACTGCACTCAATATCATCTGACACAGCTCATTCATCAAAAACAAAGGTCATAACGGTGCAGTGATTTAATTTATTTGTTGATCTGAAGGAGTTGAAAATTCTTTATCTTTATTGGCACAGTATACTATGACTGCTGTGATCATTGTGATGTGGAATATGTCGTTTTTAACCCGGGCCCTCGGGTTGCACAGCGCCCTCCTCGGATTCTAGGCCCTCGGGTGTTAACAATCAAGATACACGTTGAACTTAACTTTGAAAATGTTTTGTAAAATTTGTAAAACAATTAACGCATGAATGTAAAAAAGTGAATGATAAGATTGATAGGCCTATATTTGTAAATAATTGAGTGTTGTAACGCCTGAAACGCCATACCGGGAAGTCGATATTTCAAGTACGGCGGTTTAACATTTTTATATATGTTTTATATTTATAGCCTGAATATTTTAATAACACTTGAAGTTCAAGACAGCGGCCAATCCATCCAGTCGCCACCAACGGTCACCACCGCCGATCATTGAACGCTGAGGGTTTCAAAAACAATGTCCTGCCTAAGCGTATTGGCTGCGGGGTTATTACTTTATACAGATTAAATTTGTTAACTTAGATATTTACACTGTAACATCGTAAGTGTATTAGAAGTGTATTAGAAGTTATTAAATGCATGCTTCTTTTATTAATTAAAAGTCAATAACATAACCAAATACTAGAAAGCATCACAGCTAGAACGCAGAGCTCCACCACTGAGCTAAACAATTTCCAAATTCCCGCCATCATTATTGTCAGTACTACACCCAAAAGATGATACTTGCATAAATGGTGAACAATCTTTAAAACCAAGGACCACCTCAAAAATAATTTCATGCAAATCCGTCCATAACTGTTTGAGCTATCATGTTATCCAACACTTGAAGAATACTTTTTTGTTGTTTATTTGCCTTTGCTTATTGTTCTGTTCTTGTTGGGTTGTGGGGTTGTTTTTTGTTTGATTTGTGTGTGTGTTTTGTTTTTTTGCTGTTTTCCTTTTGTTTTTGGAATTTGGGGTGATTCTGTTTGTGGAATATGCCATGTGTTATTTATAACTTTGACCATTGTTAAAAAATTATAATAATGGCCGTAAGTGGCGACCATTGATCTCCATATACACATAATGTATATGGAGATCAATGGTGACGACCAAAAACAGCTAGCAAGAGGGCGCTGTTGTAAACACCTTTCTCCTCGGCCTCCAGAGGGCGTGATTTCTCGCAAGTTTCGTGCAAAGATCAGTACTCTGGATTCCCTTCTTATTTCTTTAAAAGGTAGGGTTTGTCACACACCATTTGCCAATATCAATAATTAGGTGGATAAACAAAGCTCAATTTTCCCTTGCAATGGGGATTGAGGGTCACTCTACCTTTTCATTAAAGCCAAGGCTTTCCCGGTGTTTTGCGCTTTCTTGCAAATCACGCAATCTTAGTCATGTTAGTCTTACATGTCTTTTATGCTGATGAGGGATGAGCGCACATTCTTAAGAACGAGCACGCAATCTGAAGAATGAGTACTCCTAGAACTATCAGGCTCCACGTAGTGGACCCCTTTGTGGAGCCTCATAGTTCTAGGAGTAAAGAATGAGCGCTCATTCTTAAGATTGCGTGGGAATATCAAGTGCGCAATTGATGAATTTTGCGCAATCTTAACAAACATTGCACGGCATAATTATGTTAAATGAAATGTATAGCGGTTAATTAAACTTAAAGGGGAAATAATTCATATAATGAGGAAAGAAAATGATCTATGCTTCTGTACTTGTTTAACTACGATAATTTGAATCAAATTAAACCTGTTATTATTAATTTGTCTGCCCACTATGGGAAGTTTTGTAATAATGGAGGACTGGGAACTAGTCTGGGAAGTGCTTTGTTTAGGCTAGACAAGTTACAAGTCCCTGTTTGTATCATATGCATGTCACGAAAAAAAAAAAACGATGTCCAGAAGGCTGCCAAAATTGCTCTTTTGTAGACTATACAATCCAACTCTGCGACGTAAGGGTGGGGTGTGAACAATAGCAATTTAAGTGGAAAATAGCATTAGCGCTATGGGATGTCACTATTCATTCTCATTCTTCACATTCTTCATTCTTACGCCCCCCCCCCCCCCCTTTTGTTATGCCAAAAATCAGAATTCTTTCCAATACACTGTTATTATGTCTCTTATTTTTTTCCCGGTCCCCTGAATACGTGTATACTTTCATATCCACTCTACTTTTCATCGTTAAATCTTTTCCTAGGTAAGTGACCTTGCATTGCAACAGTATAATTGTTAAGAATCAGTGAACAAGGATGCAGCTAGACTTGCCAAGCGCAGCCGGTGCTCGGCATCGACAAGACCGTTATCTTGTCGTGCATTCTTAAGAATGTGCGCTCAATCTGGAAGTGGTTTTTTTGCGAAGATTGCGCAAGGATCCGGTTGCGCAATCATAAGAATGTGCATGCGCATGCTTATGATTGCGCAAATCACAAGAAAGCGCACAGCACCAACAATGTCAAATCAGAGACAAGTGAACTGAACTGTGAACAGATGAATGATCATGACTGTTGAATTTGGGAAAGAATGTTGCAACCTGACGCCACTTTTTTCTTCATATATCATCTCAATGAATGTCATTCGTTGCAAAAATGATGATAAGACATGAATCTGGGACTGAGAAATATTTCCAATTTTGTTAAGAAATACTATCTCCATAGACTTTCATGATTACCAAAAGGTGTCAATATTAGAATTGAGAGAAGTCTGCTTTTATAGCCTTGAAAAGGTCATTTTTGAATGACAGAAAACAGTAGCCAGGTAACCAGTAACGGCTTGACTCTTGATCGAAACTAAAAAGAGGGGCCGGAAAGATTCCCATATCTGGCCATCACTAATTTTTCCCATCACTTCATTGATCAGAAAGAATATGTCCTAAAAATCAAATTTAGCAGGGAAGATATTGAAATTTTTAGTGAGAAAACACTGATTTTCAAGCCAGTCTTTCAGGGCCCGTATAAAAAAAATCTCAGAAAGTAGGATTTGATGAAGAACATAAAAAGTAAAGAAAAGTATTAGGCCTAGGCCCCTACTAATATTTAAAAAGACCCCCCCCCCCAAGAAAAAAAATGTCACTGCGTGGATGAGAATTTCAAACTTCAAAAGGCTATTATTACCTTGGAATATCCAGCTCACTCCGAGAGTCAAGCTAATATTTGAAAGCAATTAATTGTTGCTGTAATGATGCCATTTTCTGGGTATGAACACCAAAAAACATTATTGAAGCAGTTTAGATTATTAGTAACTTTACTTAATTCTAAAAATTAATGATTGAGGTAACCAGGCAGGAGCATGTTTCACTTATGAAAGTTTGGTTCAATAGAGACTAAGAATAGTGGATCTGATCTTTATAAGATGACCCCAGCAAGCCTGGTGGTCGAGTGGCAAGACGTCAGCACTGTAGTAAGCAGGAGGTTGTGGGTTCGAGTCCCACTCTAGTAACTTTTTTTTTTTTACATGCCTCGGACAACACTGAGTATACAGTGTAATAAAATTTGTGTCTGATTTTGTTGTTGCCTTGTTTTTCCTACATTCAAGGTCTGTCTTGAAAAGCCGAGACGCCAGGGAAAATATGAACACGGACATCTCCAAGCTGTTCAGTTCAGAGAGGTAAAAATAGGAATGAATTTTTTCAAATTCGTACACATTTTTTTTTTTGAAATTCAAATGAATTTTATCAATTTCATGCAAGTTTTAAGATGCGAACACATTGCCACCACAGCAATCCACATGTAAGACGTTTCGGTCATTCATTGGACTGGGGTTGAAACACAGATTTTGGGAAACCCTTTTCAAAGTACCGGTACGTGTAGCAATAATGCAACACAGCCTCTACACAGGTTCAAACACAGGCAAATTCAACCCTGGTTGGAACCAGGGTTGAGAAACTCTACCCAAGTAGAAAATTCAAAATGAACAGCCAAACCAGTGTGAGTGTGAATGGTACCTCTTGCCTATCCGTGATTGATTGGTCCCCGTTCAGGTTCAATGGAACCTTGTTGATTTGATTTTGAGGTTGGGAGTGTGGCCTAGTGGTTAGGGTTTGTGACTCATGATCAGACGGTCGGGGTTTGAATCTAGCTACTGGCCATGTCTTTTGTCCTTGGGCAAGCCACTTCACCCCCACTTGCCTCTCTCCACCAAGGAGTATAAATGGGTACCGGCATTAGCTGGGGAGTATCCTTCGTTGGACTAGCATCCCATCCAGGGGGAGGAGAAATATTCTCAGTTGCTTCATGCTCCTGAAATGGGAGATATACTCATGCCCGATGGGCCACATTGGCTACTGACAGACTTTACTTTTACTTTTGTTGATTTGAACATGGGTAGGCGAGACGGTAGTGTAAATAACAGCCTATATTTATGCTCCTGTGTTTGCCCATTTTTATTTTGAATAAAAGGCTGACAGGGGGGAGTCTGGCTGGCATTCTGCTGCTCCTCTACATGCCCCTGGGCTTGATCCTGACAGTACTACGCATCTTTCTTGGTTTCCATGTCTTCATCATATCCTGCCTGCTTCCAAGATCCTGGCTGATTAGAAGGTATGTCCGGCCTGAATTGGCTGCCTGCTTAACAGGGTTTCATCTAGGATTTACAAAACTGATCGTCATACCGTGGTGCACTTTCAAAAGTACCCGTCGTCATGGCAAGAAGGCGCATCATTCTCGTGCGATCTGCTGATTGATGTACCAACATGTCTTGGGCGCATTCGGTGTAATATTATTTTTGCGCGATCGACCGATAGCTAGCTGCGCAAAAGCTAGCTGCGCAAAAGATAGATTGCTCATCAAACACATCCACTTTTTGTTGCGATTGATCGTGCAACAAAAAAGACATAATTTATTTTTTGCTGCACCATCGGGCTATCGCGCAAGCAAATTGACAGAGGGCGCCCATTATACACTGGTGTCCCTGGTACCGAGCACAAAATATGCGTAAAATGGTTACGGGCACCAACCCAGGCAAATTGAAGACATTGTGAACGTGTGCATGCAGTGCAAACGTCCGTCATGTGCGTGTGTTTATGCTGTTGTATGGAGCTAAAAATGCTGGGCAGAGCAAGTGGCTGACTGCCGGCCGATTGTTCGCCTAGATTAAGAGGTACATGTATTTTGGGTATTTTTGTGTTTTCTTTCAAGAATACAACTTACTCGCTTCGTTTTTGTATCCTTTTTTCCGAACAAAACCCACCCGTCATTTTTGATGTCCATTTGCCGAAATTCTGCCCGTCATGTTTTATTGTCCATTTCGCAAAGCGCCCGTCCAAACTCACAAACGGCCCGTCCAAAAGGCGGGTGGACGGGTTGCTAGATGAGACACTGCTGCTTAATGCAGCTTATCTTTCTTAACAGAATGTTGTGGAGGAAACACAGAGTATTGTGGCTATCAATATAAAATATTGATTTTATAACAAAACTTATGCTTAGTCAATTTTGTGTAATTCTATAATGAACTGTTATTGAAGGTCAGTTGTTCTGAAAATATTTGTCCTTATCGCTTGACATTTTGACTTGAAAAAATATTCTCTGAATACTCAATGTTGACTTAAGAAACAACAAGGAGCCTTTTATCACTGTTCTACTGAAGTGACCCAACAATTTTGATGTAGTTTCAAAGTAAAACCCGCTTGAATCTAAGGAACAGTAAGGCTGCTCGAAGTGGGTCTGCTATACTGATGTACTTTTATAGTCAAGCAGTGGCGTATCCAGAGGGGGAGGGGGCACTCCCCCCCCCCCCCCCCGGCGGATTTTTTGGACATTTTTTTTCATCAATAATTTCAAAAAATGGTCAGATAGTTCTGACATCAATCCCACAAAAGAAAACCCGCTCAAAAACCATTACAATGTGCCATGAAAATGGGCATATCATTTGCAGTATGCATAATAATTTTGGAAGAGTGCTCCCACTTGAAAGATGGGTACAAGCCAGTTTCACTTTTAGGCTAATGTTATTTTTTTTGGTAATATTTAGAGTGAACCTGCAGTTGTATGTGGAGTTCATATAATAAAGAGTCAGTAGATAGTAATCTAAACTACACCATTGAATACTTTATTCATACAGCGGAAAAAAATCAAAAATATTTTAGGCTACTTCACTCTTCCATAGACTGACAAAATTGAGCTAAAGTATTTACTGAATGAACAATTAAGTTAACAAGCACACTTTTTTTTTTTTTTTTTTACAATCACAAGTTTGTGCATGAATACAACATGTACTATTCCGTCATTATATTTTTTTTACTACTTTTCAGCCAAAGGCAAAACTGCCAATTTTGTTCGTATTTTTGTGCAACACAATCTTTAAGTGACAACATATAGTTTAAATACATCAATGTACCCATACTGAAATTTGTATCCTTGTGGAGACATTTCTTTGTTCTCGTGATCTGTTACACGCTACCCTCTGGAGACATGTGCACAATAGGGAACAAAAGATTGTATATACGTCTCCACAGGGCAATTTCTATAGGTGAATACGTCTCCACAAGATTATCACGAAATAGATATATGGATTTTACTCAAAAACTAGGAATTTCCAAGGTGTGTTGATCAGTCGCAAATTGAAGTATTTTATGTAACTTTGTAAGGGATATTAAATCCGAATTTCAGCCCAGGAAATTAATTCTGGTTAAAATAGCAGCATTTTGAAAGTTCACTTTCGAAAATTTAGTACAATGTTACGTACACATTTTGTGTGTGAATACTGAATACACACGGCACAAATACACAAAATGTTATTTCTCAAACGTCCGCACAATGCGATACCGTGCAGCTGGATACACAACTAGCACTCAACAGCTCGATTTTTCAGGGACAAAATTATGACCCCCGAAATTCGTTCTCGCATAGTTCTTGCTAGAATAACACAAAAACGCCCTGTTTGTAAAGGACGGTTAGGCGGACATTCATATCCAACTTTCAAATGCTCTTTCCAATATTTTTGTTTAAAATGTGTTTTGGACCACAATTAGGCTCGTTCAAGGACGTTCCAGCACAACTAACAGTAGCACAATATTAGCTGCACAAACCATGACAACCAGGCAAGTAGCAGAGGTAACCATGGTAACTGAATTTCCCTAATTTGTGCGTGTTGTTCAATGTAAGAAGGCAATTTCAAATAGTCTGGTGATAATGATGTGAATGGCCCTGTTCCTACAAGAGAACAAAAAATCCACTTCTACGTGTATATTACTAGACGCACCTAATAACACTGTACAAGTGGGTGTTGAAAAGCAAGTTCTTCAATGTCATGTGATTAGGCCACAAAAAAAAATAGTCGGTCTCTGGTCAGACCGAAGTTCCGGAATTGATGCGGCGACGCATTTTTTTTTTTTCAAGCTTGTTTTGTACAGACAAGGTGGGTACTATTTTGCTTTTTTGTGTCCTCATTATACATTGGTGTCCTCCATAATTTGCCTTGGTGCCCTTTATCATTTGCCTTGGTGCAATTTCCCCATTCCTTGGTGCTCCTTGGTACAAAAATTTGAGGAGGCGCGGCAATAGAGGGCGCTGTTGTAGCTTCCGTGTTAATTTGAAGAAAAAAAAAGGTTGACGTGCATGATTAAAATCGACGCGCGCGCTGACCAGAGACCAACTATTTTTTTTTTGGCCTTAAGAGGGCAGGGTTGCACTTATTTTTAAAGGGAATTTTTGGATAAAAAAAAAACGGTTACAATGTACAACAAATTAAATCACAGCAGATCACACGTGTACGTGAAATTCAGGGAAAGAAAATCGCATTTTCAACAACAAAAATACAGTTCAAATTTGAAACACATGGGGCCTTTAGAATTAAGAGAAGATTGCCTAAAGTTGCTGGAGTCATTTTGGAATGATAAAAACACTCTCAAGACGAATTAAGACGGGCGCGCTGCCAAGTATAGAAATGTACTCGCCACAGAAAATAGTGTGCTAAGCAAATACAGGCATGCAACTTTTCCTCGGATCTGCTGATTTCCTCGTTTTTTACTTCTCATGAATGCCATTACAAATTGAAAAACACTGTATAAAGTCTTGTGTGGTTTGGAATTTCCTCACTTTTCCTAATTTCCGAGTTGCATGCCTGCAAATAGTGGTTACAAGTCAAAATACGGAGTGAGTCAAAAAGAAAATGACCTGGGACCGATTTCACGAAACGCTTCGAACTTAGAAGACGTGTCTTAGAAAGTGTTACTCATCTTAAATTGCGACTCGTCCTAGGGTCGATTTCACCAAACTTAAGACGCGTTCAACACGTCCTAACTTCCTTAGCAACGAGGCTAAATTCGTTTTAACTTAAGATCGGTCTGAGGGTCGTCTTATCTCATTAATATGCATCTGTTAATTTGAATATCATCTGGAAATCATTGCTGTTTAAGATGAGTGTTGGCCCAGAGTTATAGTTTTGAGGAAGAAAACTGCTGTAGAAACAGATTTGAAAAGATTTTTGATACTTGGGTAGTTTTAATCAAACTAGCTTATTTACAAGATTCAATGATACGCCAACAGCTACAGTAGTCGACTTTGAAATTATAGAGTGATGAAATGGGGAACAAGAACGACTCGATCATACCTTGTGTAGACCGACCTTTCATGTGATGATATTCATTGAGTGGAGTAATTTTTCAGGCGAAAGTTTGTGTTCTAACTTCTTACAATGTACACACGTGTGGAAAGTTGGTTTGAGCATTTCTTGTCAACGACCGTTTCGTCAAGCGGTAAAAACAAACATGAAGCAGCCATCACATTAGTAGTTTTGATGCGTCTTGCTTTAAAAGATATGTGTTTCGTGAAATCGGCCTTGGGACGTGTCTTAGCTAAGATCGATCCTAGAGTGGGGACTTGTCTTAAGTCCTAAGGCCAAAAATAAAAAGTCTCCGGTTTCTGGTATGGAGCTTGCTCCAAAAGTGGTGCGGCGACGCGGCTTTTTTTTTTCTTTTCTTTTTCCCTTCAAATGTCGGCTGATTACTGCAAACGGTGCCTGACTAAATTTATTGTGCAAAATGTATTGGAGCCCAGAGAGGCCACATAAAGCTTATACTCGATCGTAACCCCATCTAAAAATACGTTAAAATTGTGCAGCAGCAGGATTCCAGTCAAACCAGTGAGTTTGGCGGTTTTGAGACATCTTACATTGAAATTTTTTTTTTTAAATTTTTTCGACGCGCATGGCTACGGCGACGTGCAAACATACCAGAAACCGGAGACTTTTTTGGGGGGCCTAAGATGATTACAAGATAAGACAAGTTTCATGGAATCGGCCCCTGCTTTGACACCCCACAACAATTATAATAAATTATACGCCTGTGCTCCAAAAACGGACAGAGCCTGCTGGGTTACGGGTATTTGTAGACTATCCTACAGTATAGTGTTAATAATTGTCGGATTTGAACAGTGCTCCCATTGAAAGTATGGTACGAGGTCCCCCGCCCCCTTGATTTTGAGGAGCCGAGTGTCCAAACAAAAAAGCCTGTCTACATTTCAGCAATGATTTGCTGATGAAACCACACCCCCCCCCCCCCCCTGCAAAAAATCCTGGATCCACACTTGAATTTTATAATTAAAGGACATTCAGTCTACTGAAATGTTGTACCGGTAAAATTTACTTCCTAACTAGAATTTTGTTTTTTAATTTTAAAATTTATTAGCCCCCTTTTTTAAGTGAAAGATAAAATTTAAGAAATACATAAATATTTACATTCTGTGTACATGTGCTTCACTATATCACAAGAAACTTAAAGTTTGTATTGTTAGCCCATGCAGGTTTGTGTTCCTTCCTGCATGGTTAGCAATACAATTGTTTTTTTTTATTATTGTTATTTTCTCCTCTTTCCACATTGAGCCACAAGCTTAATGAAAATACTGGTTTGTAAACAAGTGCAATATTTATGCCTGTAATATATCATGCATTCATAAATACCTAAGACAGTTTACGCATTCCTATTGGTCGAGAGCCCGTCACGTGGCCGGTCTTAAACGGATGATAAAGACATGGCTAGCTGGTCTTAAACACTTTTCCAGTGTCACAATAAAATGTGGACTCCTAAAAATTCAAGTGCCTCTTATCGTTTCATTGGTTGAACGTTCACAATCCTCACGTAGGCATGCGCAACACTACCAGGGAGTCAAAATTTTATAGTTCTAAATTCAAAACGCAACGCGCCAGGTGCGTTCTGGCGACATCGCGCAGAACATGATACGCGCGCGTCAATCTCCATAAAAGGGTTGTTTACATCTTACTCGCCAGCTGAACACTCCATTATTTTGCAAGAGGGATGTTTCAAAAAGCATAACGTGAATTTGTTGAACAAAATCGGGATGTTTTGAACGAATTATATGATTTTTTCTTACCGAAAAGGTATTTATGAATGGGAATAAATATGTGCTCCGTCGGTATTTATCACTCTGTTTAAGACCACTTAGAGTCTGGGTGCTGATAATTACCCTCGCCTCCGGCTCGGGTAATTATCAGCACCCAGACTCTAAGTGGTCTTAAACAGAGTGATAAAAACCTCCGAAGCACACATTTATTCCCTTAGTCTTAACCGGAACCATGTTTGCATGTTTCGTTTGATTCTGTTGGAGTGAGTACCGCACCAGTAAAACTGATTATACTTTGTACATGGAGTCAGGCGTACCGTTAATCACCAGAGACCAACAGTTTGGGTGCTGAGTTACTATATGGTGTCTGATTTTGCAAGAGTGAGGAAGGTTCCTAGTAAATCGCCCAAGTGGGTTAGGGTAAAAAGTAAAATGTGGAATCCAGAACTGCCCAGTTTATTCACTTTCACGAATTTTCATAGTGGTCTTTTTGAGAGATATAGAGCTATCCCATACCACGTGACTTCCCCATTGGACTCCGTGAGCAAGTGGAGGCGCGCCATTGGGGTAGTATTTACCATTCAGATGTGACCAGTGACACCGATCGAACCACCAAGCCCCCTCGAACAGCTGTGCACAGTTTCCGTCTGTTTTTTTGTCGTTGTCCTCGTCTTGGGTAGTAAACGCCTTGTTGTTGTGTATCCACAGTGCGTCCCCAGCATCCCCACTGAAAGAGCCAATCTCCAGAACGTACTTGTCTCCCATTATCTTGAAACTGCTGTACGCCGCCGTACGTTTCTGCCCCTGAAAGTCTTCCAAGTCAATCTGCAGAGTCCATCCCCCGTTCGATTCGGTCAGGTTGCGCAGGTTGTCGTTGCCCAACCAGAACTCGCCTGTCAGGCTGCCAAAGCCGGCGCGGTAGTGATTCCAGTCGCGGTAGAAGTCCACGGTGCCGTCTTGACGTCTCTGAAAGACGATCCACCCTCCGCCGTTGTCTGTCTGATCACAGTAGACTTGTAGGCCACCACTAAGACTGTCAGGGTAGATGGTGTAGACACCACTTTGCTTGTAGCCTGTCGCCAGAAGCTGCTTACAGCTGGTAGGTAGTGGACTTTGAGTTGACACGGGAGAGTCGGTGACCAAGGATGTGCTGCAGCCAGAATCGGATACTGCTGATGGGCCAGACTCGTAGTAGGTGCTTCCAGCTCGTTTGACAAACTGGCTTGGGTCAGAGTCATTCCGCGTGGCGTCATTCAATTGGCACAGGTTGCCACTGTTCGCATAGTTGAACGATGCACAAGCCGGGTTCGCCAAACAGTATTTGGCACAGCTGAGAACCGAACCAGCAGTTTTAACCGCCAGCACGTGCCCATGCAAGGCGCGATTCCAGACACCCTGGTAGTTTGATCCGTGAGAACAATTGTCCAGCTTTACACATACTATCAGGGATATCAGGATCAGCAGAAGGACTGAACATCTGGGAAAGCATTGAGTGTTGGCCATGTTGAAAGCTAAACGCTTGTGATCTGGTCATCAAGTTGTCTCATCTGGGGAAAAGAAAAGAAAACTCTGTGTTTTTTTCCCTTCAGGCTGTACATGTAGGTGACAGCCACTGTCATCCAAGCAATCAGTGATAGTGTTCAAGGCAGCGCCACAGCTAGATAATTAACCAGTCACGTGTGATATATTACAGTGCGAAGTTCTCGTCTTGGTTGGTTCAGATATTGCAGTTATATAGCTGGCAAAGTGGGGTGGAGGTCAGGGAGGTAATAATAACAAGTGAGTTATTAAGGCACGGGTAGAGTTAGACCTAGTCTAATTTGGAAACAAGTATGAGACAGGCTTTTCAAAATCTCCGTTATGAATAGTAGGCGAGACACTAGACTAGGTATATATTTGAAAGTAGGTGGAGCTAACAAGTTTATATGGCTTGTTGTATACTTTACACTTGTTCAAACTTATGCAGGGTGGGTAATTATTTCAAATTACACAGCTGAGAAAACAGGCTTTGAAATTGCTGGCTTTGTTGTGGAACGATGAAACACAAAATGGTTGTTTTTCTCATTTTATTTCTGTGAAAGAAACCTGAAACTGTAGGTATTGAAGATGTCATTCATGACAAACAGCGATTATATCACATTTTGACGAGACGTTCACCCTCCCAATGTTGAGTGGACCATTACACAATACCTTTTCTGTGGAGCTGGTCACATATTAGGAGGTCTCGTGTTGGTAACAATGCCGTTGTATTGTAGTGATATTGGTAGTGATATTGGCTGATTAATATTAGCTGCCAGCCTCGGCATCCAAGCCAGCAGTGACAAAAGATGGAGACTCAGACAAGCTGACGCCAAGTCACAACTCAATAATCACCCAATCAAGTGTAAAATATTAGAATGCACAGGTCTCGTGTTGATCCGTCAGCCGTGCTGATGCATTGTAATGATATTAGCTGACCACGTGGTTTTCTGCTGGCACACTCATTTTGAAATCAAAACCCCCCCCCAAAGAAAAAAATATTTGGAGTTTTCTTCCTTTATTGTTGTAAAACGAATTTGACATTTAAAATTTGACATTGCAGAATAAGCCCTCTTATTTTCCCTAATTTTTTGAAGTTTTTTTTTAAATGGAAATAAAGTCCGAAATTGCATTAGGTTGATTCCCATCATGTCAATACACAGTCACAACGACAATGAAAGCATGGAACCAGAAAAAGATTCACAACGGTGAAAAATTCTACGTCCCCAAAAAACGCTGACTGCGCGCATGTTCAGTTCCTTGCAAGTAAAAGAGCTGTAACAGGGACTGGTTCACAGTCCATTATACAATGGGATATATTTTGACTGCAACTTTATGGTTTAGTATACATGTTTTAAACTGAATATTGCTGTAATCTACTTGTGTATGAAAATTATAGATGTCCGATAATAAAAATGTTTGATATGATACCTGGAAGACAAGCATACATGTACATGTAGAATAATACATATTACTTAATTAAGTAGTTTTTAATGTTTCTCTAGCTTATGTGGAGGCCATTTTTGAGAAATAAGTTTTGTAAATGTAGATGTAGATCAGAGGTTGTTATTTTTGTTTACATTCTTTGTACTTTTGTTTTGGTCTTTTGTAGAGTTGTTCTGCGAGTGATGTGTCTATTTCTCGGCCTGGCCATCTCACACGAAGGTCTGGAGAAGAGGGACAGGGCAGCCAAAGTCATTGTGGCCAATCACGTCTCAGTCTTTGATCATGTGACCATTGGACTGGTTATTCCATCTGTCGTTGTGAGTCACAATTTTCGATATTTTGAAAGCCATTCACATATCTGCAGATCTTGGCCATACTTGCTTTCCCTAATTATAAAATTATGATAGACTCCATGCTTATTATATTAGTTATTGAGGCATTTGTTTCAAATTTCTCCAAGGGATCTAGCCTTGGTCAAGGGGCTCGTCATTATTCATCCGTAGCGTGATACCTCGCTAGCACCATTATTCATCCGTAGCGCGATACCTCGCTAGCATCATTATTCATCCTTAGCGCGATACCTCGCTAGCATCATTATTCATCTGTAGCGCGATACCCCGCTAGCATCATTATTCATCCATAGCGCGATACCTCGCTAGCATCATTATTCATCTGTAGCGCGATACCTCGCTAGCATCATTATTCATCCGTAGAAAAAAAAAAGCGGCAGCCTCCAAAAAGGGAGCGGCCGGGGACGCTAAACATATTTTTTTGTTTTATTTGGCCTAAATAACAACTTTTATCACATTCTGGTGCAGAAATTTAAAATTCTATTGCCGACTAGTGAAAAGGCCTGTGGACTAAATAATAGTCTGGTTCACTAGTCCAGCTAACTAGAGAAAAAAAAGAGTTGAGGGTGAACCCTTCTATCCCAGCTGAACGTCAAGTAATAAAGGGTTTAATCAATGGTTCTCTCGTAGCCCAATGTCTGGAGCCTACCGGCCTTCATGACCTGGGCCTTGGGATACACCGAGATGGGAGCCAGGGAAGGTCGACGGACCCTCCTGCAGACCCTCAAGACTTATTTCGCCAGCAACACTCTACCCATCACCTCACTGCCCGAGGGGGCCATGACAAATGGCAAAGTTGGGCTGCTTAAATTTAGGTACGTAGCATTAGCACCAGGTCCATTTTACTCATCTGTATACAGGTACAGTAGATGACTTCTAAAACTTATTGGTAAGAGAAAACCAAAGTGAAATACTTGACAAAAGTATTTACAGAAAAAAAAAAATTGTCTGAACTTTCTTTTGTATTTTGCTAAATTACAAAATTAGACTTAGGTGGGATTCTAACCTGTGCCTGCCAATTTGAACATGCAGTTGTGAGCAGGAAAACCATATATCCACATGGGTTCCCAGTCTATTTTTTTTCTCACAAGCTAATAAGTAGATTGTGGCATTTCTTGAAAGCTCTCGGAAAACCCAGAAATAGAGTGTTCAAGATTACGTCCGTAGTGGACAAAGTCAACATAAATAGTTGACAGCATCCCTCATCCCTCCTCCTGTTAATGTTTTAATCTCATTACTTGCAGCACTTGGCCATTTGATCTGGGCGAGGCGGTCCAGCCGGTTATTCTCAGGGTCAGGCGACCACTTCTCGGTGTCAACGTGGAGTCCATCGGCAGTAGCCTCTGGAAGGACATCTTCTGGTTCTTGTTTGTCCCCTTCACGCACTTCCATGTCAGGTTGGTATCCGCGCACACTGTGGCACGATCCTGTGTACAATCTATGACAATCCACTGGTTCCAATTAGTAAGTGAGAAATTAGAAAGGAGACTAGAATAACGATCCACTCTCATGTTACGATATTGTTGGTTTGTGGCCATATTTGAAATTTGAATGGGGAATTAAGGTTATGTTTCAACAATGTGAAACCAGTTTATAAACAGGCAACACAGAGGTGTTTACTTTCCCAAATGGTCAATCTTAAATGACCAATTTAGAAACATAGATGTATAAAACATATATAAAATCTAACAGAGATAATGACCTCCATCTCTGCGCCCTAAACCTCACCCCTGGGCTGCACCACTAGGCCATGCCCATCATGCCTGAGCTGCACCACTCTTCATGGGACAGTACCCACAGTGTTCTCCATTCGGCATTACCTTTCATCCCAGGGCCTCACCACTTGTACCTGGCACGTCACCCCTACTCTTACCCCTGTCCTGTCACCCCTCATACCTCCAGCCTTACCCCTCCCATCCCTCCAGCCTTACCCCTACCCCTCCAGCCTTACCCAACCCCTCCAGCTTTACCCCCACCCCTGGCCTTTCATTTCTGGCTCCTCTCTTCTCACTCCACACCCACGTTTTTCAACCCGTTGCCTCTGGCTCTTTTACTCCTCATCCCTAGCCCCTACTCTCCTAACCCTTGGCCCTCACCTGTGTCCCCTTCACCCCCACTCCCTCACCCCTCAACCTCCTCAACCCTCACTCCTCACCCTTTGGCCTTTACCTTTCCCTTACCCAAATGGATACACTGATACTGCCCAGAACTTGAAAACCTGACTGACTTTTTCATTAGAACTCTGCATTTGCTTATATATGCATTTGACTCCCCGTGCATACTTGCAGACTACTACCCTCCCAAAGACGGGCGGAATCGGAGACCGTTGAAGACTACTCCAGACGGGTGCAGGGCATAATGGCCGACGAACTGGGCACAAAGGTCACCCCATTCACAAGTGCAGACAAGGCAGAGTACATCAAGCGGTCTTACGTTTACCAACCAGAAGGTGGGTACCACTAGTTTTTAAGGATTTTTTTTATTAGATGAAACTTGTTAGTTTGACCTTCAAACTGTGTGTTTCCCTCAACTTGGAAATCAAGAAGCTTGATTTTATGATCATAACATAATGAATGCCTTATAGGGAACAAAATATCTCTAAGATATTTTAAAATTTTAGAAACTTCACGTTGCAGTGCCCGGATGTCTGCATTTTAGTCTTCTGAACATGCATGTAGTTTTAATAAAAACAACATATTACGAAAAAGGACCATACGTTTTGTTTCACAAATTTAGACAAGCTTCTTATTGAGTAACCTTTGACCTTTGTCTGGAAATATACCTGTCCCCATCGGGGCCCTCAAGTAACCTCCCTGAAATCATACAATTATTCCGCTTCTCAGCGCGGAGGTTGTGAGTTTCTCACAAGACAGAAATGCTGTTCTTGTAGTCTGGTTCCCTGATCCCACCTTCAGACAAAACAGAGCAATTGATAGACATTGGGGAGTGGTCAGGTCAGTGAATAGACTAGCTGTCTTTCATCCGTTCACGGATGTATAACCGATTGCTAACTAAATTTGGTAAATTGGGGGCAGTATTTGAAAAATTCAGTTTTTTCCAACGATGGTCGGCTGACCATTGTTGGAAATTGATACAATTTTTTTTCTCTTAAAAATGACAGCACATCGGGTGCCATGATTTCACAGAATGCTTGAGACTGCTATTCACTTACAGTCAAGTTAGGTATTTCATAATAATTTGGTAGTTTCGTTTTTGATTTTTTATGTTTGTATATTACCTTTAACTCCCGCACTGAAATAGGTTCCAACACCGTTATATATGGAGCTTCACAGCACCATCCTGAAAATGATTTTAATTTGTTCTACTGCCCCACTCTCCAGCCTCGACCCCTCAACCCACCCCCCAGCAGAGGACCCCTTCCCCACCGTCCACCACCCCTCGGTCCCAGGCAGTTCCCCCCACCCCTACAGAACCCACTACCCCGGGGGATGCGGCAGTTGCAACACGCAGCGATGAGGATGACAAGCAGCTCAGGAGAATGGTGCAGCAAGTGAACGAGGTCCTGCCTCACGTCTCAGAAGCAGCCATTAGGAGAGACTTGGGTAGGCAACAAAAAGTTTTAAAAATTGACAATCCTATCCTGGAGGTAGCCAGGGCATCACCCGTTGTGCAACATAGCCCTCTGTCTCTGGTCCAATGTCTGATATATCTAAGCATGCAAATTATGCAACCCTGCGCACCAGGCAATCGGAGTCGACATGACGTCATTTCATTCCGAAATCTGGACTAAGCTGTTGATTGGTCATTGGCTGCCATGTTGTTGTAATACAACAACGGGCATAGAGATGTAATAAAACTCGATATTGGCTTTCTAAACAGGCTGTCGAAGCCCCCGATGTAGAAGGTGTCCGCTGAATGGTCAGAAGCTCGAGGTCAAGACACAGTCTAGTTGTATAATTAATCGCCGAATCTGCTCACATATCATAGACCCTTGCTGTGCAAGGGGATATTCCATAGACTATTCTGGAGGCTGGCCGTGTCCGAATGACGTGGCTATGGCTTATAATTACACATGTGCTTATGGAAGCCGCTGCAGCCATTTCCCATAGACACGTGTGTATTGCTGCTGGCCATAGCCATTCGGATTGTTAGTAATTGTTTCTGCATATTTCCAACCTTACTCGATTAAAAGTATGCCATGACAAGCATTGTCTCTAACGACGTCCATTTCTTTCCTTCTCTCTTCCCTCTTCCAAGAAAAAACAAATTGTGTTGACACCACCATTACAAACGTCCTCGAAGGAAAGATCCCCTCGGAGCCGCCTGAAACCCCAGAAAGGATAGAGCAGGAGGAGGTGGGAGGAGCTTCCGCCCCCTCACCGTCAGCCCCGTCACCAAGTGTGAGTCCTACACCATTGACTTTTTGAGATCTTTGGTTTTTTAGTTTTTGCTGAATTTAATATTTGAATATCATGTGGAACTCATCTAGGTAAAAAAAAAATCAGGGAAACCCTGGTCATTACTCAGAAAGTGTACCGGGATTCTGAAAACAGCCTTAGAGCATATGTGGTACAGGCTGCATGTACAAGTACCCCCTCAATGGTAAGAAAAGGAGAGATGGGTAGACCACAAGGAGAGACATATGAACGCATTGCCCACGACACCTGACGTTCATGTGAAGACGCTATGGCTTTGTGCACATTCAGAATAAAATTAGTCCTGCGTTCTTCGTGCTATAGGTCTCTCTCACATGAAGTCATTTCCCTACAGACCAGCCACGTGCATCGGCATTTTGAGTGTCAACTGGGCTCTCGAAAGCGATGTTGAAAAAAATGTTGTGTTTTGTTCGCGCATGGAGCTCATAGACTATACCCCAATCTTAAAAAAGTGCACGCTGTGTGAGATGATATTCATTCTTAAGTTGATTATAGGATATAAGTGTATGAAAAGTATATTACTCTTTGTTAACAGCAATATTGGGCTTACAATCTGAAAATGTCTTGTTTTGTTCCTTTTCAGTCCCTGAAATTTGCTGCACCCTCTTTTGGTAGATCCTCCGAAGCCCGTCAGATGTCTTACCAAGAAAGAAAGGAGGCTCTTTTTCAAAAAGCCCGAAGGTGTGTGTGTGTGTGTGTATTTATGATCAATTAAATGGCAAGAATAAAAGGTGAAGTGCAGAAAATCTACGAAACTAAGAATCCGTCTTTGCTTTGTTAATGGAAAAAGAAGTCACATTATTTCCAATGCCTAAACCTGTGTTGTGCGGTTTTGGCTGGACCTGATTGGTGATGCCCTTTTCTTCTCTGAATGACTGATGAGTCACTAATTGACCGACTGGCTAATTCACCGAGTATAAATAATATTCTACACTGAAACTTTTTGGTCTAGCTCGTCAAGACATGCTTGGTTTTGTTATATTCAAGAATCGTGCTCTCAACAATGTTTTGTTCTTTGTTTTTTCCTGAAGGCACTACGTGGAGAAGCACGGCATTACTTTGGACTGACAAGGCCGTTGGCTGAAGTGACTATCTGCTGAAAGTTTTTAAAAACATTTCTTTGTCTGCAATTTTCAAGGACAATTACTCGTGTCGGTTCTCAACGTCATCAATCATGGATTGAAAATGTAGCAAAACCCCCCTAACTGAAGCTGCCGTAATCTGCAGCAAATACTTGTCTATTCTGCTTACATTTTCATTTGTTGCCATAGCACATTTTTGTGTGTGAGAAAACTGGGTTTTTGTGGCAAAATGAGATGACCAAAGATTTGGGCAAAGTACGGATGTAAATTGAGTAACCTCATTCCCCATAGGCATTTATTCTAACATTAACATATCTATTTTAAATTAGTCCTACAATGTTCAAAGGAATATGCAGCATGGGATAGGCATAGTTTGACTTAGGTAGGTCCAAAAAAAAATCTGGAATGTAGCAGAATCCGGCAACCAGAATTAGCTGTTACTGCGGTGGTGCCATGCTCACGCGCATGCTGCACGCTTTCTTAAAGACAAGGCGCGAGCATTTTGGTAACCCTATTGGTCAAAGGAGCCCGGAGTGCGTGCGTATTACCCGAGCGCAACTCCCGTGAGCCTGATGCCACCGCAGAAAATGGCTGCCGCCGGATTTGTCGGTAAGGTGAATGGGAGGAAAGGGCTCAGATATTAATACAGACATGAAGAGACAGAAAGGTACACTCGCATTTATTTTGTGATGTTTACTGTGAAAATAATTCATTTTATTAAACAAATTTGGAGCTAACCTTAAATAGAATACACGTAAATGTCCCACAGGTATTGAAATACATGTAATAAGTCATTCCAATAGTTTTTGCGGTGCAAAAGTTTTGGAAAGAAAAATTGAAAAGGGTAATATTTTTTAGTGATGTAATATTACAATGTGTCCCCCCAAACAAGGTTACTTCATTAGCTTTTCAGCAACAAAAATGTGTTAATGAAGCTATGGCCAATTTTTAAAAAAAAAGTGCCGCTTTTTTATTTTGTCCACAGTCTTGTCAGCCACTTATTAGGAATGTAATGGATTTTGGGTGAGGGTAGTTTTGCTTTCTTTAATTTTTTACTCTTTTTTATTTGGTTCTTTTTAAGTTGCAACAAAGGTAATGTCTCTTTTTAGACGAAACAGTAGTCCTGAAAAGGACTGTTTTGTTTAACGTTACTGTTCTGCTCTGCACTCTACTGGTTGCCTCTTTCACGGATGCAAGTTTCAAATATCAGTCGCCGTGGACAAAATGAAAAAGCAGCACTTGTTTTCAATTGGCCGTAACTCAATAACATTTTTCCGATTGGAAATTTTTTTTTTCGTTGTTGAAAAGCTAATGAACCATACTTATCAAATATGTATCAATATTTGTGATGTTATTTTTAAAATGTTGAAAAAGAAGGGCGCTTTGAGGGTTCATTTGAGGGACACCCTGTAAATTGGGAAAAATATAGATTCCATGTATAAAGGTTAAGATTTGCAAATAAATGAATCCCCTACCAAGAAAATTGATAGTTTGAAGAACTGCAAATGTGAAAAAGAAATATGTATAAATCAAGAAAAGGAAATCACCCTGAACTGTTTGCCCAGTTACAGGTTTTTCTTGATTATGCGGGAGTGAGCTGGAGACTTTTTTTCCATAAACTTGTAGTCAACTGGTGATAAGTCAATTTTGTAAAAAAAACAACTCCAAAAAAATCATAATCCATTCATAATCTGTGATCACCTAAACCTGACATCTTGAAAATGGTCTTCAACACAGCATTCAGTTACTGTTTCATGTTTATGTAATTTTGTTCTGGAAACAAAAAAAATATGTCCAAACGAAACATACTACAAATTCTTTGTCATTGTTCAATTAAACAAATGAGTACAAAATGTGATTTTTTTTTTATGTGTGCAAAATCTTTGGTTTGAGTCAAATTGTTTTTGCTAAAACATCAAGATTGTAATGCCTGCAATTGCATATTGATTAAAAGTCATCCGTTTGTTTTAAATTTTGCCTGCCAGGACACTATACTATTGCACATTTGTATTGCATAAATGTGGATAATAACAATTTAGTTGTCAACTCCATAGGGCCAAAAAAAAAAGTCTCCGGTTTCTGGTATGCGCGCGTGTCGCCATAGCCATGCGCGTCGGCAAAATGAAAAAGTTTTTTTTTTCAATGAAAGATGATGTCTCAAAAATGCCAAACTCACTGGTTTGACTGGAATTCTGCTGCTGCACAATTTTAACGTGTTTTTAGATTGGGTTATGGTCGAGAATAAGCTTTATGTGGCCTCTCTGGACTCCCATATATTTGCACTAAGTTTAGTCGGGCACCATTTGCAGTCATCAGCCGACATTTGAAGCAAAAAATTCAGGTAGAAAAAAAAAAAAACGCCGCGTCGCCGCACCACTTTTTGGGCAAGCTCCATACCAGAAACCAGAGACTTTTTTTTGGCCTAGTAAACTACTGGGCAATTTAGTATGCTACTAAGGCCTAGTTGGCTGCTAACTTAGTAAGGTTTCATGAATATGGCCGTTGGACTTTGCTTTTGACCTTGACTTGCGTTCCATAGTCCAAGCACATCTAGTGTGACCAGTCACAGAAAAGCAATTATCAACTACTATGCAGGGTAATGTAAGACACCTGATTTGTTTGCTTGTCTGTGATTGGTTGGTGTATTTGCTGGTCCCAGAGAGCCGGCCTAGTGTCCATTTGGTACCTAGCATCTTCATGTGAGCGTCAGGCGGCGTCAGCAGTGCGTTCGAATGTCTCTGCCAGTGGTCTCCCCCAACTCTTTCTTTTTTTACCATTGAGGGGGTACTTCTGTACGGAGCCAACGGATAATACTTCTGCAATCTGTCGATGGCTTAAAAACTACAGTGTCATCACACTTTTCTGAACTTGCACCTTCCACATCAGAGACAGAGGTCGTTGTTGCTCATGTGGCGTTGAGGCAATTTCCTTGAACTTCTCAAAAGGGTTTGTGTCTTTGTCACCTCGTCTGCTGCGCTTTCTCAAACAAGTCCCGGATGAACGCATCAAAGTTCCTCCATTGCTCAGTGTCGTCCGTTGCCATAGCAGCAAGCGGCGGTGGCTGCACCTCACCATCGCGGATCTTCTGAAGCACGGCCTGCCGTACATTATTGACTTTAGACCCAAGGGCCTTGAGCTCCGCCCTGGTAAGTAACCCTCCATCTGCACAAAAACGCACAAGTGTTGAATGTGAGTGATTCACAATACACTACTGCCTTGCAATTAAGGCTATGTTGACTCGGTACTGTACTTTGAATGAGACTGAATATGAGTTTTGGGACAGACGGTGTGAGACGGTATGCTAGGAAGCTATTTTGCTAATACTTGGACATTTTCAGCATATATTTTATCGTCCAAATAGTCTGGATTCCTACCCATAATCAAAATTCGGACTAAAACCAAGCTTTCCTTTTCCAGGTTCAATTCTTGCTAAAGGGCAGCGTAGCATTACATCTTTTCCTTAGCACACGTCCATTTTCATGGGTTGTTATGCGTTACCATTCAGCACTCGAGAACCATTCAGTTTTATGAACATTTCTGCGCTGACCTACATGACCTTTTATGTCAACTTGGTGGACCTGGGAAAGGACTTAAAGAACCCATCAGCATCTCTTAGTTTCTTTTCTCTTGACAGAGTGTAATGAACCATGACTAGAGTTCCCCACCTTTGGCAGATGTCACTGCTTCAGTGACACACTTCCTGAGCGACTGATCAGCCTGGTGGAGGATGCTAGAAGCGCATGCTGCACGACTCGCCTCCTGAAAAGAGAATGGAGTTTGTGGATTGCTTTGTCACAGATATTACAAACTGGGATAACAATGTCTCACTTGTTGAGAAAGATGTTCAACAGGGGACTGGGGGAGTTCAGCCCTAGAAAAAAATTGTCTTGCTCTCCAACAAACTCCCCACCCCCCCCCCCCCCCCACCCACCCCCCTAAAAAAAAAAAGGGAAAATACTGCCCCCCCCCCCCGACACACACACTTTTTTTTTTTTAAGTAAACAGCATTTCAAGAGATTGTTTTGAAGTTTATGTAAACAAAAATTTGCAAAGAGGAAAATTGTACCCTGAAAATTCAATCCAAGCCCCCTTTTCATGAAAATCCCACTTTTCTTTTCAATTTTTTTGTTTTTCTTCTGAAAACCAGGTCCTCTGAAATTGGAGAGCCTAGAACCAAATCATTTGTGATAATAAGGGAAAGGAAATTGTATCAAAACTAACATTTCAATTTATGGTATTTAAAAATAATTAATACTTGTACAAGTACGTACCTTCTCTTCAGCATTTACCACTTCCAAGGGTAAAACAGGATCCAGCAAAGCTTTGGTAATGAGATCCCATATTGCAGACCTAACACAAACAAAAAGCAAAACGGAACAAAAAAAAAGGTGAAATTAAGGAAATCTTTTGTTTCAAGACAAGACAGTTAAGGAATCTTTTGCAAACAAGACAAGATAAACCTAGTAAAGCTGGTCCCAGAGTGCACATAATTCTATTCAATTGATTAAAAAATGACTATCCACTGCATGGAAGTCTTTTCATGCATCTGGTGTACACAACGGACCGGATTTAGCCCATTCATTGGCAATATGGGGGTAATCCTATACAACAGCACTGCCCGGCTCACAAGCAACCGTCATTCAGTAAGTCAGCGAGCGAGTGATGTAGGCTCAAAGAAGACTTAAAAAATGGATCCAACCTTTATGAAAAATTTGCGCACAAAATTTGATCATCAAATCAAACACACAAATCAATTAGGCAACTATTTTCAATCTTTGATTGAAACACGTTTGCATTCGTGAAGAAAACTCACAGTGTGGTTTCCTTCTCCGAGTCTTCTGAATCGATGTGTATGCTCTGCTTCTCCCATGATGCAACCTGCCGGTCTGGTGCCTCGATTCTGCTGGCCATTCTCCTGATTGTTTCCTCTGGGATGCCATGACGACGCTGACTATTTCTTGCCACGGCTACCTCTGTGTTGCACCGCAGATAGACTTGACAAAACCCTACACTGTCTGCCATCCAAAAAAATGATGAAATTAGTCAAAAAAATGGTTTGTCAAAAAAAACATGGAATATGTTAAGAGAGCTTGATCCAACCTTTAGTTCTTATACATCCGTCCAGCCTGTTGCTCTCTAACTGCCCCAAACAGCCTGAGCACTGTACGGGGTTATTGATTTATCAAGGAGAAAATACAATGTTTTACTTATTTTTTTAGGGGGTGGGGGGGGGGGGGGGGCTGGAGAGATATTGAAGTCGTCCCCGACCACCCCCTTAGATGCACCCTTGAGGATGGTGCTCAAAGGATGGCGATTTGGTGCTCTGAAACGGACAATATCCTCTTCTAGAGTAGGCTGAGAAAAGGGGGTCGGGATGGGGTGGTACTTTGATAGGTGCGTTTACTGGTCCCCGCAACATATACTCACATTTCTTTGCCACCTGGTAATATTCATGTCTCATGCTCCGATAGTACATGTTGTCATCAATAAAGAGGACCACAGATGATGTGCGTCTTGGATTCTGTTCCTTCTTGGCATTGATTTGGTCTTGAATTAACGTCAGAATTTTGCTCCACACCTGCAAAGGGGGGGGGGGAGGAGAGAATTTAATGCTTGCTGAGTGCTACTTGTGAATTAAGCAACTTGCAGATGCTTAAGGGGGAGTGTGGCCTTGTAGTTAGGGTTTGTAACTCTAAGGGTCATGGTTCAAATCCAGCTGATGGCCATATGTTGTGTCCTTGGGCAAGCCACTTCACCGCTACTTGCCTCTCTTCATCCAGTAACTAAACAGATTTACAAAAAATATAGTTTCTGTGGCCATTTGGTTTTAATCTTACGAAAAGTATGGGGCTTTATTCCTATTAAGTTCTGGCAATCAAGTACGATATAACTATTTTACTCGATCAAACTAGGTTTTTTTAGGTGGAATTTTAACTTTCGGCCAACCAAAGGTGAAAGGTTAATAACGTATACCCTAGGTCATACAGTGCAACTATCCTTTAAAATACAAGCATTGTTATCTATTTCCACACCGCTGTACATTGCATGTATACTTCTCTTCCACATTGGGAGATGTCTTGCAGTTCATCCACGACAGTTGTTGCATCCAATGTTTTGTTGGACTTCAATCTTGCCAGGATGCCATCCACACAACGGAGTATCTCTTGTCTGTAGGCCTTCCATGGCGACACTGATGACTGCACAAAAATGACAAACATGTTAACTTTTTAACGGCAACATTTAAAATTTGTATTGGACTTAAATGTGAATTGTTACCATGGTTACTCGCCTATTTTTTTTTTTTTTAGAGAACCTTCAGTTACAAATAGGTGGGCGTGGACATCCAGAAATTTTTATATTAGCTTATCTAGCTCCTAGACCTACATGACCTAGGCTATGTTCTGGAAACTCAATAGTTCTCGAGTCAGAAGTGCTGAATGCTATGAAAACTGGAGTGCAAATGAGTAGATATTCTTATCAGATGTCAGCCCGTCCCCACTGTACCTATACAATCACCAGCACAGCCTTTCTTAATAAAAAAATTCAGGTGGTGCATACAATTTTTCAAGGAATTTTCTGGCTGGGAATAGAAATTATCGAAAATGTTAAACTTAGTTACAGAGTAAATTTTGTTTTCCTCTTGTTTTTTGTATAGCTGCGTTGAACATCCCCCGTATGTATTAAAATAATGTTTTGGTGTTCTCATCAACTCTGTCCCTTCCAACCAACCATCCATCATGGCTGGCCAATCAGCCCCCGCTACCCCCTATAATCCCCCCCCCCCCTCCCACCCCATCCCCCAATCCGTACACTCTGATTGGTGGACTCATTGAAGTAAGGACTCTCTCCTCCTTCCATCTGCATCTCAAGTTGTCTAGGGATGACGTCATCGTAGCAGAGATGACAGGCAGCTACGCCTGGGCATTCATCCACAGATGCAAGAGATGAGTTTTTGGCGAGATGATGATGACCAATCGATTTCTTCTTCATCAGCGCCACAGCAAGGGATGTTTTGCCTGCGCCCGGTAGGCCACATAGCAAGACAAGGCACGCTTTCGGTTCTCTCTGAACCTGTTCCTCCATTTACGCGTAACCATTGAGCTATAGCTCCATTGCGTAACTCACTTCATCTTTGATGGGTTTTTGTTCATTCAAATGTAAACAAAGTTTGTGACGAAGTTCATCACAAAATTCATAGAAACCTTTCCATGCGCAAAATCTCCCGCTCCTCTATCGGTCTATCCTCCGCCGTACGCGTAGTGGACGTGTATGTACGTCATTGCAGAAGGATGGTACATTTTCATCGTAGGTAATTTATACATCGGTGTATTACGTGGCATTAATGTGCACAAGGCATCCAAAGTGTTTGCTCCTCTCGATCAAAATAAAAATGATACTTTAGCCGTACACACGTATATCAAAAAGAACAAATTCGCCATGATGATGATTGCAAAACGTGTTACATTATTCAATTTGTGCCAGTTTACCTACTACAGCAATGGAATTGCCTAATGTACTTCCGGTTATGGTTTTACACAGTACACGCTTTCGTCACATGGTGAAATACGGAATTTCACTCACTGCCGAAATGTGAACTTTTTTAATATTAAATTGATCGAAATTTGTGCTGGGCCTTCACATCGCAAGCAAAAATAGTCTGCTTACAGGACCCAGTGGGTTTTAGAACTGTTTACCCCGCCAGTTGTCTGTGTTTTCTAGCTTAAGTTTAAGTGGTTCACAAATTGTCTTCCTCGAGTGGCGCGACCACGTACCACGCGATTGGTAGTAATTGACACGACTAGCCGGTGAAATTCCGCCGCATTGACTGGTTTTCAATCACAAAAAAAATAAGATTTTTGTGGACAGAGGCAACACTTCCTCCACCGTGGTAGACGGTTGGGGGATCCCAGCACCATGTCTTCAAACGACGAGTCCGCAGCAGACCGAAATGTGGAGATTTGGAAGATCAAAAAATTGATCAAGAGTTTGCAGGCGGCTCGTGGGTGAGTACAGATTGTGTGTGCAATTTGTATGGGAGAACGGCCATATTGTGATGAACGCAGTGCGTGGTCGTGATGTCGCAATCACAACGTGTGCGTGCTGTATAGTGTGTGTAGCACTAGCAATAAGCCCTAAGGTCACCTCTCTGACGCAGTACGTACTCACTAGTACAACCATGGACAACAAAGGTTGCTTTGAGTAATCCCCTTGTATTATGTGATGGGACTTTTTATAAAATGAATATGTCAGACAGTTTGCCCTTTATAAGCGATTTTCTTTTAAGCTAAAGGATTGGTACTGGGAGGAATGGACTACACACTTCATTTTTTTGTGGGGCTGGGGAAAATATGTATTGTGACGTGTTAAAATTTCTAAAATTTCTAATCTCGAAATTTGTATTTTTAATATGTTATGGTTGATTTGGTGCAAGAGGTGGTAACACAATTACTAGTTTACTACAGTTGTGTTTTCCAGGCCCCAATAAAATGTTTCCTGAATTGCTGGTTTTGATACTCCCAGAATTTGAAACAACATGATGTGATTTTATTTTTAGTTTTACACAGTTTTTACCTCAAAGATGCAGTTTTTTCCTCTTGCATATAATACTTTGATATTTTTTATATAATAAATTACGTTCTTCCTTTCAGCTGCAGTAATTTTAATTGATTAAGTGACTAAAAATAAAATAGTGTTCAAGTCTGTATAATTCTCCACATAAAAATTATTTTATTTCAATTCAATCAATCTTCCTGTGGACAGAGTCTTCAGCACTTCAGAACATTGAAATTGTGAATTCATTGCCAAACAATTTATTAAAAAGTAGCTTTTATAGACCTCATCGAAAATATCATTTGAGTGATTTTTCACTTTTCACTTTCTCTGAAAGATGCGTGAAATTTTTGAGTTCCACCCCAAAAAAGATTTAATATTTGTTTTAATTGCTATTTTTCTGTCCATTTGCGTAGAAATGGAACCAGTATGATCTCCCTCATCATCCCGCCCAAGGATCAGATCTCCAGAGTGGCCAAGATGTTGGCTGATGAATTTGGCACCGCCTCAAACATCAAGAGCAGAGTCAACAGGTCAGATCAAAACACACAATGTTTTTTTTTGGACATAATATCTATCTATTTTTTGACATATGTACTCATAATCTATTACAAATTGAAGGAAGAGTCCACTCTGCATTTGACGTTGCTGATTGATTTTGCAGTGACCCTAACCTTACCAACTCCATCAAAATCCATCCTCCCATTTTTGGGGAACTTTTGGCAGATAAGCCATGTCCATCAAAATCCACCAGCACCAGTGATGGATTTCAACAGATTGGGTCCTGAAGCATTATGTGAAGCAGATTGAGCGATGGATTTGGACGGACATGGTCTTCCACTTAGTAAAACTAAGTAGGGAGTTAGGGTTAATCATGTTTCCTTGAAATTATTTGCATAGATTGATGGCCCAAGTTCTAGAATGGTAATTCTAGAACTTCTGTTGATATGGTTTCTGAGACTGAGATATATTTTCTAATTGAACTTCGGATGGTTTTGAGTACCAACCAGCAAGGACAGCTGTTGAGACGTTTTGAAAGCTGTCTTACCTCGACCCCCAAAAATGGGGCCAAAATAGCTTTACCCTAATCCCAGCAGAATTCAACAAAAAAACAACTTGATTTGTTCTCATCTGTTGCAGACTGTCAGTGCTGTCGGCGATCACGTCGGTACAGCAGCGTCTCAAGCTGTACTCCAAGGTTCCGCCCAACGGTCTGGTGATCTACTGCGGCACCATCGTCACCGACGACGGCAAAGAGAAGAAAGTCAACATTGACTTTGAGCCCTTCCGGCCGATCAACACGTCGCTGTATCTGTGCGACAACAAATTCCACACCGAGGTACCTATCACCCGGCCTCCGTAAAATCAAAGGGGGGGGGGGGGGGGGTTGGACACCATCTTTCTGTGGGGGCGCTGTTCAAAGTGAACGATCACGGACACCATCGGATCAAAGGTGGCGCTCTTCATGGCGGCACAATTGCCGATGTTCGCGGAATGTGAAGGGAAAAAAGGGCACTCATGACAAAGAGGGCACTCATGAGCAAACATTTGGGGGGGGGGAATGCCCCCTTACACCCCCCTTCCCCCCCCCCCCCCACCAAATCCAAAACCTGGATCCACCACTAGTCAGGGGAATTCTTAACCTAACTGTCTTAGATAGTAGAAGTGATGTAATATGACCTGGAAAATAATTGGGTGTTTTTTTTGCGTGGACAGGCCCTAACTGCCCTTTTGGCGGACGACAACAAGTTTGGCTTCATCGTCATGGATGGCAACGGCGCCCTCTTTGGCACCCTGTCAGGAAACACGCGAGAGGTGCTGCACAAGTTCTCGGTCGACTTGCCCAAGAAACACGGTAGGTAGCTGTAAGCTATGTGTTCACTGCCTCCATGCAATAATGAGGCTGTTTTACTTCTACTTTCACTTATCATCAGATAATTTCACACACATGCATTAGAACGTTTCCCTAAATTTGGAAGTTTATTGTTGTAATAAATTTTTGTTACATGTTGTCGTGAAATCCAAACAGTTGCAAATTTTTTTATTTTTATTTAAAAATGGAACCTCATGCTTCCACTACCCTGAGACTCAAACCACATAAACCAATGCATGGAGAATCTTTTTAGAAGAAAAATGAAACCAAGATTGCCCGATTCGGTCCAGTAGTTTTTGTTCTGGAGCCTATTTTGTGAAGCAAGGTCGGGGTCATTTTTGTCCCGATGAATTACTAAACTGCGCCCAGGAATTTGACTTACATTGTAATTGATTAAGGCAAATAAATTTAGGCAAACCCAGTCATATACCATACATGTAGACCCTACATTGCTCTTGGGCCCTTGGCGACCTGATTTGTAATTTTCCCCACATCTCACCCCTAATCAACTCCAAATTTGTAAGGTTCTTGAAGACATTTTCAATTTTCTGTCCTTTCAGCAGACAAATCTGCCCATCGGGGGAAACTGGATTAATTAGAAACCTTTTTGCCCTCGCCCCTTGTAGGTCGTGGTGGTCAGTCGGCGTTGCGTTTCGCCCGTCTGCGCATGGAGAAGAGACACAACTATGTTCGCAAAGTGGCGGAGGTTGCCGTGACGCTGTACATCACTAACGACAAGCCCAACATCGCCGGGCTGATCCTCGCCGGCTCCGCCGATTTTAAGACGGAGCTGAGTCAGTCGGACATGTTTGATCCTGTAAGTAGAACTGATCCTTGAGCTGCTAAACGCGGAATTCTACTTAGTATAGAAGAAATGTGATTAGCAAAAGCAGGTTACCAGCCAAAATGTTGCGTAATGTAGATAGCTGTTGACTGGTACTCTGCCAATTTTATTAAGCCCAAAAAAGTCTGCTAAGCGGTGTTTTCTGCTCAGTAGCCCTGTGAAGTTGGCCCCTATTCCTAATGAAAATATTTTTAAAAACACCATTTTATCTGAATATCCATCTTCGGAACCCACACGCATCTCCACGATGACCAACTCACCCTTGGGGACTCTAAAAGAGCTCCCATATAGTTCCCCCCCCCCCCCATATATTCGCTGCCAGATATTGGTTTTTCGTATCTGGGACTTCACATTTTTTTTCAGCCAAGGACATGAGAAATTTTGACACCTGTTTTATTTTTTAATGGTTTTTTTTTTTATAAAACTTGCACACTGTTCTAACGGGATGTGAAATTTTCGAGCTCATGGGAATGGATTTTTTAATGTGCTTATCATAATGTTATATCAGGTTGATGATGTCTTGGAAGGGGAAAAGGGAAAAATCTGCCTTGTCTAGGGTTAACCCGCCTTTTGTTTGATCAGTCATGGACAGTCAATCCTGTTCCCCTGCTAAGCCTTTTACACAGGCTAGTTACCGACAGTCAGATAGCATTTCAGTATGGGCTGTTTCGTTTGGTTTGTTAAAACCCAACATGCATTCTTACCCCATTATTATCTCTATATTATATCAATATTTTACAGAGACTGCAAACCAAAATACTGAAGCTGGTTGATGTCTCCTATGGAGGCGAGAACGGCTTCAACCAGGCCATTGAGCTGTCCTCTGAGGTGCTTGGCAACGTCAAGTTTATTCAGGAAAAGAAGCTCATCGGTAAGTACAGTAAATGGTTGGAGACCAAAACCGTTATAGCGCCCTCTGTTGGCAGCTCTCAGAAACCCCAGTAATTGTGTGTACCAATATGGCTGCCGTCTGAGAGTCATTTGTGAATCAGGCTGCATCCGAATCAACTGTCTAGAGCTAGGTCTAGGTCTGCGCCCATTGAAAATACGCGGGGACGCGCTGACAATAGACGTAGCCGTAGCTCTGGAAGCCCATTTCGGACACGGCCTTATACAGGGTGGTCCCAAATTTTTTTTACACTTTTTCAGACGCGGATTTCTCAAAATTGGGAAGACGTGTTGAAATTGTTTTAAGAGTAGGACAGAGACATGGGCAGAGTTCGCAAATCAAAGGGGCTCACGAATTATATCCAGTCATTTTCAACCGATTTGTTCTTGTTTTCCAGGCAAATATTTTGACGAAATATCACAAGACACGGGCAAGTATTGCTTTGGCGTGGTGGACACGCTGAAGGCCCTGGAGATGGGATCCGTGGAGATCCTGATAGTTTGGGAGAACCTGGACATCCAGCGATTCCTCCTCAAGAACCACTCCGCCGACGGTGAGTGCAAATCCCTCGGGAGAACACTTTCATACAGCTGCCATGCACAGAAACTTGCTTAAAGCTACTGTCCATCATTTGTAATTTGTGCATTTTGTTCGTTTGAAGCAACAAAAGAGTTCAAAATCTAATGAAGGATACTGAGCAACTAACCTGATGAAGTTTCAGCTAAGCTTCAGCTGTACATTCCGAGGAAAAACAGCATTCTAAGATCTCAATTTCAAATCAAAAGTTACTGAATCATGTTTTGAATTGTTTTGAATTGCAGCTATACGCGACGTCGCGCACTGATCCGACGAATTACAACAACCGCGCGCGCGTGTGCGTCGTTCCAATACTTGTGCGCGCTGCGCTGAATAACAAAACGAACTACTAATTTAAATTTTCCTACGGTGCTTCTTAAGAATCACCGTTGGAAATGCCTTCTTTCGTTGATTACTTCAAAATGACAGCTTGCCAGAAAGAATAATTTCACAGGGAGTTTAGTTCCCTTACTATCTTTCAACCAAGTTTGTTTTTCAACAATAATTACGCCAGTTACTTTTCGGATGGCTGCAAATGATGGACTATAGCTTTAAGGATAGACAACATTTAGGAGAATTTAAGAAGGATCCAAAACCAAATCAAATTGTTATTATTATTTTTATATACTTGTGATAATGAAACCAAGGATTCCTCAAAAGCACCTTCGGCTCTGTAAGCTCGCAAGCCTGAGAAAACCTGTAGAGAGATGAAATTGGAGAAAGTTCAATTTCAAAGGTGGGAAGAAAACCCAACAAGAAAGTTCTGGGGAAAACCTTCAAAGTCACGTAGGGACTGAAAACCCAATCCACTTGAGGATTTGGGCGGGAATCAGAAACTTGGGCTAGCGAGGTGAAAGGGAAGGAGAGGACCACTACGCCAACCTGTCACCCCAACTTGTCTTGGTAGCCTGGGCCGATATTCAAGTGCCGTGTTTTCAAGAATCCCTGTCCAATATCACCGTGGTAGCAGCAACAGCAATACTGCAAAATCTAGAAAACGGGAAATTTTGAGATCACCCAGTTTTATGTGTTACTTTATATTTGATGATAGCAAGTAACCATTAGCATTGGTAATACATTGTATTACATTGTATTCATTCCCCGAAGAATTCATAATCACCATAAATTGCTCGGGCAGTTTTGGGTGATACCAGGAATAATAGTCGGGGCAGTTTGGGGCAGTACAGGGACTTATAGGCTAACCCTATGCAGTTATATAATTCTGGAGCCCAAACTGTGTGAAATGTGTATTCCTGTTTCATTGAAATTTGAATTTATTACTCTTTTTTGTGGATATTCCACAGAGGAGAAGGTTCTCCACCTCAACCCAGAACAGGAGCGGGACAGGACATACTTTATGGACAAAGATGTAAGATAATCGTTTGTATTTAATTTTAAAAAATGCGAGCATTCCACCAAAAGAGAAATGTTGCCACATGAAAGATGAATAGTTTTTTGGGGGGTTTAAAACCACCCACGTGACGGGCTCTTGACCAATAGGAATGGGTAAACTGTCTCAAGTATTTGTAAAATGGAATTAAATGTAAAGTTGAGTTTTAACTGGTATGTATATATCTCTTCTCCTTTAAGACCGGTGTGGAGCTAGAATTGATGGAATCCCAGCCACTTCTGGAGTGGCTGGCCAACAATTACAAGACCTTCGGTAAGCATGTGCATTGAGGAAGCCACATTGCACCGTAAACTTATTGTATATATTGTTAATAACCAGTTCAAAAGTTTAAAAAGAAAAGTGAATGTATTAGTAATAAATATTTGATGGTTTATTTTGCATATCCAAAATCTTTCCAAACATTGTCCATCGGCAGCATTTATGAAACAGTACATGTACTCTACACCTCAGAAAGTGTCCACATATAACCATTTAATTAAAGCTATAGTCCATCATTTGTAATTAGTGCATTTTGTTCGTTTGAAGCAACAAAAGTGTTCAAAATCTAATGAAGGATACTGAACAACTTACTTTATGAAGTTTCAGCTCAGCTTCAGCTTTATATTCCGAGAAAAACAGCTTTCTAGGATCTCAATTTCAAATCAAAAGTTGCTAAATCATGTTTTGAATTGTTTTGAATTGTAGCTTTACGCGATGTCGCGCACTGATCCGATGAATTATAGCAACCGCGCGCGCCTGTGCGTCGTTCCAATGCTTGTGCGCGCTGCGCCGAATAACAAAACGAACTACTAATTTAAATTTTCCTACGGTGCTTCTTAAGACGCACCGTTGGAAATGCCTTCTTTCGTTGATTTCTTCAAAATGAGAGCTTGCCAGAAAGGAAAATTTCACAGGGAGTTTAGTCCCCTTACTACCTTTCAACCAGTATGTTTTTCAACAATAATTACGCCAGTTACTTTTTTGGATAGCTGCAAATGATGGACTCGGGCTTTAAAGAAAATTAATATGTATAATGTGTTACTGAAGCACTTTTATTTGTTGGTTTCTATTTTTTTTTAACAAAATCAGTGTCTGAATGCATGGATTGGATTCAAAATTCTGCAATTTCTTCAACAGTGATTTGCCCTCCCCCCCCCCCCCCCCCAGTGAATGTAATATACCTTCTTCTCTTGCCACTCTCTTTTAACTTTGAATTTTTTATTCCCACTGCCAGGATCGACACTTGAAATAATCACGGACCGGTCACAAGAGGGCTCACAGTTCTGCAAGGGCTTCGGAGGGATCGGCGGCATCCTGCGCTACCGGGTGGACTTCCAAGAGATGGAACCGGAACTAGATGAGTTTGGTGATTTTGACGACTACTAAACATTAACCGGATAAGCTCTTGTCTTGGTGATCGGATCACGAGACGTGCGGGATAAGCTGGGGATTAAAAAGTCATATATGTAAATCTGCACAGAAGGGTTGAGTGGATTTAAACGAGTGATTAGGTTTTAGTGGAATGATCCTATGAGTGCAAATAATAGTGGTCCCTGTCTTACATATGAAATTACGGCCGTGTAAAGTTATTGACGGCAGTTTTTTAAAAAACCTATAACCCTCAAAACTTTCCTCAAGTCTTGCTACTTTTCCCCATAGTATATTTTTACTGGGTTCTGGCAGGTCGACGTTAGAAAAAAAAAGTTGGTTCTAAAAACTTGTAACAGAATCGTTGCAAGTTGAAATGCCCACACTAGAGTTTTCAGTGCAGAAGAAAACATAAAAACTGTACCGCAATACCGCCCCAAACTGCCCTGCCTAGGTCTCCCAGTAACACCCGAAACCACCAGAGTACTCTTATGGATTCACCAGTGAATAAACACAATGTAATTCAATGTAATACAGGTGTTAATGGTTAACCTTTGGCTTTTGCAGCTAACCTTCCCAAAACCTCCAGAATTGGAGCATCTCAAAAGAATTAAGGTGTTTGTAACTTTAAAAACGATATCTCTGAATCAACCTCTCTTCCCTTCCTAGCCCCCTCCTAGGAAATAAAAAAAAAAACCCGGAGTGCATTCCACCGAAGCAAACGTTGCCAACGTTTCGCACGCTTTTTTGTGCAAAGCCAATGGGAAAACGTTGGCAACGTTTGTGTTCGCGTAAGTGGAACGCACCCTGGGTTTTATAAATTTTCAGACTCATTTTTAACAGTTCTGAAATATATCCCATCTTTATCTACCTCGAGTCCAAAAAACATCGAGCTAAATTTAACTACAGCCCACTTTTTTAGTGAAATTCAGCAAGGTATAAAATATCTTCAGCTGAAATGGGTGTATTTTAGGTCTAAGTCATTGTTATAAAAGAAAAGCTTGATCCAAACACACTTTTTTCCCTAAGAAGCACTTGCTGGTTTGTAATCGCTTTGATATTAGTGCCGTTGACCACAACTTTTGTTGGAAACGTCATTGAAAAGAAACAATGAACGAAAACAGGAAGACAATTGGAGATTTAAGTTAAATTGTTATTTTTTTTAGAAAAAAAAAGAGGAAAAAGCTGTGTCCTGGCTTCATTTGGTGGATTTTGTAAAATGATGAGAGTGCATTGTTATTTTTTACTACCTGAGTGACACATCACGGTTGATGACAGAACACAGTAGGTCGGCACAGCTTTATTGCATCTGTAAGAAGTTTAACTGTACACTTGTATACAATTCTTGCGTTGTACAAAAAAAAGGAGGATATTTGGAAAGTATTGTCTGTAAGAAAAACGGGGCAAATCTGCATAATAAGTGTCATGTAAATTCTTGGAGTTTATTAATTTTAGGAAGAAACACCGAAGAAACAACTTTGCATCTTTTGTGCAGGGGAAATTTAAAGGTAAAAAAAAACAAACCCAAAATGGTTTTATATTATGCAATATGTTTTAAAAAGATTTGGATGTTGTGCGTATAGCCCTATTAAGAGTACTGGAGTGGGATGTGGTTGCCATAACAACCGGACCCGATTTTCACACTGCTGCTAAGCAGCAGATGTTGTTAATCAAAAGTGTTTAGCAAAAATCCGACGAGGATTTGTTTTTTAGCTTAACAACACTGAAGCATTACACTCTGTTGTTTCCAGGATAAGTTCTTATTCTAGCTCCCAATGTTACCCCGTTACGCAATCACTTCAGTACTTAATAGGTTAATTTGATGCATAGGTTGCTAGCCGACATGGACTTGTTCCTATTTTCACTCTGTGAAGTTTGTGTTTCTCTTTATAATTTCAGTTATGGATTTTGATTTGATTTTTTTGTTTTTTAATATATCCTTTGGTCCAGTTTCATCTACTTTTGTTTTTCACTTCTTGAAGAAGGAAGAAAAAGAAAAAAACCCATTCCTGGTTATTGGGAAACTTCTTGAAACCTCTAAAACCCATCACTGCAGTGAACCTATGGAATATTATGTGGACTTGCACAAAATGATATCATAAAGTTCCCACCATGTTTTTAAGAAATGGTGGACGGGCTCCACAGTTCAACATCCACCAAAATACTGCAATCCAGGTTTTGGGTTTTGTCGGATAAGTTGTTATTTGGGGTGGTTTAAAGAAGAATAATATACAGGAATGTATTTATTTGGAATATTGTTCAATCTCATAATTTAAGTCTGCTTTTCTTCTTATACAGATATTGGCATGTATACGAGTGTATGTAAAAGCAACTTGCTCTCGTCTTTATGATAAAAACATAAGTTACGTTCTCTGGAATCTACACTGTATTTACTAATAGATGGACATGTATTAATAAAAAATCATGAGACTTTTAAGGTACTTTTAAGTTGCGAGTGCTTATTTGCAAAAAAACGTTTTGCCCTTACAAGATTTTGAAAGTAACAATCAGGGTTCGACCTTAACTTTTTCTTTCACTAGCCAGCCGGGCTACTGAAACAGACTCTTTACTAGCCTGCGGGCATTTTCACTGGCCCGCATGCTTTCCTTTTATAGAGTGTCTCATAAAACAACAATGTGCATACATGAAAAACGTGTATCCTGAGGCAATCTTGTGATAATGAACAGATCTAATATTTAACCCTATTCGGACAATGTGGCGCTTTTCAGGGCAATACATGCGCGAAATTAAAAAAGGCACTCGGGAATTTAAGGCCGCTGGAACAAAAAGGGTACGTTTTTGTTTGAAAAGGGCACTTGTTCTGAAAAAAGGCACTTGTTAACAAAAGAAGGGCACTCTTTACAAATATTGAGGAGGGTGGGATAAGCGCTGGTGGATAAAGGGCATTTAAATGGAAAAGGGCAGTCTTTACAAAATATTGGGGGAGGGGGTAAATACCCGGTCTGCCTGTAAAATACGTGTAAACACCGTGAAATAAAAACTTTTCTTTTGGAGAGCATTTTGGGCAATCTCCAACGACCCTCGTATCCCCCTCCCGTTTTATATAGTCGTGTTGAGGTGGGCCGGGGTCTACTCTAGCCTACCTAATATTGTGGAAAGTATAAATAATGATGTGGAGCGATTGGGAATATTTTGTATTTTTACCATAATTCGTGGAAGTGTAACTCCCACGATTTTCGTCTCCAGTCTAACGTCTCCACTTGAGGATCTGCAATTTCGGTAATAATAGCTAGCAAGATCAGAAGCGGGGTTGCAACCCCTCCCCTCCCCCCCCCCCCCCCCCTTTCTTGGGAACAATAATTACCAATATTTCTGCTGTTTAAAAACAGAAAACAAGATAACTAATACTTTTTATGGAGTTCCAAATATTTCTCTATTCAATAATCAGTTGTTCAATGTCACAATATAATTTTTTTTCTTGAAATGTATTCAAGAAACGATGTAAAACTCAAAGCAGGGGCTAAAAATCACCCCTTACAAAATGAATGGATTCGTCCATAAAATTTTCAGCATCGTGTTGACTATTTTCGAAGAAAGTTACGATCGCAACTTGAATTTTGACGTTAGTAATCACAACAATTTGATACGTTTTGTTCTAAAAACGGACCTGTTTATTCTTAGGACAAAACAAATCAGCATCTGTTGCCACAAAGCAGCATTTGTAGCCTCCAGTCAGACGACACACGGTGGGTTACATATCTCAAGTGCTGGGGGAAAATGTTATCATTTGCCGGCGCTATGCGCTAACGTTTAAGGCCGGGGACCGGACGGGGCAGCCGGCAGTAATTCCCGGTGTTTATTTCTCATCATCAATTTCCATATTTGTTTGTATTATTGTAAGAGTATCAACTGTGAATGATTTGATATAACTTTTGTGGCCCTTTTTATAGCTTTCGTAGTGTAAATGGAACTGGTTCAGAGCATTTTTACTAGAATTTGGAGGCCTTACAAAATTGAAACCACTGCGGTCGGTGCGGCTTATACGCCGGTGCGGCTTATACGCCGACTTCAAATCTTAATTTGCAGATTTTTGCGTACTGCGGCTTATACGCCGCGCGGCTTATATTCCGAAAATTACGGTAATGTGAAATTAGTAAACTTTATGGCGTGAATTAATTCGAGCCTCTCTTGTTTCTGTAATACTTGTGATTTGACTTGTGATTTAGGCCTACTATAATTATTAGAGCCTAGAATTGTTGTGCAGGTGATAACAAAATAATTATGTAGAACTGTTGATGATTTTTGCTGTTAATAATAGGCTCAAAATTTCCTCGTAATTTGTGTACTCGGTTCCATGTGACGGCACATCAAAGTTTAACATCCCTGAGACGCGGTTCGTTCGAACAGCGCCATCTATTACACCTGTTATTACGCGGTAATAATGTGGCTGTGGGCGGTCGTTGCGTGGTTTTATCCAAGGACGGTTCTATTTTCTTCATAGTGATGATTATGATTTAAGTTGATTCAAAACAATTTATGAAAAGTCAATTTCGATTCTTAAAATGAAAACTATCATAATGTATTGAAATATTAACTTTTCAAATAATTCGTTTAAGTTGAAGATACAATGCTTTTTTTGTTTGTATAAAAAATAACTAGAAGTTTCTCCCTATTACAATTTTACACTCTTCCGCAATTCCTGGAGAAGTAGTAAGGCGCCTGGGTAATGAAGTCAGCGTATTGATATGAAGTCTGAATGGGAATTCAGACGTGTGCATTTTAAGATAATAGTGTGTGCGCGATCGATGCATGTCGCTCGCCCAGCTGACATCCGTGTGTATGTTGCGAAGGACCACTCATCTTATTTTCAGCGCAACACGACCGACAAAATAGAAATAACATACATTTCTTGCACGACGGACGTGATTTCTATACGCTTCGTACTACCTGTACTGTGGAAATTCTCGGTAAGTGATGTTATAAGCGGATCTGTGTTGGGTCGCAAAAATTGGAAATGGTCCGTCATGTCCGCATGTCCGTGGGTCCGACGGCCGTGGCCGGCCGGACGGCAGGCAGGCAGTACACTGTGGTATACTATACGGTGTGTGCAGTGCCGTGGGGTCGGCCGGCCATGGAGGTTGGGGGGGGGGGGGGGGGGGGGGGTGGCGATCAGGGGAGGGGCCTCGGTCGGTAATACTATAGGTCCACCAGAATGTCGTTATCCGTGAAATTTCCATTAAAACTACTTCAAATATTTGCTTTGGAAAGAATGTTGCAACCTGCTGAAGCCACTAATTCAGCGGTTGTTTACAAAGTCTATGGATGGAGAGTCAAGAACATTTTGTACATACATTTTTTCCGAGGAGTCCAGTAAAGTGGCCGCAGAATGGGGCTAGGAGTCGATATGTACAGCCGTGTGGTTGCGAAGGCGAAGCGTCAGCCGTTGATAAGCAAAGTTAATCCGATTACGTACTTAGACGGGATAACAGCACCCCAAAAAACATGGCGATCGTGAAGTGTAAGGCCCCTGTTTTGTTTTGATCAAATTAGAGTCAAAAGTGTTTATTATTGCTCAGAAATCACCTTTACAATCTAAAGCAGACTTTTCTCAATTCTAATGACACCCATTTTTTAATTTCGAACAGATTCTTGGGGTAGAAATCACGATTTTCCTGCGCGGTTTGTGCCTTGCGATTCAGCGCGCCGTCCGTGTTCACGGTACATCGCGCGGTGATCGCCATCTTTGTTTTTAGGTCGCGTGTTATCGCCGCGCTGTCATCGTCATTTTACCCCCAAATTTCCCTCAAAAAATCAAAACCCTGCCCTCTGTCTATGACCATACCTGTTTATTGAGAATGTCGCCAACTAGTTTGGTAGGTCCAATAATTTTAAACTACCCTATTCTACACCTTCCTCCATGACTACACGATCGCCAAAAACATGGCCTTTTGAAAATTTGTATTAAGAATACAGTTTTCATCCATAGGCCTATGGGTTAGCAAGGAAAAATAAATTTCATTGGAGAGAGGAATTGTAATTCTTGGTTATTTAAATAGAAAGTGATGTATGTAACTGCGTATTCTGAATGACCCTTTTTTATCGCTTTCATTTTCAGGCTGGTCTTTGTTGAATGTAACAGCCCGTGGGACCTTCCTAGGCCTTCTGGTTTTGAGATGAGCGCCATGGAAAGTAACTTTTCACACTCCTACAGAAATGCCTCGTCCAGTACAAATGGTAAATTTTTTCTTCATTTTTGCTGGTACCAGAGTGCCAACCTTAAATATCCTCATAAAAATTCACTGACTGACTCCCCGACCGACTGTCACTTGTGAATTAGGCTGGTTACCAACCTAATTGACTGACTGAGGCCAGTAAATAGGCTGAAATTGCCTACGCCGGCCAAATCACGATTCGCATGCCCTCAATTTTTGAGCTATTAGAACATTTTGTGGACCATGAACTCGAGGGTTTGTAAAAAAAGAAAGGTGCAAGCCGTGCACAGGACTGCTAGTTTGTATTTCTGTGAAATCCAGATGAAATATGGGCCTAAAATTGCTCTAATTTGCAACGGAGCGCAGGTATCATTTTTCAAAGTGGCGATAGGATTTAGGAGTACTTTTAGGGGGTTTCATCTTTGAATGGATTTTCTCCCCTGAGAAGTTATTGGCTATCCCCCAAATATTGAACAGAAAAGGCACGATAATGAAATAAGGTTTAATTTGATGTATTTCTTAAGCACCTTGGAGAGAGTATTTGTCCTGAATTTTGGAAGTTGGCGTATTTATCACAGGGGTCTATGGCAGTTTATTTACTAGTCTGCAACCTAACACTGGTCTGGGAGGAGGTTTGCAAGGCGTGTCCCAAAAAAAATGTCCCTCTGATAGACTGCTAATTTAATTCCAAAATCAAGTATTATTCTCAATTTAGTGTTCAGATTTAGAAAGCCCATATAATTTTGTAACTTCTGTGTTTTGAATACACAGTCTATTATGTAACAGCAGTGCTTTTCAGCCCGTTCCAAGTTTGCAGTGCTACATTTTCTGCACTGCCTTAAATGTCTTAAATCAACTGTAGTGCTTTTGCATTCACTCCTCTCTTGTATTTCCAAGTTTGGGTTAACAGAAAGCAATAGAAGGATTTTTATAGGAGATGTTTGGACTTTCATCATTAATGTTATGTAAGAGCTTTAGCAGATTTGTTGAGAGAATAAAGAACAAGAAATCTGAACAGGTGGTTTGAGCTGAGCAAGTTCCGAACTTATGAAATTAAAATAAGAATGCTACCACAGAAATCAACAGAAGGATCTGTATTGAGATATTTGGGCTTTCATCAATAAGTGTTATGTAAGAGCTTTAGCAGATTTGTTGAAGGAATGAAGAATAAGAAATGTGAACAGGTGCTTCAGCTGAGCAAGTTCAGGACTTTGTAATTAAAATAAGAATGCTGTGAATAGACTTTGATTCTCTCCTTGTCTTTCTTTCCTATTGAATTAAGTGGAACACACCCTGTGAAAGCAAACACGACCAGTGAACTGAACTTTGATTAGTTTTCATTTAAAAAAGTAAATGAACTTGACTTTAGTTACTTAATAACAAAAACAAGAACACAGTTGTTGAAATAAAAGTGAAGCATGGAATAAGGTATGGTATGTCTGTAGTGTGCATTTCTTTTTATCAAACTTGGAATGGGCCGGAAAGCACTGCTGTTACATAAGAGCCTGTGTATTCAAAACCAATGAAGCGAGACCTTTGAAATTTCCACAGGAACTACAAAATTAAGTGGGCTTTCTAAATATGTAAACTTAATTGAGTATAAAACTTGATTTTGGTAATTATTCTGTGGTCTATGAGAAGGACTTTTTTTTGGGACACGCTGTATGTGAGGCGTTCTGACAAAATGAGGCAGAAAAATGAATGGGGTTGAATTTTTTTTGGATTTTCGGATTTATTGATAATCTTTGTAAGGCCAAAAAAAAAAAAAAAGTCGGTCTCTGGTCAGCGCGCGCGTCGATTTTAATCATGCGCGTCAACCTTTTTTTTTACCAAAATGTTCTGCGGTAGCTCCAACAGCGCCCTCTATTGCCGCATCTCCTCAAAAATTTTTTACCAAAGAGCACTAAGGAATGGGAAATTGCACCAAGGTAAATGATCGAGGGCACCAAGGCTAATTATGGAGGACACCAATGTTACTGAGGACACCAAAAAAAGCAAAATAGTACCCCACCCTGTCTGTACAATCCAAGCTTGAAAAAAAAAAAAAAGCCGCGTCGCCACATCAATTCTGGAACTTTGGTCTGACCAGAGACTGAATATTTTTTTTTGTGGCCTAATGTCTACCACAAACGTTTTCAAGAAAAAGTATTAAAAAAATGGAATAAAAGTGTTTTTAAGGAAAAACAGCTTTCATTTTCACCGTTATAAAACTTGAAACTTTAAAGGCCTTTTTCTCAGTATTTTACCTTTTTGACATGTCGATAAATGCAAACTTTCAAATGCCATAACTTGTCAATGGAATGGCCGATTGAAGGACATCAAATGGCAGTATTGTAAGGAGAATTTTATTCTCTTTCCTAATAACTTCAAACCCTCGTTTTGACCTCTGCCCAGTTCTGCCTCATTTGTCAGAAAGCCTCACATATATATCATGTCACAGCATTAGTCTGATGCAACTTGTTTCTTGTACTTTCATGATACATAAGTGCAGGCAGTAAGTGAAGTCTCGATGCAAATGGCGAATGTGGACATTTCATGTCCAACACGTTAACCACTGCAGCTTATTCTACGAACTTTTGAGTCATTCTGAATCAGAACAGAAACCTGTGTGCTCTGAGACCAGCTTTACTAGGATTGTCTGAACATGTTTTATTTTTCTTTTAACATGTGGTGTGTTTTATAACATGTATAAACTGTTGCCCTCTAAAATGCTTTGAGGGTTTTATAAGATTTTGCAGGAAAGGGAACATAGCCTAGTTGTTAAGCTTCTTTTGATCAAAAATGGTTTGATGTGTTGAGTATAAAACTTCAGTGATTGCCTATGTCGGTAGAGATCTGAGTGTGTACTTTGTGTTGTGCGACAAATTTGTACCTAGTGCCAAGTTTATTTCATAACAAATGTAACCAAACATTGGACAGGGGGTTTTGATTTAAATGATTTGATTTAAATCATTGATTTATTAAATCACAATTTATATCACTTAATTTTTTTTATAAAATCATTCAAAAAAATCAAAAGTTATCTAAAAGTTAAAGCAATCACACAATACGCTCATATATCAGAGCTTTCAAAGAATTTTAACCCAATTTTTGATGTTATCGTGTGGATCATTCCATCCAGTACGCTACTACGCTCTCCTGCCAGTTGTTATGTTCTGGTTGGCTACACATTTATCAGTTTCCCAAGTTTTTTATGTTTGCAAATATTGTATATTTCCTTTAAAAGTAAAAACAATAGTCTGACTGCTCCCAAACCCCACCCCTTTTCAAGTGACTTAAAAGGGGCCTTATTTGTACCTCCTGAACTTTTGAACCCCCCAACAAATTTAATATATTTGTTTTCTTTAGCTGTTGCCCTGATCACATTTCACTTTCAAGATAATTCACTCTATGACTGAGTCAAATGAAAGTGAACTGAATTGTGGCAATATATCGCCAGTTTTTTTGTTTTTTTTGTGGAGGCCGTTTCACAAGGAAATTACACAATCGCTAATCCGGGTCAGTGAAAATATCGAGGGTTGTGCAGGGGACACGGGGAAGTTCATTTTCAGGCCAGGAAATCCTCGGACCAGTATTGTGGTCTGTTTCGTTTGGAGGATTTCGCACGTAGGCCCCTCGGCCATTTTCCCAGGAGGTAATATATCACGGAGAGTTGACGGCCGCATCCTGAGCGTGTTTAGACAGTGGACGGAAAGCAAAAGTTGAACCAAGCAGATTGTTCCTGGAGTTGTTAGTGTATTATGCCGATTACATCATACGTATGTACGTGCGTGATTGTCGATGTAACGCCATGTCATTGCGGCGCAGTGGGTGAATGGTTAGTGTATCAAATGGCACAACCCACATCCCCCACAAAATATGCCAGAAGTTTTGGTCTGCAGTTCCATGAATTGTACTCGGCACTGGAATGGTCAAGTTATCACCTGTGATATTTTTTTAGTTTCACCCCCAAAAATAGATTCATTTTTTTAATAACAATTTATGTGGCAATGCAAACAGGTTATTCACTTTTGAATGCGACATCGATGAAAAACAAAAATCAGCCCGAGTTAAGTCATGGAATGAAAACTTCTCATTATTCGCAGCCCGACAAAACAATGTAATTCAGTTCTCAAGGGGTAGACTGGTTCTCGCTTTCCCATCAGTATTGAAAACGTAGGGACAGGGAACTATAGTCTACAAGCATTTCTACTCGCAGGGGGATCTGTTTGTGTCCCAAGACACACCGAAGTGAAACCTTTTACTAGAAACGGTTGCAGACGTCAAAATGAACCATACAAGTTGAACATTCGTAAGGATTTTGTTGAAGAACACAGACGATTCTTTAACACCCTAAACTCCCTAGCATAATTTACAAGGAACCGTACCCATCCTGGCAAATTCCAACACCCACATGGGAAATCATACACACACACTGGTGGACTTAGTTTCTGGAGGTATGCCAAACCCAATGTAAAAGACCATCAGTTTCGGGGTACTGTACCCATTCTAACAGATTTCAACAACACCTGCTGTTGGGCTTTGATGAGTTGAGTTTGGTTAGGGTTAAGTATATTGAAAATAAATATCATTCTTGTGGGTCTAACTGGCTGTTTCAGGTTTTGTAATTTTTAAATCATGCAAGAAATGTAAAGTATTTTGTTTTTGTGGATGGATTTAAATTTTATTTGTAAAAATAAAGAGAAAGAACTAACTTTGCTCAGACAGAAGTGTCTAGCAGTGGAATGCTCACTGGATATAATTGAATTAATTTTTCTACTTTCTTCTTCCATGGTACAAATGTACATTCTGTTGTGCTTGTAAAGTGCATTGAGTGTTTACCCACCGACACATTTCATTCAGATCAGCAGTTGCCTAAAGCCAACAAAGACAAGCTTCCATCACAATGGGAGAATTATTTATGGTGCATTAAATGTCCACAAAAGAGAGCTTGTTTGACTAAAGGCTTCAGTGTACCTAAGGGTGTCATAATATGGTAAAAACGTGTTCCAGATAAATGGCTTATACTGAAGGATAATTGTAACCAAGGAAGAAAGGCTGGACACTGGACACCATGTGATAAAAACAGAAAACCCACGTGAAAAAAAGAAGAAAATCCAAATCCGAAGTGTAACTGGCACTGTGACTGCGCGGTTGCCTGGTAGTTACCCCACCTGTGTACACAGGGTTTTCAAAATAAACACGGGAATGACTTAATCTTTGTTTTATCAGAAACCGTTCAGACATTTTGCATCTATGTATTATAAAGGTCACTTTAATGGCCAGCCAAAATACTTTTTGTTGGCTAAACCATACCCCCACTAGGAGTTGTTAAAAAAAAAGCACCTCCAGACTGAATTTTGTTTGTTTGGATGTTTTTCTGAAACCTTGGTCCCGCCCACTTTGGCTTAAAAGGTTTTTTATTGTACATGTATTTACTTTTATTTACTTTATCTGTTCTTGGTATTTCCATGGAGGAATAACGGTATTCCCTTGAAGCTTCCGTTGCTGGATGGTAGAGATAAGAAGACTGCCGACTGTTGGTATTTCACAGTTTACACAGAGTCAGGGACCACAGTTGTTTATTATTCAACATATTTATAACCCACAAAAGAAGACAAAGATAGAGAGGGGGGGGGGGGGGGGGGCAGGCGGGTTTGAAACACAGCCCCCGTACATTTTTCTTGACATCACAACCACCCATGTTGAGTTTTTGCCCAACGATCCCGTTAGCTCGGTGGTCGAGTGGTAAGACATCTGCACTAGAAAGCAGGAGGTCGTGGGTTCGAGTCCCACCCGAGTGATTTTTTCCAACTTTCCCTCGGGAGGTAACACACTGAGTGTACAGTAAAGGGCAAAACCTAGTTTGAACATAGTTTTTATTCTTTGCTTTCTCGCACAGTTTGCCACCAATTTTTCAAAATTCCGACATACCTTGTACCATTCGTACAAATGTAAATTCTTTTGAATGCTAGATGGTGAACAATGTTAACTTGTTTATTTGACTGTGGAATGGGCTTTTTGAGGGTAATGAAAATGCCATAACATGTACTTAATGGATTTTAAACTTTACTTCCTAGCCTCAACAATTCTACCTCAATCATGTCAATATCCCCCCCCCCAAAAAAAAAAAAATTCAAAAAATAAAAAAAATTCAAAAATAATGGGAAATTTGAAGGGAAAAACTACCCAGATACATCATTCTGTAACTTAACGTAGCTACTTTTTTCAGTTGATGTCTCATTCAGAAGCGAAGAACTTTTGTATTTCTAGCGAAATCCCAATTTAAAACGAAATCTATTTTTTTGTGGTGAAACTCAAAAGCAATGCAAACAGTACATTTTTAAGAAGATGGGTTGTAATCAAGAAATATATGTGCATTTATCAGTTCAGTTTAAAACTCATCAGTATTGCCAGTGCAGTGCTGCTGCCTAAACCTGCCTTGTTCGCAATTCTTTATTTCATGGATGAGTCAGAAAATGTATATGGTCAGATCGTGTGGCTTCATTAATTAAGCCCTTCTGCAAGCATGCCAACTTTTTGTCCGTACCTCCATGACAATAGTAATGGACCTTATACCTTCCACAAACACAGTGTGTCATTGAAAATTCTTGATTCAAGGAACTCAATCTGTTTGACTCCAATTTGCTGCATATTATATGGCAGTACTGGATGGTCTTGGATAGTGAACTGCAGAAGACATGTACAAAAGAAATAAAACAAACCAGACGAACTTGTAATTAATGTTGATGTAAAATTTCTCCCAAGGTACTTGTAGTTTTGCTCAGAAACTTCCAAAATTCCCCACTTCATGCATGGGAGGAAACTACAAAACTAGTCGTTTGGCCCTATCTTCCTCAGTCCTGCAAATTCCTTTAAAACTTCGCTCTGGATTTTGAGAGATCTACAATGTAGGAGGGATACATGTAGGATTTGTTTTTATAACCAACTTTGGGTCCTTGAATTTCAAATGCAGCCAGGATAGAGTGGCACAGAAAAATAAGTTGATAAGTCCATTGTGTAAATGGCTTTAGAGATTGTTATTTTTACAATATTAATTTTGTGACTGATTTCGAGCTAAAATGAAACAGACAAAAAGATTTATAAACTATTACAGAAAAAAATCACTTCTGAAGTTGGGGGCACTTTTTTTCAGTGAACTAAGCATTTTTTTGCTCCCTGCAGGCTGTACCCACAAATAAAATTAGTTAATTAAAGTAGTTTTGTATTTTGATATCTCTAAAATGCGGGAAAAAACTGCGTAAAAATTCATATTGATAAACAGCAGTACTGATACAGTAATGTTACGTCTCATGAAATAATTTCAGCAAAGTAAAGGCAATTTTGTTAAGAGAATTGTGCATACGAAATGAGCAAGTCAGTGGAGAGTGATACCAGGTGACTTTGTTCTCGTTTCGCTGGAGCAAGTGCTTTCTCCCCGGCTGCCTTATATTTTCATGGCTAGTACACTCTATCTGAGATGGTCCTATGTGAACAACATCACAAAATGAGGCATGTTCACGTTTTCCTTTGCAGGTCATGAGCCAGGCAAGCATTATTCACTGGACAACATGGACCTGCCGTTGAAGTGTCGGATCTGCGGTGACAAGGCCTCGGGCTTTCATTATGGTGTCCACTCCTGCGAAGGTTGCAAGGTAAAAAGAATGGAATACTTCAAACTTGGGCGTGCAACTTTTCCTCTGATCCACTGATTTCCTCCTCGTAACTTCACATGAATGCCATTACAAATAGAAAAAACACTGTGCAAAGTCTTGGGTAGTTTGGAATTGCCTCGTTTTTTTCTAAATTCCCAGTTGCCTGCCTGTAAACTCCACCTGGAGATTTTGAAATAGTTTGTACATTGTAGGATTGGAGAAGGAACAACTCGGTCACCTTTCACGCTGATTAAGGCTGTTTTTCTTACAAGCTTTGGCTTATATGAACAGTACCATAAGTTTCACCCCCCCCCCCCCCCGCCCCTTTAATATCTGTAGCCATTTACAATTTCAGCTATGTATTTTTACTTCTTTTTTTTGGCAAACCTAATCGGATTTACATCTGGAAAGTATTGAAATAAATGTTGCTATTGAAACTGAAATTGAAAATAAATTGCAGTACAAAAGTTATTCACTTTTGAGTGAAACATCGACCAAAAAACAATTCGGCCATGTTCAGTTGTTAAATTTATATAGTTTGATTTTGTGGCCTGACAAAATGTCAGTTTTTTTGCAGGTGTGCAGTTACCCTGCAGCCACCCTTTATTTCTTATTCACGAGTCTTATTCACGAGTCATGGTTCAGGAGTCATGGTTCTACATGTGGATCAGGACAAAAATCAACCTAGGGCGCGAGGACAGTAACCACTGTGCCAACCTGACTCCCCGTTGATCACAAATCAACCACTAGTCGACTGATGGCTCTCCCCGAACTTACTTCTTGTGGTATTAACATTGAGTAGTTTCGACGGCTTCAGTTTAACTTTCATGACCATTTGCCTTTTCAGGGTTTCTTCCGTCGGACCCACCGCATGAAGCTTCAGTACAAGCCGTGCCCGTACTCCAAGACCAAGCCATGCAAAATCAGCTTGTCTACAAGGAACAAGTGCCAGTATTGTCGCTTCCAAAAGTGCATTGCAGTCGGCATGTCACATGATGGTATGTCATAAAAGCAGTGTTTCCCCTGCCCATTCAAATGCGAGGCGGCCCACCTCGCTACTTTCAGTGACCACATCGCGCAAATTTTGTTAATATCACCACCTCTCTGTGAAAATTTGCAATAAAGGAAATACTACTCGAAAAAATTTAATTCTGTGTAATTTATAAGCGTTTTCCTTGACCTCTATGTATCAAGAACTCACAATTTGGATGTGTCGATGGAATCATTGCGCATTTTTGAGAGCGCTAGATTTTCTTTTCAGTTTGCAGACTGCGTAAATTTTGTACCTGGTACCAGCAAAAATATTTCTGAGGTTCTGTCAGTCAGCAGCAAATAAATATGAATGTTGTTTACTTAATAACCAAAACTTTCATAAATATTGCCATTTTCTTGTTCGTTTTTTTTCTTCCCTTCAATGTTTTTGTCTGTTGTCTGGTATTATTTCAAGAGTAGACAGATTTGAGAAAACATTTTGTTTCACATTTGAACTGACAAGAACCATTTACGTAATAAGTTGGCCATTGGAGGTCTCGCTGCAATTATAAGTTTTCCTCCAAGAAATGCTTTTGTGATAATCCTTCTACAGCCTCGAGGTTTGGCCGGATGCCTCGCGAGGAGCGCCTGCGCCTCATGGAGGAGCTGACCCACGAGGAGCACGAGGCCAGCGAGGAGGACAAGAGACGGGCCGAGCTGCGAGAGCTGACAGAGCGGATCCACCAGGCCTACAAGGACATCTGGGCCATGAGCTTCCACCCGACGCTGGAGGCAAGGACCAACAAGCTCAAGGAAGAGAGACTCGGTGTTATCGAGGTAAAAAAGACCTGATATCAGTCATTAAAAAAGTGCCATTTGGAAAATATATTGATTGCGGTACCCACAGCTTTATCAAATTTGAATCGGCCACACGACTCCAGTATGTTTGAGTTACCATCACTTATGATGACTTGATTGCATAGCATACAACCCATTGTGTTTTAATTTTTTTACTTTTGAAAAAAAACATCCAGGAAGTAAATATTGACATCGACACACGGCCCATGCGGGAGCTGACAGACATTGACGACATCGCGGCCTTCCTGCGCAACGCCCTGCAGACGGCCATCGAGAGCCTGGCCCAGTTCGCCAAGAAGCTGCCGGAGTTCCGCTCGCTGGATATCAATGACCAGGTCTCGCTGCTCAAGCACGCGGGCTTCGAGATCGCCATGATCGCCACGGCCTCCCGCTACATGGCCGACGGGCTTTGGTTCCCCTCGGGCGGCGTCTACTTCAAGAAGAGGCTGCTGGAAGACCTGGACACCATATTCTTCGAGGACAAGTTCAAGTTCTTTGAGAAGATGAAGAAGTTGAACCTGACGGAGAAGGAGCTTGCGCTGTTTTGCGTGCTGGCCCTGGCAGCTCCTGGTAAGCCAAAGCACCAGTGGGGAAGGAAGCAAGATTAAAGAATAGTTGACGTCATGGCAAGGTTTATGACAAAGTCGTAAAAGATCATTTCACCAATTCAACTCTGATGCATTTTGCTGTTAACGTTTCTTCATATCAAACTTGGTTGACATTTGTATGAACTGGCCTCAACAATGGGGTGCAAGGTCCATTGGCAAATAACACATAGCTTGTATACCCCTGCAGTGACAAACATAATGAGGTTTGTACATGGCAGGCAAGTTATTTTGCCAACGATGTCATGCAAAATACATGTTTTTAATTTTTAAATTTCACATTCCAAGTGTCTTTAAATTACTGAAACACAAGAAGAATGACCAAAGAATTGGAACTAAAACAGTACCTTGGTTGTAAAAAAAAAAATCATTTATGATACAATTTTTTTGTCTTCCCTGGCAGATCGGGACGACCTGACCCAGCGGGAGGAAGTGGAGAAGTTCCAGGAGGTGATCCTGGAGGCGTTGGAGTGGGAGGTGCAGCAGAATCACCACGGCAACCCGCTGGTCCTGCCCCGCCTCCTGTCCCGTCTGGTAGACCTGCGGCAACTCAAGCTGGAGCACGTCCAGCAGATCCAGCAGCTGATGCTGCTGGACGACCCCCGCTACAACGGGCCCACCCCGCTCATGATGGAAGTCTATGGATTATGATCCATAACTACTTTTTATTGTTGCCTCTTACTCATGAATATGTATGAGGTATTGTAATACTGGCTACAGCTTAAAAAGGAAGTGTTTTAGGTATCGTTTTGAGGATTGCGCAGTCACCAATGAAGTGTGTTAAACCAAAGATTATTATGCTAAGCATTTTGGCTAAGCAACTTTTCACAATTGCCAGTCTTTTTTGGTATAAATATATATATATATATTAATACTTTTTAAAAACTTTTTTAGACATTGTTACATAAAGGCTTTACATTTCTCAGGAGATAAGACGTGGTGTTATATCTTGTGCTTGGGTACTGTAATTTCATTGGTCTAGAACGGTCACGTGTCCAGCTTGTAAAAATAAACTTTTACTTCATATACACTGCGTTCCATATAACCTCATATACACTGCGCTGCATATAAATTGCGCACTTTGCGCGTGCGTGTAGGGCCTGCCCACGCGCTCACAACTGGACAAAGAACTTCAACCGCTCAGTCTCGTGTCCGGTAGGAAAGCCTGCAGTTATCAAAGGTTACACCGCACTGATGCAATTTATTTCTTGCTTAGTTTTGAAGTTACAACTATTTATCTTTTTTGACTTAATGGCATGATATAACAGAACAATTGTTGACTGGTGTGATGTGCAATATGTCGTTTTTAACCCCTTTGGGTGTTAAAACGGCATATCCCACATCACAGCTATCAACAGTTGTTAATTACTTTTCAATTTGCAGACTCACATTCACTTTTTTTTCAGGAAATGAATTTCTTTTGAGGAAATGTTTGCTCTTTATGGCAGGGTTTTATTTATTTTTCTTTGCAGGTGTGTGGTAAGTTCGTATTTTTTTTGTCCGCAAGTGTCACATATTTAGAAGACTGATGTGAGCATGTACGATGAACTAATTTTTTAACCAGTTGGTTGAAAAGTTTTAGATCTTACAATGACAAATTGCTCTGTGCAATATGTACAGGGAAAGAATGGAGAGGGAAAGATTACAGCGTGTCACAGTGTACATGTGGTAATAAGCCTATGTACTGATGACGTCACACCCTGTCCATAGTCACACTGGCTCCATAGGAAAGTGCACATGTAAACAAAGTGTGACGTCATCAGTACAGAGGCTTATTGCATTTGCAAGTATGCCAACATGTTAAAAAAAAAGAATAAAAAATTACATTTATATGCAACGACGCACATTTTTCTTTACATTGCAGTGAGGGGATACACTGTGTACTTTCCTATGGGAGAAAGGTTTTATCCCCATTCTCGAGTGGAGACTATTATTCATGTTGTTCACGTAGGCCTAATGAAATTTCAGACTTTACCTCCTTTAACCCTAACAGAACTCAACCCATCAAACCCCAACAGCATGTTTTGTTGGAATCTGTCAGGATGGGTACAGTGCCCCTAAACTGACAGTCTTTTACATTGGGTTGGCACACCTCCAGAAACAAAGTCAGAAATATGTGCATGCAGTTTCCCATATGGTGTTGGAATTTGCCAGGATGGGTATGGTTCCTAATAAATCATGCTAGGGAGTTAGGGTTAAAAAAACAATCCTCCGAAGCCATGATTCAGAAAAGAAAGAGGAATTTCCCACGATAAAATTAGGATCCCACTTAAATGTTATATGGGGAAAAAATTGAAAACTGTTGGGAAAAAAAGGAGAAAGTGAAATCCTAGACGGGAATCGATGCAGCAACATTGATACTATGAGCTGTGCTTTTCCACTGCGCCATCGGGTTGCTCGGCCTGGATCAGCAAATTTTTGTATTGTACATGTATACCCCGAGCGTTTGTACAAGTATGTACGTATGTGAATAAAAGGATTGTAGAGTGCAATCTCTACCTTTATTCAAGTCGCATAAAAATTGATTACCCCGTCGCCGGGACCTGTTTTTCCAAAGATCGATTCAGAATTTGAAACCAAAGCGTACATTTTGGAATGATTTTTTTATTTTTCCAATTTTTAATACAAAACATAATTTTTCTAATCACAGTGTGTATTTACAGCATTAAATGTATATATATCATTTATTTTTGTAGATATAACAAAAGTTGTACAAAAAGAAGTATTTTTCTATTAATTTTAGCCTCTTTCAGTGTAAGCCTTTAATCACATTTAGTAATGACATTTATTATTTTTGTGTTATGCTGAAGAAAGAATAAGATGATTTAGTGATATGTTAGATTGTTACAAGATAATACTGAGTTACATGTACACATTTTTCTTGAGAAAACAATTCATGACATTTCATTTTATACAACATTTGAATAAAACCCCGTCATCTGATTGGTTAGTTGTTGATAACGTGTCATTGAAAGATTCATCAAAACACATGGCACGGCCGCATTGCAAAAATAGAAGTTCCATTCAACAGTAAATATAACTTCCATTGCACGGTCACACAATTGGTGGTTCTGACCAATCAGATGACGAGGATTTATTCAGGTGGTGTATAAAATAAAAATCAATGTTTTACATTTTTTGCAATGGAAAGAATAATTTCATTCAGTGACAGATGGAATGTTTCATTACACTCGGTTTCACCTCGTGAAATGAAACGCTCCATCTGACACGTCATAAAATTATTCTTACCATTGCACTCATAAACATGTATTATTTGTATAACATACAAAGGCATATTGTTTAAATATAACAAAGACATAGCCTGCTCAGAAACAGTTTGCATCATTATCGTCTCTTTTTACTTTCTAATAAACAATATCAGTTATGGCTTAGTTTTATGGACGTGATGCTGCAACTCAAGAGTCAAACCTTTCTGGTTAACATCAATGGTCCAAGCTTTATAATTGAAAACAGTTATAAACAACTTGTCATTTGAAAAACAAAAGAAACTTTTCCTTCTGCTGTTAACTACATGTGGGTCTGCATTACAGCTGTACATAAAAAAAGTAAAAATAGAGGATTGTTTATCTTTGAAGGTTCGGCAAATTTTGCAATGTATCGTGGTGCTTCTTTTTAACATGACAACTTTGTACAGACTTCGCATGGGTAATGCTTTCCAAATTTTCCAGTATATATATATATGTACAGTAGTCTTTCTAGAAGTTATTTCCTTATATGTCATTAAACTATGCATTCTAGTTTTTAGCAATGTTCAAAACTACAGCAAAGATCCAAAGACAGAGGTGGTAAACTGATTTCATAACGGTGGAATGTAAATGTTATATTGTTGCTGTTCACGAAATTATACACAAATGTTTTATATATTGGCAATAAATTTACAGAAAAAATTCTTGTATGGAGATCTGGAAAATTGGTTTGTTTTGCGGATTTAACAATTTCTTGTTGAATATCCATACAACGAGTGTTAAGAGTTACAAGTTCCAAGGAAAGTTATGGCAGTTGTACAAGCCTGAAACTTACCTAGATGGTTTCTTCTGAGACTCAACAACACATATTTTTACATCCCCACACAAAACAAAGCTGCCTGGCGAACTTATGACCATAGCTTGATTCTTACTATACTCACCTGAGCACACAATTTGGCAAGTATTAAAAAAAAAAGCTGAAGAATGTAGTTTATTTTATTCTTTTGCTTCCATTTCTAAATATTAATTGCTTAACTACACACATATGCAAATACAAAATTCCCATTTTTTAATGGCAACTTGTAGTTAAGGAAATGCCCGATGTGTCCTAGACTTGCGCCAGTCCTTCAGCAGCAGCGAGACTGAACAGGAAGTTTTCAGTGGCCGGTGGCATTTTGCGTTCCCGCAGAGCCTCGATGCTCACTTTACCCGCACCATCACCGTCTGGACCAGAGTCGCTGAGGGACTTGAGGTTGTTGATTAATTCCATAGTCTTGTTGGAAATATCCTGGAAGAAAAGGTATGTAAATATAGAGCCCTCTATTGGCTTGAAACAAGACTAGGCAGGCTTAGTAGAGCTGGTACCAGACCAACAGACCATTATCATGTTGCGGCCATCTTGATTTTTTTCCCATTCAAATCAACGGAACCAAAGCGAGGCTGGAAGGAAAAAATAATCTGGTTCCTTTTTGAACAAAAAAAAACCATCATTCAGTACTGTTATTGGATACAGGGAACATGACTGAAATGGTGGCAGCATGATAAAGGTCTATTGGGTCCAAACCTACCCTCTGGTCATTTGTATTTTGAAAGCCAAAGTCTATGTTAGTAAATGCACGTTTGCCCCCACGGTTGTAAAACTCACCACGATAGTCTGCTTATTGCTGACTGCTTCATCCTGGGCGCTACTGACCATGACTTGGGCGATGTCTTTATGCAGCTTCCCCATGGCAAAATACTCTAAAGAAAGAAAAAACAAAACCAACATAAGCAGGGCAGTCATGCCTACCACGTAGACCCTTGGCCTGTAAAATCAGCAAGTAATTGTATCTGCATGGCGATTTCCATTGGTGTGTTACTATTTCTATGCACATGAATAGTGACTAAGTAGAAATGACTGAAAACAGGATGGTTTGTTTTTCACAATTGGCTGAATTCGGAATAGCAGCAGCTTTGGAACTGAAACCCTAACTCCCCAAACAAACTCTATAAATCATTGACAATCAGCCACTGTGCAGGAACCCTGTGGTAAACTGTTTGTTCTTCAACTTTTATTGAAGGGCCATCAAGTCTAATGTAAAGTTATAAAGGTTGGGATCTACCTTTCCTTAATCCTGAAAACTTCCTCTAGAACCTGGTAGAATTTTTAAAGATCTTGGAGGATTAGGGTTTACCAATGCACAGAGCACTCTGTACCTTTAGCATTAGGAGCGACAGTGATTTCAGCAGAGGGAATGTTGACAAAGAGATCAAACAGGTCCGTCCTGCTCTCTATAGCTTCATTAGTGAAGCCTGCGACGTAGGACGAGGTGCTTTTAAGTTCTTGGATCTCGTCCTCTGACTCCAAGTCCATGTAGGGGTAGAGGAGGGACCAGTTCTGCCTGTGCCATACCAGGCAAGGCAGCGCTCTGTGGATTTGGACAAAACAAGAATAGTATATGAAGTACTGGCTGTTGCCCTTGACTGAAGTAACTTTACAAGCACTATATGCTCAATGCTCTTCATTTGTTTTGTTTGAAAAACTCACAAGTTTACATGGGCGGGACTTGAACCCACAGCATCTTGCTCGCAAGTGTATACCTCTTAAGAGAGGTAGTCTGGTTCATCACAAGTCCATCACAAGGCAAGTCACAAATAAATCACAAGCCAAATAACAAGTCCAGTCACAAGTAACAGTGGATGAACAAATAACAGAGGTATGCTTTTGTCAAAGCTCATTTGAATAGCTTGTGAGTTGAATTGGGACTGGAGGACTTGTGATGGACTTGCAGGGACTTGTGATGGACTTGACTACATCCCTGGACCTCTTACCGTTAGACAACAACATTTGCTTGGGGTCTGCTGGCAGATACGAATCTGATGGAGCAGTGAGTACAGCAATCAACGACTTTTGAGGATGTTTTCGCATTGGGGAGATGTACATTCCAGCAATATCAATGGATCAAGTTGTTTACCCGTAATGGTTGTGCTGTTTAATGATTCAAATGTCCAACCATTCCAGGCCAGATTACCTTACGAAATGCAACAGGTCTTCTACTTTGGAGTGGTAGACGGCTATGCGTTTCTTCAGTAGTAACGCAGTGTAGATCAGAATAGACTCCATCTCAAACTTATTTATCACATCTGCAATATGTCATTTACAAATTGGAAAGAAAAACAAAAAAAATCTTTTAGAAGGATGGTCATTTGAGGAAAAGGGATACTCTAGAAGAAAAAAAGAGAATCAAAATACTCATTCCAATGAACAGAATTTAAGTCTGTGGAAAAAAACCTTCTTGAAAACGTTTTTAAAAAATGCACACAACAGTTATAAACAATTCTGACTATTTGAATAGGTCCCCAAAATAACAACTAACAATCTACCAGGTTTTGCAGGATTTTGCAGCATTGCGGCAGGTATTACTTAAAAGTAAAGCTAAAGTAGCAGCCAAAAATACATGGGACTCGGTGTCACACAATAGGGCTCAAGTACAGAGGTGAATTCTGAAGGAAGAAAGAATTTTCTAGCAGATGCTCTGGAAAAACTTTGACAAGAGGGATCGGATCGTTCATGTTTAAAAGAACTGCTTTTTGTTCGAACTACCTTTCACTGAAGCTGCTGCAAATGCTTTCCTCATGTCAAAGTCCTGCACCTGGAACATGCCGTTGTCTTCGCTCAGACAGCTTCCCTTGGTGACCACCGACAGGTAGTGTTCCAACATGGAGGTGGGGTTTCCCGACGTCATGTAGGCCTGGCACAGGATCTTACTCAGTAAGCTGTACTTCTCTGGGTTGAAGTCTCTCGTCAGCAGCACGAGCGAGAAACTCTTGACCTGACAACAGTAGATGCCTCAAACTCTTAGATTCATTATGCAGCTTCTTTGTTCGGAGTATAACATTAATAATTATGATAAGCAGATTTTAACTTCATTTTGAAGGAGAGCAGATCATTAGATGAAGGGAAGCATGCCCCATGCGACAATTTCCACAAAGATGCAAACGCATGGAAGGAGCACAATACAGAAACCGTATTTAACCCAAATTAACAGGTACTTTAAAATATAAACAACAAAAACATAAATGAAGACTGATCTGCAAAATTGCTGTGATTTGGCCTTGCACCTTTTTCTATAGGGTAAAATTAGACACAAAAACTGCTTATACACATAGAACAAGCAAAATCGGATTTGAGGGCTCGATCACACGTTTGCAGAGTGACTAGTATGTACCTAGAATGCTCATACAGTACACAATGAGATTGGTCATGTTTTTTTGGGAGCCTAAACCGCTCAAAGGAAAAGCTTCCGTAACGCCCTCACTTTTTGGGGGGAGTGTGAGGGGAGGCACAGTTGGAGGTCAACAATTGAATGAATCTGAGTACCTTGGCAAGGGCTGGTGCGTCATTTACTTCTTCAGTCCGGATGTAGAACCATTGTCTGTTGTGCTGGCCGTACACGTATGGCACGATGGCGCTATTGTTGGTGCTAAGACATCCTTTTCTCTGGATAAGCTCTCGCTGTTTGGCAGTTACAACCGGATATGACCACACCCACAGCACGTCGGAGTTGACATCCTTCTCTGAAATTGAAAAACAAAGTCTTTTTATTGTTAGAGAAACAGATAAACTTGCCTATGCTGCATTATAATAATATGCAATTATTTTGGTGCAAAACAACAGAGAAAGCTATCTCAATTCAAAATACAGAATTGGATGGAAAAAAATGTTGCATCCTGACGCCACTTTTTTCATCATATATCATCTCAATAGAGGTCAGTCATCGCCAAAATGTTGAAAAGACATGAATCTGGGACTGAGATTTTGAGAAACATTTCCAATTTTGTTAGGAAATACTTTAGAAAATGTCTTGACTCTCCACAGACTTTGTACACAACCGCTGAAGTGGCATCTAGATACTACATTCTTTCAAAAAAATCTTAAAATAAACCTTCATGCGCAGTTTTCACTTCCCTAAAAAGTAGCCCCCTCCAAACACGCTAATGTCAAGTCATTGCAACATGTTGAATATTCGTCTCGCCCCGCCCACATTTAAGTTGGCAGTTAGTTGGTACCATTTGTAAAGCTTATAATGAGGTAATACTAAAAACAAAGATTTCGTTATAAACAGAATTGTCTATGGAATAAAACTTGGGAGGCCAAGAAATTAAAAGCGTTGGTAAGTGCGTCGAATAAAGTGGTTTTTCTTACCCATCAAACCCGCAGCAAAAAGGTCTATGAGCGCCGCCATCTTGATTTAGTACAGCCTCGTTCAATTAACAAAATTCATCTTGCATAAAGAGAAGTTCAAATCATTTAATAAAATTATGTATAAAGCAGAGACAATATCCCATTGTTTAAAAAGATACATTAGTAGTAATAAATTTTGGTTAAAATAAAAGGATTGTTTAAATAAAGAAAATATATAACTATAATTTCTAAAAATATGACGTCACATTTCCCACATGTGAAATTCGTCGCGCCATATTGGTACGAAATTTGTGGAATGACTTTCCACAGATAATGGTGAAAAAGGGTCAATAAAATCATATTTGCTTTGAGCTATTAACCTCAGGTTTGGACAAGTTCGACTGCAACAATGCCTACCTATTTCCAGCGCCCAGAAAATGCCCTGAAAAGGGCAAATGGTGAGTAAATAATATTTGTGTGAGCAAAAGTAAATTCACCAGATTGAGATTACACTGCACTGAATGACTGCACAATGAATGGGACATCAGCGGGAACTTGGGACGGGTGTTGAGTGGATGTTGACTGGCGCACCCGTGGAAACACGAAACTTTCCATATAACGGGGTTGGGGTGGAGTGGGGTGGGGTGGTGGGGTGGTGGTGGGTGACCACTTGCTACAATGTATTGTATGTAATTGTAATCCAACAAGGTTAAGTTACTGTATTTTCATTTAAAAAACGATTAAAAAAATGGGTTGGCCTTTCATTGTAAATGTGATTTCCATCATTCTAATTCTATAGAGGGCGCCATTTCCAGATTAGATTGTGCATTGAAAGAAGCTTTTAAAATTCAATTGAAATGTTCACTGGTTATGGCATATCGTGTATAAACTCATCCAAAATATGGAACATAAGGAAAATTATCAAACAAGAAAATAACAAATCCTGCCGTGTTTTCCTCACTTCTACTTCTCCATCGACAGAATTCATCGATGTCGGCAAGAAGCAGCCAGCCTTGGATGCCCTGTACGACGTGATCAAGAGCAAGAAGCACCGAACATGGCAGAAGATTCACGAGCCCATCATGGAGAAGTACCTGACGCTGTGCGTAGAGCTGCGCAAGAGCCACACGGCCAAGGAGGGGCTCTACCAGTACAAGAACATCTGCCAGCAGGTCGGCTTGACATCATAAACCACTAACCGAAAACATCCTCCAAAATCAAACCTTCCTCACTCTTGCAAAATCCAACACCATATGGTAAACTCTACACCCAAGCAGTTGGACTGTGATTTTGGTGGTATGCCTGACCCCATGTAAAGCATAATCAGTTTACCAGTACAGTACTCATTCCAACAAATTCCAACAAAACATGCAGTTGGATTGTTGGGGTGGTTAGGGTTAAGCAGTCCTTCTGATTTGAGGAGTGCAATCACACCCCCACACCATCGCACACCTAAAAGCTTCCCGAGAAGTGTGAATAATTGCACGCCTGAATTTTCCTGGACCACAGATCACAAACCTAGAAAACCACACACCTAGAAAAAACACACACCTAGAAAAATCCAGGTGTGCCTTTTTCCACACGCCTGTGATTTTCAAATCAGAAGGACTGGTTAAGTTGGAGCAGAGTGGAGGATTTTGGATAAAAGAAGATTCCACACAAAACACCTTCTCTGGGTATTTGTCCCCCAGGACCTTTTCCCCGAAGCCTCAAAAATCTTCAGCATTGCTTGAAACAAAACTTGCATTCATTGAACTTAAAGTTCCAAGGGGGCATCAAGCACGATATGAAGTTATAGCAGCAGAGATCTGGGTTGCATTTAGCAGGGTTTTCATATCAGCTGGTTTGCATTCTGTTGCATTTAGCAGGGTGCCTAGAGAAAACGTGAGCGTGCTTATTAAAGAAAACGAAAAACATTACTGGTAGGGAGTCATGGTTAAAAATCATAGGTCAGTGGTAGACAAAAAGTTGGACTTCATACAAAAGTTTTGTCGCCTTTTAAAAAAAATTCTACCATAGCTTTGTGTATTGTATTCTTATCAACTTTTCTTTGTTGGCCCTAGGTGAACGTGAAGTCTCTTGAGGATGTCGTCAGGGGCTACCTGCGGCTTGCAGAGGAGAAAACAGAAGAGGCTCGTAAGGCGTCGGAGCAAACGGTGCTGGATGTTGACGATCTGGACAATGTTGTAACTCCTGAAAGGTGCGTAGATCTGGGGTGAAATTCACGGATCTGCTCAGCAGATAAATTGAGCTCAAGTGAATATTGATGCTCTCTGCTAAGCAAAGCTGAACAGGGAACCGGTCACAAGCATTAGATATCAATGTGCATTTTGGCCGGTGGCCAGCTTGGCCAGCTTTTCCCTTAACAAAACTGTTCTGCACTTAGCAATTGTTGTGTGCGTTTAGCAGTTCCATGCTTTGGCCCTTCTAAGCACATTGCCTGTTAAGTGAACAATCTGGCCCCTTCACAGAGAGAGACCATAATCAGACAGAACAGTATAAAGCATGCCAAATTAGAGGCAGAATTGTTTTAAAAAGTAGTGACGTAATAATAGAAGTCTCAATGTACACGCAAACAGTGGCATGTCTATGCCAAAAGATATGCTGAATCTCTGTAATTTTTCAGGCTACACTTGGCACAATGTTTGTGCGAACCTTTAAACAGCTCTGTGACATTTGCCCCTGAGCACAGGTCCACAGAAATGATATGCAAACATAATTTCCAATGATTTCTTTTTACTTCGAACCCCAAAATGCCCTGATTGTGATTGCCTGACCCTCACCAAATCGTACTTTTGCTTGAAAAAGCAAAGTATCCTGTGTATTGAGAGTCCATTTATTTCCAAGGATATGACATACATAGTAGACCTTGACTCTTTGTGTTTGTTTCCAGTCTCTTGCTGAGCGCCGTGAGTGGGGAGGACACCCAGGCGCGCACGGATCGCATCATGCTCATCCCGTGGGTCAAGTTCCTCTGGGAGTCCTATCGCCAGTGCCTGGACCTGCTGCGTAACAACAACCGCGTAGAAAAGCTGTACCAGGACATTGCTCAAGACGGTACGTAGCCATCTGAAATTTGTTTACCCTGGCCTTTCCTAGATCCTTTGAAATCTATCAGGAAGTTTAAGAGAATTTGTAGGATTAGGCCAAATAAAAAAAATAAATATGTTTAGCGTCCCCGCCCGCTTCCTTAGGCCCCCTCCTTTTTTCTTTTTTCTTTTTTTTTTTTAACCGAAAAAAATAAAAAAATTTAAACAGTGACATCATTTTGGCCTCTTGATCCGTTGAATCTATCTAGCCCATATAAAGCTGGTATGTCATTTCCTGGGTCCAATCGGCGACCATTTAAAAAAAAGCTGGCGGCCATCTTGAAAAATAGCCCAGTCAGACGGCCATTTTGGAACGAAAAAAGGGCCTCCTTCCTTTTTTTCAAAAAGGCAGGATGCTAAACATGTTTTTTTTTTTTGGCCTTAGTACAGCCACGCCACTTTTACCACATGCAGTTTTTATTGATTTTTGCAGATAAAGTACAGCATCATTCATATAAGCCTTTAGTTTTCATTAGTTTTGAGTTTTTACATTAGTACTGTATACAGCACTATCACTGGTTGATTTTGGCGGATTACAAAGGGGTTGGTTGGGAAAAGTTCTTTACCCTGTAACAATGGTTGTCTTTTATTTCCCCCCTCAGCTTTCCGATTCTGTCAGAAGTACCAGAGAAAGACGGAGTTCCGCAAGCTGTGTGATAATGTGAGTATGCCAGTGTTTGGAGAATATGAGTTTTATGAATAAGTGCAATCATGTCAACTTATGATTTCCGATATTTGAACTACAGCAATTCACAATACAGAAAAACTTGCTGTCGGCAGTGCAAACCCTGCTTAAAGTTGCATACCCTAAGATCTTAAAACAAAACAATTTTTTTTTTCTCTTAATGAATGTTCAATTCGTATGTTTATGTTTAAATAAATAAAAACCTACTTTATTCAGATTTTGGGCATCTGCAACGTCTGATAAAGGGTTTTTATTTTGCATGCAAATGAACACGTCCTGAATTATTGTTGGGCTGTCAATAATTCAAATTTTTTAAAGAAGTACTTCAATAACTAAATGTTGGTGGATTTTGCATTGAATGCGAACAACTATATAATTGCTAGGAATATGGTAATTGTAAAAACAAATCACTTTTTTGGGGTGAAAGTCATTACCAAACGCTATTTATTTAATGTAAGGTGACAAGGATTTAGCAGTTCTATTTTTTTTTTATACAGAGTTGGAGTTATTTCAGTGAAAAACTGTATTACACGTGTATTATGTTTTGTACGGCACGTAGTCTACGAAGGATGGACAATTAACTGCAGAACAACGTATGCAAAGAACTATCCACAAGGTTGAAAAGTGGCATTGTGGCAAACATTGTACAGTGCTTTATCTTGAGTCCCTTATGATTTTCTGAATGAGAAATTAAATTGTTTTGATCACCTCAGTTGCGGAACCATCTGGGTCTGATCCAGAAACACCAGAGCCAGACCACAGCCATCGATCTGAACAAGCCAGAAAGCCAGCAGCTACATCTAGACACCCGACTCTTCCAGCTGGACACTGCAATCACTATGGAACTCTGGCAGGTACAAGACATGATCCCTTAATTAAGCAAAACTCGTTGAAGATGGTTATGCAAGCCAATTATTCCCCAAACACGAAGCACGCCAGAAATTAAATAAGTCTATCTTAACCCTAACCCACCTCACTCCTCCAAAATCCTCCTGGCGGTTTTGGAGGATTCTAGAGGATTGAGGATGAATGGTGATTGAATCAAATGAGGATTCTGGAGGATTGAGGATGAATGGTGATTGAAGCACATGGGGATTTTGGAGGATTGAGGATGAATGGTGAATGAAGCACAAGAGGATTTTGGAGGATTGCGGATGAATGCATTTTGAGGCAGGACTGTCTGATGATTTTGAAGGATTTGGCGTTGGTTATCCTTCATTTAAACACGAGTGCAAAGTTTTGGGATGAGGAGGATTTTGGAGGATTGAGGATGAATGCATTTTGAGGCAGGACTGTCTGACAATTTTGAAAAATTTAGGCGGAGTTGAACATTTTTGGAGGATTTTGGAGGATTGAGGATGGTTGTAAGCAACAAGGGCCTAGGGGGTTAGGGTTAAGTGACTGCTAAGAAAGTAGTCAAAGCCAAGTAGCCAAAATTGACAGTGTTTTTGCTCATAACAGAATTGATATTGACGTTAACTCTTTGAAACATGCATCTTTCTATGAGAAACTTTGTACGATATCGCGAAACCTTTATTAGGGGGAGGGGGTATGGTATCTGAACGTTGTATTTTGTTAGGACAAAGAATTTGTAAATAAATTGTGTTAAATTTGCTACTACAGTCAAGGACTTGTCGGACTTTGTAGTCGGAGAAAGGATAAATCCAAAATGGGCAAGGAATGAAAACGGAATTGTAAGTCTGAATAAGAAATCTCACAGTTTGATTAAAAATTAAAAAAAAGGAAACATTGGATGCCCATTTTGGATTACAAAGGCAGTCCAAATAGTGGTCAGAGAAGATGGTAAAACCCAAGAGTTGTTACTCCAACCAAACCACCTAATTCTACCTCCATTTCTTCCTACCCCCGCCCCCCTCCCCCACCTCACCAACAGGAAGCCTACAAGGCCGTTGAGGACATCCACAGCCTGATGGGTCTGTCCAAGAAGCCCCCCAAGCCCCAGATGATGGCCAACTACTACCAGAAGCTGGGGCTAGTCTTCTGGAAGTCTGGCAACGGGTTGTTCCACGCCTGCGCCTTGCACCGCCTGCTGCAGCTGTCTAGGGAACAGCGCAAGAATCTGACCCAGGAAGAGATACAGAGGTGGGTGCTCTTAGCCCTGACGGGGGCCAAGGGACCATGTAGACAGGGTTCCAAGCCACTCTGGAAATCAGGGAAAACCTTGAAAAGGAGTTTCCGTCTTTCCAGTCAGGGGATACTCAGAGAATTTGTGAAAAAATACCAAAAATCTGAAAACCCAGGGAATTTTGCAGTGACCCAGAAGGGAAAGGTTTTCACCAGTTTGGCGTATGTGCATCATGTGCCGTGTATCCAAGTTGTGTCCATCGACTGACTGGCTATGGTGGTAAATTATTTTAGTGTTTATGAAGTGTGATTCTCGAGACAATAACAATTGGCTCTGCTACATCACTTTGTGATTTTCCAGCAACCCTGTGGTTAAGTGAAAATATTTCTTATGGACTTTTGGAAATTTTCTCAGGGAAATCTCAGAGAATTTTGTTTTCATAAAGTTCTGGGAACCCTGTGTACATTTTTTTTCTGATATAGCCACTCTTTTTTTGCGACGAGCCTTTAAAAAGTTTGTAGCATGATGACGTTGGGATATTTTGACACCAATTTCATAAAAAACGACATGGCGTTTGCAAAAAAGTACTAAACAGGGTACTGAAACATATTTTGTTTTCCATTGACTGTTTATAATGGTCACAATATCAGAATAGTCCAAGTATCTTTTTTGTAATTCATAACCAATTGTCGGGATACTTGGCCATGAATTACATAAATGACAGATTATTTCAGGCACCAGAGATCAACATTTCTAGCCAGCACATCTTGTATTTATGAACAAGACATAAAGCAATTAAAAATAACCTTCAAAACAGCTAGCGGAAAACAAAGATCGGCTGTTGTAGTTTCACAAAAACGGCAGAAAGAAATCACCTTTGGCTTTCTTTGTCCCAGGATGGCCACCCGTGTCCTGCTAGCTACCCTGGCCGTGCCCATCTCGCCCCCTCGCAACGACATTGGGGACATGCTGGACATGGGCGACACCGCCATGGAGAACAAGCGCAAGCTGGCCAACCTCCTGGGGCTCCAGACTCCGCCCACCAGATCTCAGCTGGTCAAGGACTTGGTAAGCTGTCGGCCCTGTGGCCCCTCCCTGCCTGTCAATCAAACAGTGGGCTTTGACCAATTAGATTACATCTTTTAGTCAGGTGACCGTGGTGGGTGGGTCATACTCGGTCACAAGCATTGGTGGGCAGGGCTAAGGCCAAATCTTGAAGGGTCCAATTTATGGTTCTTCTGACCACAGGCATGCAACTTTTCCTCGGATCTGCTGATTCCCTCGCTTTTCACTTCACAATTATGCCATTAAAAATTGAAAAAATACTGTACAAAGTCTTGTAAAGATTGGAGTTTCCTCTTTTTTGTTACTTCCAAGTTGCAGGCCTGTTAAACAACATAAATTTGGTGCTGTGATCACCAATCTGGGTCAAGTTTCTGCTAACCACAGAATTCTGCACTTACGATCACCATTTTGCGCTAACAGCGGTAGCAGATAAATTCTGCGTTAACTGTGTAAGCACAGAATCCTTAGTTATGGGATGTACCAGGCGCAGAAGCCAAAATTCCTCGCTAAGCAGTGAAATACCTTACAGTAAGAAGGGAATTTTCTGCTACAGTAAGCAGGGATTCTTTGCTAACGGTAAGCAGAACCATGGAATTGGGCTCTGTATCTACTACGCTAACAAGAAGTTCCATGCTAACCATGTAAGCACAGAATTCTTAATTACGGCATGTCCATATATGCAAAGTCAAAATACCTTGCTAAGAAGTGAAAAGATGCTTATCACTTGGAAACAATTTTCTGCTGTACATTCCAGAGAGTCCTCAGTTATTATGAGCAGAGTCGTGGAATTTGGCTCTTAAGAAAAAGATTCAAGATTGGCTTTACCAATGCTTGGCCCAGTGTCATGGCACTGCTAAGCTCTGGATTTCTTGCTAACAGGACCTCCATTCGTTTAACATAAGGCATAAGCATTAAATACAAAAGAGAACGTGTCATCATCGCGTTCCACATGAACAACAAAAGTGGATTTTTAAAAATTTCCATCATGTTTCCACTACAGCTTTGTTTCCACCAAACATTTTAGCCTTTCTGAATAGAATTGGCTTGCCTTCTCATGTCTTGTCTGTTCAGGTGAGGTACAACGTGATCCCGTACGTCATGTCCCAAGTCAAGGATCTCTACGATTGGCTGGAGGTGGAGTTCCATCCGTTGGAGCTGTGCCAGCGAGTCAGTCAGATCTACGAGGTCATTCAGGAGAGCGGCGAGCCGGAACTGAAGCAGTACGTCAGCGCTCTGCAGGATAATACCATCATGCGCCTACTGAAACAGGTAACAGCCACGTTCACATTGATATAGGTTTTTCAAGGGATCATGACTGAAGTTTACTTGGGAACATATTTTGTGCAAGTTTCTGTTCTTCGCAAAATGTAGGAAAACTATTTGACATCAGTCTTGGTTAAAATTTCTTTTTAATAGTTCACTTCTTAATAAATTTTGGTCACCGTTTCTCTCTTGACAGATTTCCCAGATTTACGAGACCATCGGATTTGCTCGGCTGGCTAGCCTGGTGCCGTACTGTTCAGCCTTCCACCTGGAGAGGGTCATTGTGGACGCGTCCCGCAACGGCGCAGTCGAGGTACCAGCCCCTTACTCAGAATCAGAGAATTGGTGCTGGTCCCAGAGGGCCAGCCTAGTGTCGTCTTTGTTCCTATCTCCGGCCGCGTCCGAATTACTTGGCAACGGCTGGAAATAACACACGAGCCTGTGGGAATGGCTGCAGCCGCTTTCTTTAGGCGCGAGTGTCATTTCTAGCCACAGCCAAGTAATTCAGACATGGCTTCACTGACTGACTGTGTGACTCATCGTCTTTTGTAACTTGGAATTGCATTAGCCTCACGTTGGCCCAAAGTATTGACTCAAATGACTCCCTAGATCTCTTAGACCAAATTGGTCTGGGACCAGTTTTACTAGGCCTACCAAGTCTTTTAACCCTAACTCAGGGGTGTGAAATCTCAGCGTTGAAGCTAATTTCAGCTTTTTTTGTTTTGGATTTCAGCTTTTTCCCCTCGCTTGCTGTGTACAAAAGTATAGGAGATTTCTAAAGTTCAGCTTTTTTTTTAACACCTTTTTCAGCTGTTTTCAGCTATTTTTATCAGTGGTCACTCACACCCCTGCTAAGTTCTCTTGCCCAGAAGCAGCCTGAATCCTCTAATATCCACTAATGGCAAAGAGTAAAAAACTCTTAGCGCCTGAAGCGCCTGGGAGCATTTTATTTAAATCGATTTGGCGCTGTATTTTATTATTATTATCCTTCAAAAATCATCAATTTTTTTGCTGGAGGCCTCTTCCTGGATCATTCGTAATCCTCCACTGAGTTTGCTGTCATGTTATCACATAATCAGATTTCAATGCTTGTATGAGTTCATTAGCTGGAGTATCTTATTGAAAGCCCCCATTGTTATCCTGTATTGTGGTTTGGCAATGCCAAGGCCCTAAATGGTTGGAGTAAAGAGGTTGTACAATAAACAGAGGTATATGCTGGATGCCTGCCTAGTATACATGCATAAAGCAAGTAACGGCTTGAATCCTCCAAAATCATTTTGTTTTGGCGAAACCAGCCAGAGCCTCAATCCTCCAAATTCATCCAGCATCAGATTGGGCCTGATGACCTGGATCCTCCATTATCCTCCAGAGGTAAAATCCTGTTATGCCCTCAATCCTGCGAAATCCTCCAATGCTTTGATTTTCAAAGGCCCCCAATCCTTTGAAATCTTCCATTTTGCAAAAACAGTTTTGGAGAATTTGGTAAGCTTAGGGTTTCTATATGAATATGGGTGTTTCTTTGCAGATATTCCTGTGTTAAAAAAATCTTGTACATGCACTTCTCCATGTTTTATTCCCGTCTGACTTTTTTTTTCTCAGATACGAGTTGACCACGCCACCCAGGCCCTAGTCTTTGGCGGGATGGTCTCCATCTCTCAGCAGGACGAGCAGCTGAGCGAGGGCCCGCACCTGCAGGACCAAGCCTCGGATCAGATCCGCAACCAGCTCAGTCAGATGTCCTACACGCTGCACCGCGCCGTCAAGTTCATCCGCCCCATGCACATGGTGGTAGGTCCCTGCCTACTCATGTCTTTCCTTTACCTCCGGATAAAAGTTGGTATCAATCTTTGAAAACCCGGAAAATCTCTGGATTTGTATTTTACTGTTCTTGAAGTATTATGGAATATAACTAAAACTTTCCCTTTTGCCTAAAAAGTCTCTGTAACTTAGACTTGTCTCATAAAAATACAACTCATGTTCATGCTATGCCAACCAAGTGGCACTCATATTTTTGCCTGCTAACCCCTCTTGAAAGCTACCCCCCCCCAGCCAAAGCTGGATTCGCCCCTGTTGAAGGTTGTTCATTTGTATATCAAAGGATTACACCGCTTGGATTATGTGACTGCTCATCCTTGTAGAAATGACTTTGCAGTGACCATGGGGCATTCTCTGTTCCGTATCATGGGGCATTCCCTTCAGGCGAGTATTGGCAGTGTTTTGGAGGGTGTAGTTCAACGTGGGGTTAATCTCCGTCAACTGTTTTTATTTTGTCTCGTAGGACGAACAGGAGAACGAGAAGCAGGTGATGATCCAGCATTACCGGCGCACGGCGCGCAAGGAGCATGAGCGCATCCTGACCAGACGTCACATCATTGAGGACAGGAAGGAGAAACTAGAAAGCATCACTGTACAACGGGTAAGTTTGGAAACGGTCCTAATGGAGATGCATGATAGAATCCATTCACCCTAACTCTGCTGGATCCTTAAGAATCCACTACAAGATTATTTACGTCTTTGCTGGGTAGAGGAAGGTGCAACCCAGCCATTTCTACTAAAAGAATCCGTGCCATGAAACTGACAGATAACAATTCCTCTGAAATGTATAAAACCGATGAGACATCTCTTTTTGGTTAAAACGTTTGTAAAGTGTACTCCTTTGAACATTTAAAATGTTCCAGTTTTCCATGCTGTGGTGTCTTTTAAGGCACCTACTTTTTAAGTTTTTTCTATTCAAATTGTGAACCAAAAATATACTCATTAAAAATGTTTGCCATGGACATTAAAGGGAATATACAACATTTGCAAACATCGAAAAATAAAACTACCAAGTTTTTGCGAAATACCTTAATAGGATGTTGGTAAATGACAGTCTAAAGCATCCTGTAAAATGATGGCACCTGGTATACTGTCATTTTCAAGAAAAGTGGTATTTTTGTATCAATTTCCAACGCTGATCGGCCGATCAGCGTTGGAAACAACTGGCTTTTTTTCAAATACTGGCCCCAATTGACCATTGCGATTACAAACCTATGAACGGGTACGAGCCAGCTAGACTGGTTCCCTGACCTTACAATTCCCCAATGTATGTAAACTGCTCAATTTCTTCTTATATGGAGTCAGGGAACCAGACTACAGGAAAATGATCGTTTTTCTTGGTTTTTATAGCATTTTCGAACCCAAAACCTCCAAAAAGTCAGTGTAACTATATCTGCTTTATATTTCCAACCCCCCAATTCCCTCCATTTCTGAAAATTACAGCAAAAGCAAATGATGTATATTCCCTTTAAGGGATCTTGTTTGTAGGTCTTTTAGCCCGGTTCATACTTCATGCGAAAGCGAATGCGAAGCCGAGTTGAAATTCGCCCGAGTTGAAATATGTTCAACTTTTACGAATTCGCAGCGGGAATACTTGCCATGACGTCACAAACTCGCGTTCGCTTTCGCGTTCGCGCCGAGTATGAACCGGGCTTATGTCAAATTTTTTTGAGGCATGCAACATTTGGCTGAAAATCAGATAGCTTTCAGTTGTACTTTTTTTGAATCTGAAAGGTGATGTCATCCAAGACTAATTTTTTGAAATCAATTCTTGCAGGAGAAAGAGGAGCAGGACATCATCGAGAAGCAGCAGCGCAACCAGCGGGAGGCGGAGGAGAAGCGACTGGAGCGGGAAGCCCAGGAGCGCCAACGCAAGAAGGAGCTGGAGAAAGTTGAAGAGATCCAACGCTCCCAGGCCCGGGAGAGGATCAAGATGCTGAAGCAGTCCACCGTCAGCCAGAAGGTCTTCAAGAGACTCAACGAGGAGGTGGGTAACACTCAGCAGTGGGGAAGTCCAATCCCATCGCGAATCCATTCACAAGTCTGATCACAAGAACACACGCACCAGGTTCCCCCGTCAGGGTTCGAGCCCACTTAAACCACGGCACATGAGTCGGAACACAGTAACCAATGGACCCCTTTTCTAGTCGACTATTCCTGAAAGCATCACTGCTTTCAATAGCCACAGGTCTCGTAATGTACAGTAGGAAGCCAGGCCAAGACGTGTTGTGATTATGTTTGACCATAGTTTCACTAGAGGCATTCCTAGGTTGCTCTTATCAAACAGGTGTGAGTTGCATCACAAATTAACAAGTTGAGTAATGGTCCTCGGTCAAACTTGCTCTTTGATTGATAACGGCAGGAATTGGAGAAGCTGGACCCAGACGAGATCATGGCCAAGCACGTGGAGCAGCTGGAAGTGGAGAAGAAAGAACTCCAGATGCGACTGAAGGCTCAAGAGAAGAAAGTGGACTTTGCCGCCCGGGCACGACGGGTGGAGGAGTTGCCTCTGTTGGTCAAGCAGTACGAACAGCAGGCCGTGGAGGACCGTAAGATATGGGAGGAGATGGAAGAACAACGGGTAGGTTGCGACAATCGGGGGTTAGATTAGTCCCGATTTTTTGTCTCCAGATTTGTGGATTTTAAAAAGCCTCAATGAGACATAGTCATCACTGGGATTTTCCTTTTCAGGGTCAAAGATTTATTTGAAAATATTGTAGCGGGTTTTTTTTTTTAAGAATCAATCATTTCAGGACTTAGCAAATTGCTGTGTTTAAACTTCTTGATCAAATTTTTGCTATTTTCTTTTCGTTTGCAGATTGCAGAAGCCATCAGTGAGAGGGAGAAGGCTCTAGAGAGCAGAGACCGTCTGGCTCGCATGGCTGGTGACAAGAAGAAGTTTGCCGAAATGCTGGAGCAGACTCGCTACAGCATATACCAGGTAGGTCTACGGCCTCCTTGACGATTGATCCTTGAGAATGACGTGAAAATGCTATCACTGCAAAGAGACGCTATGCTAATAAGAACATCCGGGAAGATTTACGTTTTCAATTGGGGAACCTTTGCCTTGATATATGTATGTGAATTTATCCCCCTTGTTCTAGCTTGTAGATAAGGAACATTTCTCATTCCCACTTCGAAGAAAATGCCAAAAAAAAAACCCAGAAAAAAAGCAAAACAACATTCCTAGGTTTGCAGATGCCTCTTTGAATGGCTTAATTTCTTGGCTGGTTTGTACATCAGAGCCTAATATTATTTCATATTGATATTTCTACAATAATGTTGACCTTGTTTCTGGATGTTACCCTAGTCATACAAAAACATGTATTTGAGAAAAAGAAAAAAAACTGAAGCCCATTTTTTAATATACCATTTCAAACAATACATTAAGCCCCTGCCCACTGTGCACATGGTAAAAAAAAAAACACTGCACGTTGCACAATGCAACATTGCACGTTCCAGCCGCGCACATCATACATGCATGGTCGACTTTTCTGGAGGCATGTCAGATATGACACACGGCTGTGATTGGGCAACACACCATGGAGGCGGGGCCTTGGATCGGTCAATCCGTTGCATCAATTATAATACCTATAGAGTACCGAAGTGAATGCATCATAAAAAAAAAATTATGTGTGTAAAAGACATTAGCGCATGATTCAGCCCGTGAACCAATACGCGCGTACTCCATACGTTTGCACTACACTTCCCGGTTCAAAAAGACGTCACACTTCGGTACTCTATATAATATGGACCCAAGTTTAACCAAATTCACGCTTCGAATAACTCTCATCACTAAAAAACCTAATGTATGTATCGTCGACGCTTTTGTTTCTTAGACTAAGCTGGCCGACTACGAGCAGCTCGAGCGCGAAGAGCGCGTCAAGCGTCTCCAGGAACGCAAGAATCGTCGCAAGGAGGAACGCCGCCTCAAGTGGCTGAAGGAGAGAGAGGAGGAGGAGCAACGCAAGAAGGACGAGGAGCTCAAACGAGGTAAGTGGCACCGAAGGAACCTACCGAACCCTGTGTTGCAATGTGTCTTGCAAGCCTCACAGAAACCTGCGGAGAGCAGAAAATGGGGAAATGTTCATCTCTGGTGTGGCATTCTGAAGGTGGAGGGTTCTTATCCTTCTTTTAACTTTCCTCACTCTACTTTGAAATTAAATATGAAGTTGATAAAAAAAAACCTGTGGGGCTGAAACCCAATTGGCTTCTGAGATTGAGATGCTTGTTAACCTCAGTCAGTGAGATGAATCAACCTCATGAGGTTCAGTTGAAACCAGTTTGTCTGCTGAATAGACTTCTAATTCTGCGAAAGTGCCAGCAACAGATTCAAGTCACATTTCAGGCAATTTCTTTCTTCAACCTAATGTTAATTAGTGTGGATACAGATTTTTTTTGGCTTCCTCCGTTGTGAGTGCAAATTGAAATGTCTGTCAGAACATAGTGTGGAGTGCCATGGCCTCGTGGTCTGGAGCATTGAACTCGTGGTCTGCGGGTAATTCTGCAGGTTGTGGGTTCGATTCCAGCCTGGGGCTGTGGTGCGTGTGCCCTTGGGCAAGGTACTTTGTCATTCATTGCTCCTCCCCACCCAGGAGTCAATGGGTACCTGTGAGGGCAGAAATGGTTATTGTGATTGATTCTAGCTGCCTTGCACCGAAATGGCTGCATGGAGCTGTGCACTCCCCAGGGAGCTGAGATTGTCTTTGGAATGTTTCACTGGCCCAATGAGCAGGCGTTAAAATAATGTAAAGCGCTTTGATCTTTGTAAAAAGCGCCATGTATTAGTACCCGTTATAATTAAGGCTTGCAATTACACGTGCCACATCCCATAAACACTTATGATAACCAAATATTGACGTGGACTAAGTTTCTAGTTATTGAATGGCTGCTTTTGATTATCCTCCTCTGCAGTCCGTGAGGAAGAGCAGGAACGTCAAGCTGAAGAAATTCGCAAGAAGGTGGAAGCTTTCAAGGCACAAGAAGCTAAACAGGCGGCCAAGTAAGGAATCACTCTGAGGATGCGTAAAAAAAAACAACAGCTGCACGCTTGCCCAAAGCACATCATGCAACACGAAATCCAATGTTGCTTGAGAGTGAAAAGAGTTTTTTAAAAGTCTGTATGCCGTCATAGCCTTAAAAATACACGTTGAATGCAAGGTTGAGTTGAAACATGGTCATTGCAAGTCCTTACAAGTCATTGCCAAGCAGATCACTAGTCATGGAGTCTCAATTCCAAATCAAACCGTGTGACAGTTATTCCTTTGTCATTGTTGATTCACTGACACTTGTAACATGCCGTGCAATTTACTAGCGATTGACGTGTTATTTGACCAGTGATAGATTTGTAATACGGTGATTATAGTGTGACAGAGCAGTCATAAACATGTGGTTTGAAACAGGCTGTCGGCCGGTAGGAATAGGTAAACTGTCCCAGGTACGTATTAATAAACTTGATAACCACGTTCAATATTTTGCGTTTCCAGGCAGAAAGAGATTGAGGAACGAGAAGAACGGGAGAAGAGAGAATTGGAGCGTGGCATGGGCCCCGCCCGCGGCGGCCAGGCGGAAGAAGCCTGGCGCCGTCGCCCAGCGCCCGGCGACGCACCCCGAGAAATACAACGGGATAAGAGTGCCGCGGACGAGGGAAATTGGAGACGTGGTGGCGGTGGCGGTGCTAGGGAGGACAGGTATTAGTCAATCTTTTCTTTAAAGGTTTAAAAACTTCACTAATTCCTTGTCATTTTTGCTTTTTTTCAAATACACGGCCCATTGTGTGTTCCTTGACCCAAATGTGGATGTCAGGGCCCATGTAAAGGAAGAGTGGCTAGGATTTACATTCCTTCACCTGTCAAAAATGTCGCAAAACCAGGTTTTGGCTGAAGAAGGGAAAATTGATCTTGTGATTTCTGGAAAGTTCTTCAATTCCAATATGTGGAAGTATGCCTTTTGTGAAGTATCGTATACGTTTTGGTTAGGTGGATCGATTAGCTTTCTATCAAGACTGGATAGTGTTCTACATGTTTGATTTTTGTTTTAATACCAACCATTGCAGACCTGCCGAGAGTCAGCCTTGGCGTCCGTCCAGGGATAAAGAAGGGGAGAGGCCAGGGGTGTACAGACCCCCTCGCCGGGATGTCGAGGAAAGAGCCGAGCCACTGCGCAGCGAAGAGGCAAAGGAAGGGGGCATGGGAGGACAGGAACCAGGGCCTGAAGATGCGAGAGAGCCGCGTCGGAACCAGTACAGGCAGGAGGAACAGGAGGACGGGGAGAGTGAATACCGACGAGATCGACGCGACAACTATCGCGACATCCGCTTGGATGATCCCGAGTTCCGCCGCAGCGCTGGCATTAAGGATGAAGAGGATGAGCCTCGCAGAGAGCCCAACGAAGAGCGGGAAGTCCGTCAAGAGAAGAGGGGTCCACCCCCAGAGCGTCAGAGAGGACCGCCCCAGGAGGAACCTGCTCGTGAGCCCCGACGTGACATGGGTAGGGAAGACAAGGGTTATGGAAGGGATGACCGCGACTTTGGTAGGGATGACCGTGGGGCTAGGGATGGCCGTAGCTTTGGGAGAGATGACCGTGGTGGGAGAGATGACGGCTTTGGTCGGAGTGACCGCGGAGGCCGGGATGATGGCTTTGGTGGTCGGGATGATCGTGGCTTTGGTGGTCGGAATGACCGCGGATTCAGAGATGACCGTCGAGGCTTTGGGAGAGATGAGCGAGGTGGTGGTTACGGAAGAGATGACCGAGGGGGCTATGGGCGCAGGGAAGAGGGACGTTGGGGCGACCGTGGCGAGGAGAGGTCCTGGGGGAGAGACGGGGATCGCCCTCGCAGAGACTTCCGAGATGACCAAGGGGAGGACTCCGGCAGGAGCTGGAGAGGGGCGCCAAGGGATGACCGTGGTCCGGCCCGGCGGGGAGGTGATGACTGGCGAGGACCCAGCCGAGGTGGTCCCCCCGCTGAGATCCGGCGTGACAGAGGCCCTGGGCGAGACGAGGGCTCATCTTGGCGTCAGGGCGGGGAAGGCGGTGGGCGAGACCGTGGAGCCCCCCAGGATGGTGATAAGTGGCGCCGAAGTGCACCCAGGCAGGATGCACCGTCCGAATCCAAGCCACCTGTTAAAGAGGTGCGCCGGGAACCTCGGAAGCAAGAGCCTCCACCACCACAGGAGACCAAAGCCAATGACGACGATGGGTGGGAGACCGTTGTCAAACGCCGCTAAACATCCAATCACTAGAAGTAAATAAGTGGGGGTGTATTTGGGGTATTTCCAGGGGAAAACACCTATTCCACCCCTCCCAAAGCACGTTCATTTTAACCCACCTTAATGTCCTATTTTCACCATTTCTTCTCCAGATCAATAATGAAGCCATTGAGCGACTCCTGGATTTTTCTGATAATGAATCTGATCGTATTAATATAGTGCTGAGTGTACTTTGTCATGTGGAAATGTCATGACTGTACAAGAGATTAAGCAATCCTGGTTAAGATCCTTTCATACAAATTTCAGTTTCGATTTGTATTGTTCAATGAGCATGTGCTCCACCATTTTGTTTTCCTTGTGATTTAGTTGACCAGCTGCGATAGGAATGCCATGCAGTTTGAAAACTAAGAAATGCTGCATCTTTCCTCTCGTATGAAAATGTTTCCTTTGATATCACATAACTCGTGTATTTTTTATCAGATTGGTTGGCCCCACTCCTTATTTTCATTCGCATTTCGCATTTTGCAAAATACAACTACTTTAACATGTGTTGCTATTTAACAATATTTGGTGCTGAATTATTGGGAAAAAAACTTGTTTTGTTTTCAAATGTGCATTCTAACTGGGTTTTATCATGCTTGTCAAAGTAGTACGATTTCTTTGCAAGTATTTACATGTAAAAGTTATAATAGCACTAACAATTTCGATATTTTCTTCCTAAAGGCAACGATTTACCCTTCAAAGATTATTAAGTTTAATCTTTAACAGTATTTTGAGTTACTATTTCAGCAGTAAAAAAATTCACATTAAACAGCGATTAGAATGTTTGAAAGAAACCGAACCTTTTTGGTTCAAGTAGATAAGATACAATATAGCTTGGGACAATTTTAAATGGATATCTCTCAATGTTAGGAATAATCCTTCAAAGACATTTGAATCAAAGTCAGTAATTTGTGAATGTCATTGGTTGAAGTCGGTAATAAAATAAAACAACTTGCAGTCTATCACACGCTGTGTTGCTAAATGACTGTTTATTCTTGATCTGTTCCATCTTTTTACAATACCCTTTGCAAAGAAACTCCATTATAAGATGGGAAAAACTTATTCTTCCTCGAAGCTTGTACTTTATCATACACCACTACGTACTGGTTTATGATACTTGAAATGCAATTCCATGGTGCGACAAGGACAGAACTGCACTGTTTTGTTAAGGACGAGTTCTGAAAGCGAGTAACTTTTAATTGATCAAAATTGGGAATCATAATCACTTTATTCAGATTGAATTGGCTGATCTTCCCCACTTAGGCAAGCGAGCACTTGCTGACAATGAACGCTACTAAATCTTCAAACATTTCATGAAATGGCCGTGGTGGCTTATTTCCCCCAAAACTATACATGTACATGTACACTATTATATCGTTTACGGGCGTGGTAGGTCACATTAAAGAACAAGTCAATTTATGTGAAATTTTTAGATTCACGGCTGATGAAAATAAAGGCGGCCTTCCAAGCAACCTTTCCATAGTAATACGACATAGATTACTAAACATAAAAAGAGCCAGAATATGCCTAATAACATGCAAATAATGGATAAGAAGCACATGTTATCATGAGGCTTCGAGACCCTTTCCTTTAGGTTTTGCAGTTGAGATCTGAGTACGTCACGACAGTGTGAACAAAAAAGTGGCAGTTGTAAAATATCTCCCTTTACGACACGGAGCACCCTAGATTACATAACAGTCCGTCCACATGATCTCAATCGCCTGATCTGATAGCTCATCACGACTGCTTGACCACACCAACGAGAGCCGGTCGTAACGTCCGGCTGTGGAGCCGGTAGCCGATTTTGGTGACTACTGCGACCTCGCCAGGGTTCTTCCCTTCCATGGCGGGGACTTCAAACAAAGCCTCGTGGAGGTTGGGGTCAAACTTCTCCCCCATGGGGTCAATCCGGTGGAGATTGTGCTTGTTAAATACCTGGACGTAAACAGGGGGGGAAAAAAGGATAAAAACCGCTAGTTTGATAATCGTTTAAGTTGTTATTTTCATATCCTTGAACAGAGGGTGAATCGACGGACCAAATGAGCTCAGAAACAGTGTCTAGAGCACTTCTGAGGAATCCTTGGTTTCATTACCAGAAAGAAATTTATTTATAATGGGATAGCACTGTCCAGCTCAAAAGTGAGAGTCCCTCAGAGAGATAGGTACAAAAAGTATGCTAGGCTGGCCTTCAAATATACTACCACTTTCAACTTTTAGCTGCCAAATAAGCGGTGTCAAATTTGGAGTGGTCTCGCCTTTTGTTGTAAAGAACTAAACAAATTATGTGGCTGCCCTTTTGAACAATAGCTGTCACTATTCTGCAGCTATAACTGCAGAGTCCCAAAAGAATGCAGCATTCATGTTTTTTTCGCAAACAAATCTTTGTTGATGGACTTCAAACTGTGGCCATACTTCCACACCATTCCTTACCTTCTGTAGTTGGGTTCCCGTCATCTGCAGACCCTGATACAAAGTCTTCAGAGACCCATTCTCCTTCCTCTTCAGCTCCTCCTCGGGAACACTGTCCGTGGCCTTGTCCAAGACGTCCGACACCTCCAGCAGGTCTTTGCAGAAGCTTTGGATTGCGTACAGCTTGCTGTCGTCCAGCTGCCGTTTATATCTCGTCCGGACATTTTCCGTTTCGGCGAGCGCTCTCTTATATTTATCCTATAACAAAAGTTGTACAAATTTTTAAACATGATACATTTTAGATTATATCAATAGTATGCGAGAAGAAAATTGTCTAGTGTACTGGGAAAATAAAGGAAAATGTGAGAGTCAATCATTCATTGTGGACTCAAGGACAAGCAGTTTGTTGCCAAGACAATTTTGAAGTCAACATCATAGTTTTTGGATTTTATACCACTTTTTGCACCATAAAGTTTATTTTCATTATACTGAATTTCTTTTATCTAGTTTTTTTCCAACGTTCAACCCCCCCCCCCTTAACAAAAACCCCAGATAATGGCTTTATGACTGTTTATGACAGGCCACATAAAGCAAATAGCCGGCGACTTACTGTGACATCAGCCAGCTGGGCCTGTAGTTTCTCTTTCTCTTCCTTGAGCGTCTTCTCTACTGCACTGAGGTCTGTCTGCTCATCTGGTTTGCTGCCCTCTGCTGGCGGACTCTTGTCTGTTGGCTTGGTGTCAGTTGATTGAGAATTGCTGGCTTCCTGTGTCTCTGTTGACTGCCATTGTATTCTATGCAACAAATGCAATTACAATGTAGTTGATTAGTTGACAAAGCATTCCAAACTTTAGAAAGATAACATCCAATTGCAGAAAATAACTCAAGTCAATCACAAGTTTAACCACTGGTACAAAATTGTGTACAACCACAACAGTGGCATCAGGATATTTCTTCCATTTTACAAACAATGTTTCATTTACTGTAGTGTATGTACTGAATGGGGATTTAGTTATCCATTATTTTTAATCCACTGCAGGCCTAAATTGAAAAACCACAATTTAAAATAAAGTGTGTGTCAGCGATTGTGTAGTTAATTTAAGGGCCGGCGACCCCGTTCCTATAATAAGAGAACAAAAATCCACTTTTAGTGAAGTTTTACAATGTTTTACTTTTAGGTTATTGGACTCTTTTCCTAATTAAACTTTAATAACGTTACATCATGACAATAGTTAATAATAACAACATTTAGAAATGAGTGTTGAACTTGTAGATACGGGGACTGTTTTGAAATTTGTTATGGCAAACTTTGGGTTAATATTATAACAACAAAAACCACTCGTATTCAATACTGATGCACGAGTACACCATTCGTGCCATTGCTTATTGCCATATGCATTGCGTAATCACAATCACGTTCGTTACCGTCATGACCGTTACTGGTTACCGCACACAAATCAATGCATCAATCCGCACGTACGAATGTTTGCATTAAGTTGTCTTCTGACATTACGAAATCGAGGTAAATTGTAACAATCTAAGGATATAACATTTGTTTTACTATACGGTACCTCTGATTATTATTTTTACACAAATTGGCAGTGCTTAATCGTGGTAAAAGTAGACTTCTTGCGAGCGATCGTAGATGCATGGTCGTCGCCATTTTGGATATTACATCACCTTTGAACTCCCACAATGCTTTGTTACCCCGCGGAGTGATATGTTAAGCGCGATTGATTGATCTGCACGATAAAGAGATCGCGCCGCGCTAACACGCGACCTCTCGTTGGCGCAATTACAGCGATCAGCTATCGGGCGTAAAGGGCGCCGCCTGCCTGGCCAATCGCATAGCAGTTCGGGCGCTGAACTTTTGATGCATGATGTGGAAATGTGTCCGAACTCGACGAGAGTTTTTTTCCCTATATACCACATAGCCCCCCCCCCAGGACATACATTTGCAGTATAGTCCATGAGGTTGCCAAACTTTAGTGGTGACAAATCAGTTAATTAAGTTGTGTGAAACTGAGTTGGGAATATACAATCTGGGTATATTTGGTAAAGCTTTAATTTGAGGGTCAATCAATTCGTTTTCTTCTTCTTTTTAATATTTTTTTTTTGGGGGAAGGCGTGTTTACAGGGTGGCTGAGGGTGGTCGGGTTCTGGGAACCGTTGGAGGATGTGAGGTGGGTGTCAAACTGTCAATCAGCGGTGGCCGCAACACTTTTGAAAGCGGGGGGGGGGGGGGGGGGGGGGGGGGGGCAAAACACCGCCTGTGCCAGCCGGCCGCGGGGGGGGGGGGGGGCTAAACCTCATTTATCAAAAGGGGGCGCCAGTTTCCAAGAGTACGCTATTGTACGTGGGACCTACCAAGAGTGGGACAACCCCCCCCCCCCCCCCCCCCCCATAGAAACTTGGGGGGGGGGGGCAATGGCCCCCTGACTACGTTCCGCCGCCACTGAATGCAATTTGGGGCTCATGATAGGTAATGGGTTGGAGGTTTCTCGAGGGCTGAAGCTATTTTGACTTTTAAGATACAAGCCTTCGGGTGGCAGAGGCATGACAGGAACTTTAATGTAGAAAACTTGCAGCTTTGGGTCACAACTGGTGGCCTACAACTCGATCGGGGGAGGGGGTATTTTGTTTTGATTGTGCATGAAAAGTGAGAAAGACTCATAGTCAAATGCCTTTGTTCATTAGGTAGGAATTTGGGATACAGCAGGAAACCAATTAAGTATACAATCAAGCCAAGCGGTATACCCCAACAGCTTTATTAAGAATGCATATAATGAGGTATGGAACCGGTAATGGACTTTACTGCATCCTGGAACCGCCCAATTGGGCTACAAAGCGCGCTTTGAACGTAATGAACGGAAAAAACATCATTAAAAGTAGGGGATATAAACATCCACACAACTATCCTTAAAACTAGGCGTTTTGTGTTATTTCTGTATGATGCGTGTGAGCCATCTCCCCCCCCCCCCCCGAAGGCCCGTTTTTTTTTTTTTTTTTAGCTTAGTGAAGACCGAGACGTCGCAATGAAGGAAGGCACTGCGAACACCACCATAAGTTTTTCTTTAAAAATGGTTACAAGTGGTCAGAAATTGCCTCAGATCGCGCACCACAGAATCCAATTTTGTTTCGGGGCCCTTTTGAGTGGGCCCCGAACCCCGGTCCGTAATTATTTGGACCCACTTTATGCCGTGAGGGACCAAATTTATTTTTTTAAATTGTGCTCTGGATCCGCCCGTGTTAATCAGTGCTCCTGAAAACAAAAAGGCCAAGGAGATATTTTGCTTTGTGAAATTCTCTGATGAAAGTGAACACTGAAGCTTGCAAACCACTGCAACTTGAAAGCATCAACAAATTTCAATTGCGTAGTTTCTGGCAAGTTTTGTTGCAAAAGCCTTATCTGCACAGTCTTAGGAGAATCGATTATCGATAATTATATCGAAGGTCAGTCTTGATTGTCAAATGATCCAAGTGCAACAAAAACATTTGTAATATACAGATCATAAAATACAGCAAAAAGTAAGTACAAAAAAACAAACAAGAGGAACGAAAGAACAAGTGCTGCATATGCGCGCGAGTCTGCGTGCTAGCATGGCGCGACGGCGCGATCTTCTGATCGCGCACATCCACCGATTGCGCTTAAAAGTGAACACAATTTTAAATCATTGTGACTCTAATTTACACCTTTTCAAAAGTACTTTTTAATAGAAATTGCTGTGAGAAATGATTTTATTTGCTAGTTATGTTAATTTATAGGGTTTTTTTTTAACGAAGGAGAACGTTTCTGTCTTGCTTACGAACTATTTTAGTGCGAACTGGTTTCGACCACTGTATGCGTGAAGTGGCCTGGTTACCATCCAATCCCGTGTAAACATCTTATGCTGCCCGAATTAGAAAAGTTGTTTATATTTTTCATATGTTGTCAAAACTGTTCATATGTTCGTCATAATATGACAAGGACTTAACTAAACAGGGAGAAGAACCATTATAAAGATGTCAGAGGTAAGGAGACGGGAGATAAATTGAGTTAATTTAGGTGTTTGCAGCTCCAGCGAGTAGCGGCGACCAGCACTACAGCATTTGCTATAGGCCTAGGCCTAGCATTCAGTCATGGAAATGGTGAATTGGTGGATCGTGTGTTTGGACATTTTGGTCTTTGGAAATTGGAATTTGGATTTTGGTGGGACATTTGCATAGGCCCTTAAGGAAAAAATGATGCAACCTGACTTTCGTAACAATATTGGAAATGTTTCTTGATCCCAGATTCATCATTTTTGCAATGACACTTGACAGACCTTTTAAAATTTAAGGCAAGTTCATTGAGATGATGAAGAAAAAAGTGGCGTCAGGTTGCAACATTCTTTCTGCCCTTAGTTTTATGGATCGCAGTGGCTATGAAATCCTCCAAACAAAGCTATGAACATGACGAATCACTAAGAAAATAAAATGAAATCAAGCGTTAGGCCCTACTTCAATAAAAAAAAAAGTAGCTTTAAAAACATAAAAGTGAAGATGACGGCACTAGGCCCTATTAAAAGAAAAAAGACAGCACGGATTCGATCCCGGACCCTTCGGCATTATGCTAGTCCAATGTAACCAATCCAGCTACAAAAGGCAACGCGGGCTGGTTCAATTTAAAGGGCAGTTAGATTCGCTATATGGTGTTTTTGCAGTGCCATAACAATAGCACTTGAAAATCACGTTACGGCTGCGGGAACGATAGCTGCTACGCATTGATATGAAAAATCTACATTAATATTCAGGATTTTTAAGTTGTGCCAAAAGTCAGTGCATAAGAATTAATACATTAAGCCTGTTATCCATATTTGTTTTCTAGCCAAAACAAGTCCTGTTATATGAGGGAACAAAACATATGATCTATGGTGTTTTTAATGAAACAAAAAAAATGAGATTAATGCAAAAGACTGTTCAGGCCAGATCCTATGTTCTGAATATAGACAAGGCAAAAAAACTGGTGTTAACAAAGTTTTTTCTGTCAATCAGGAGAAGAAACCCGATGGGGAGAGTCCCAGCAAGGACAAGGGGGCGATCGAGGACAGCGCCTTTGAGGCCCTGGAGAAGGACTTCCAAGAAGTCCTGAACGAGTTGATGGGCGACCGGAGCCTGGAGAAGTTCCGCGTGGAGTACGAGAAACTGCACCGGGCCCTGCGCAAGTCCCACGAGAGCGAGAAACGACTCATGACCAAATGCCGGGAACTGAACAGCGAGATCGTGGCCAACTCGGCCAAAGTGGCCACAGCGCTGCGGCTGTCGCAAGAAGATCAGACGACCATTGCCCAACTGAAAAAGGTATTGTCATCCACCAGGGGTCAATTTGCATAGTGCTCCTAATCCTAAGCCTACAAATTCACTTAGTATGGAATAGTTTTGCGTAGCTAAACGAGGTTACCAGCCGAAATATTGTTTTATTATTATTGATTGTAACTGGTTCCCAGCTTCTCTGTTTGTTCAACAGGAAAATTTGCAAACCATTATTTTTGGCAAAGGAGTTCCATAAATTCAGTTTTTGTGTGTAACGCGGCACTAAAATATTCTAAATTTGCCTTGAATTGAAATTCAGGGTGTTCATGATGCCGGAGTTTTATGCTTTGGCATTTCACAAAATCTTGGGTCCAAAATAGCATATAACGATGTGCAAAAATGCTTTGACAGCCCTCTTGGTAAAACCTTGCCTTCTGCCGTTAATATATTTATAAAACATTGCAGAAAAGATCACCCTCATCAAGTAAAAAAAAATTGGGTGTATTTAAAAAAAGAAAGTTTTCCTTGTTTTTCTGTTAGTTTTGAAATTTTGAGTCGATGATCGTTTGTACAACGAACTGAAGTATCATATTGTTATAAAGTTCTAAACAATGTAACATCACCTGTGTTTTGTATTCCTCAAAAAAAGTTTTCATTCTTCAATGTTCTTGTTTGTCCAACCAGGAAATCGAGAGGGCTTGGAAAATGGTGGACGCCTCTCATGAGAAAGAGCAGAGGGCTCGGGAGACCATCCAGTCTCTCAAGCTGGAGATCGCCAACCTGAGCAAGCTAGTGGAACAAGGAGCTGGCCTCACCATGGGACAGGAACACAGGTCGGTGTCTTCCCCAAACCATAAGCGTGAGCTCGTGGTTAGCCATAGTTTGACTGATTTGACTTGGCAAGTCATACCGTTCACACTGATACCAGGTTGTACATGGGTCAACTGTAGATTTTGGAGTTAATTCTACCTGGGTAGAGCCTCTCAACGATAGCATGACCAGGTTTGGATTTTGACCCATGCAGGAGACCGTGAAGAATCCATTTTGGTTTCTTGCGAATTGAAAGAAGTTCCTGAAATTTCCGTGTCCGACCATGTTCCAAGACGAAGATTTTAGAGAGTGCGAAAGGCCCTCTAGATACATCCAGTAGTTGTATTTGAAGTATTTCAAATTGATTGTTTTTTTTACTCAGTGTGAATGAGCTGTTGAAAGCCAAGGAAGAGTTGACCAAGGAGCGAGACGAGCAGCTAGCGGAGATTGTCAAGCTGAGGGAAGCGCTGACGGAGGCTGCCAACGGCCAGCAGAAAGCTGAGCAGGACAGGTCCGACGCAGAGAACAAAATTGCCGAGGTATGTGTCTCCTTGTTAGACGATCCATTGCACACGTGGGAACAAGATGTGCGCCTTTCCAGTGCCTTACTGGACATTCCAGATACACACATCATATGCAAATGCATGCACGTTGGACATTCGTGCAAGCATGTTGGATTATAAAAAAAAATATTTTAACATCCCATTGTTATTGATTTTAACAGCTGGCCCAGGACATTCAGGTGCGAAGCAACGAGGCCCAACGTGAGACGCGTCGTAAGGAGAAGCTGGACCGAGAGCTGAAGCAGTCCAAGGTGGAGCTTGAGCAGAAGGCTGGAGACATCAAGACCATGCATCTACAGACCCAGCGGTACAAGGACGACATCGGCAGGCTGGAGACACAGCTCAAAGAACAAAAGGTGACAAGAAAGATAATACTCTCTGATTTCTGAATCCGGATGATAAATCAGGATCATTTCTTCCCCTCTCTCATAAGTTCCAATCTTTTTTCTCCCACTTTTATTCCCCTGGTCCCCCTGGGATGCTTCCATGCCTGAGCATCCATGTCCGAGCGTCCACCACATTTGCCTTTTTTAAAGCTCTGAAAACGGTATGAACTACCAACAGTAGTGTTGAAAACCACCCCTGTAATCACAAAAGTGTGCAACTCTGATTGATCTGTAGGGCAATGCCATAAAATCCTATTCTCGGCGTACGTCCGACCACATGATTAACAGGGTCGTTAAGGTGGTGGTCCCTTAGTTTGGTCTGTAATTGCTTTTCACACATTGGATGTCACATATCAGTGATGTGTCACATTCACTTTTCCCAACAGCAGCTCATTAAAGTGTTTGACATGTACGTCGAATTTACGCTTGTCCTATAACAAAAAAATTATGCTGACTGTAACACTTTAGTGACCATAGTAGCCAGAAGCAGCCAGAACTGAAGTACAGTTGCCACAGCTATCATCTTCAACTCTCTGTTTGAAGGTTTTTTTTAAAAAGGAGCTGATCTACAGAAGATTACATAAGACTACTCATCACCATCATTTCTGTGTCAAATCCCAAAATCATTTCTCTGCATAATTCACTACCGTTACCGTTACATTTCTGATCCATCGCAGATTCTGTTTGAGCGGACCGTCAAAGACATGGACGTCCTGAACCAGCGCTTCAGCAAACTGCAGCAGGACTACGAGCAGCAGCTGATCAGCTGTGACGGCCTGGCACAGGAGAACCAGACCAGGGTCGCTGAACTCAAGGTCAGTCACCTTTAACATTATTCAATCTCTGCAACTGTACAGTTTACGGCCGCTCCATTATCATTTGATCACCATAGTTTAGACGTCGAGAGTATGGTCATCGGACATTGGATATCTACGAGCCACTTCCAAATTTTTGTCAAACATGTTTGGTACTGAGCCTGTAACTTTTCAGTCTCTGCAATAAATAGCCCTCTATTGACGTAGGAGTTTGATACAGCAGAGATTTAAATAATGGTCTGATATCAGACTTTTACCAAATTAACCATTTCGTAGTCCCAAACGAATTTTGCACTGAAAATGCATTTAGAGTGCATGAGGCAGCTCAAAATTTAGTGTGCTTAGGTCATTTTTTGAACAAGATTATTTATGAACAATATTTCTTCATAGGCCATACACAACTTGTCACACCGAGAAAGGATCAAATGGTATTTTGACCCATGCTCAAAATTTGCATAATATAGACCTTCATTTTCTTCTGTGTGTGAATACTCTAAGTTATATTAAGTGAAGTTTTTGGGGTCAATTTTTCAGACTCTGCTTTTCAGAACCACCCACCCTCTATCAAACTGCCAAATTATCTAGATCGCAAAAAAATCCCTTTCAAAATCCTGAGCATTACATTATCGTAAATATATTGTTTGGTTCAGGCTAAGGAAGACGAGATTGGCGTACTCAAGACGGACACCATCCGCCTGACCAAGATGCGGGAGACCATCCAGCGCAAGCTGCGCAACGTGGAGGAGCAGAAAGGAGACACGGAACAGCAGAAGGAAACGCTCAAGTCACAGATCGTAGCTCTGGAACGAGGTGAGTTCCTGGTTTCATTTACAGTATGCACTCAGGGCTTCAACACCTGAACCCTAATGCACCAGGGGCCTATTTCATGACGCCACTATTTTATGGCATGGATGTGCTAACGGTTGCGAGTGTATGGAGATTTCTATTATTAAGTAACTATTTCCTCTGTGGTACGCGTGCCTTTTTGCTGTGCTAACTGCTTATGGTCTCCGTGAAATCGACGGAGGCTCTGTTCACAGAAAATCGTGTGCTTAGCAGCGCCATGAAATTGGGCTTAAGCCCAACCCTTCCAGATCTGTCAACTTGCACAAGGAGTCTGTTTTAACACCGATAACGTGGTACTCCTTAAAAAGAAATCAAACAAGTCAATAAAAAAATTATTTACTGGTCATGTGCTAAATTATTTGTTGACAATTTACTCTGATTTTCAACAATTTTTTTTGACAAACTCTGGCTCGTGATTGCACTTTAGGAATTTGTATTTAATAAACATCGAGCTTTGTCACCGTGTCGAAGAAAATGAATATTCATTCTTTGTAAAATAGGGCTCTCATATGACAGCATAGTCATTTGAATCTTGTATTGGTTTTTTTTTTTTTGCCAGTGAAAGGCAAGAAAGCCCAATATTAAAAAGTAGATTTAACAAGTTTAGTGCATGCTGTTACAGATGAAAAAAATCTAAAAAAAAAATTGCGAAAAAAATCTGCACTTTTTAACACAGATAATACTGTCACCTATACATTTTAGAATCATATTTGACTTAAATAACAATAATTACAGTAATATTGTTAAACTTGTCTCATCTTCTTTTGTTGAGTTGTTCTGTAGAAACAGTGAGCTTCTTTTCATCCATGTGCCCGTCTTCCTTTGCCTTTCTCCAGAAATTGAGAGCAACAAGAAGCAGGTGGAGATGGACCGCAAGGCCATCGACGACCTGGTCCGGGAACGGGACATCCTGAACAAGAACCTGCTCAAGGCGGCCAACGCTACCCAGAAACAGCTGAACCTGGTCAAGCTCCACGAGCAGTCCAAGAAGAACCTGGAGCAGGAGATTCAGAACTACAAGGACGAGGCCCAGAAACAGCGCAAGATCATCTACCAGCTGGAGAAAGAGCGGGACCGCTACATCAACGAGGCTAGCGATCTCACCCAGAAGGTAGGAAGTTTCACTGTTACTCTTTAGTTTGTTTGTTTCGTACATAAAGACATGTGTGTGAATGTTTGGCCTAGTAGTTAGGGTTTTTGTTACTCACGATTGGGGGTCAGGGGTTCAAATCCGGCTGCTGGTGTTGTGTCCTTGGGCAAGCCACTTCACCCCACTTGTCTCCACCCAGAAGGGTGGTGGAGAAAGGTTTTTAAAATCATTAATAGATTTTTATGCTCAACCAACTGATACAAAGTGAACCAAATCATCACTCCCATGCAAACATACGTTCTGTACCAAGTTGTCCTTGCAGTCAAAATCAGTTAAGTGACCGTTTTCAATAGTTACGATTTCCCAGCCTACATAATTCAGGATTGACTGGATGTGACTGTTTATGTAACTTGATACACCTTTGCTTTAACTGTGAGCGATTGATAAGCTAGCTGTGCCCACAACTTGTCTGTTCATGGTCTGTTGACTGAATGTGATTAGTCACAGTGCAGTGCTTTGACTGTTTGTGACTGTTTAAATAGTAGGAGGGTTAATGAGAATTAGTAAATCATCACTGATGAGTTCGCTAGCTCTTACCATGCATTTCCCACTTCCACCCACCCCAAAAAAACCCAAAAGATTGTTGATAATCCTTTATATCTGTTGTTTTTCTACAGGTACTCCAACACATGGAGGATGTCAAGGTGCGAGAGATGCAGATCTTTGACTACAAGAAGAAGATTGCAGAAGCCGAGACCAAACTGAAGCAGCAGCAGAATCTGTACGAAGCCGTGCGCAGCGACAGGAACCTGTACAGCAAGAACCTGATAGAGTCACAGGTAAACATCTTGACTCTGACCCCATGCTGGATGTCAGATACTGCTACTTGTGATATGTTGTGTCCTTGGGCAAGGGGCTTTACCCAAATAGGCCATATTTTTTTTGAACAATTGAGGGAGTTGTGACATTATTTTCTGGGTACAAATAACAGCAATGTTTACTGTAGTAATATTTTTTGTAATGAACTTCGGATTTGTAGCAATATGTAACATCAATAACCCTGGGATTCACAAAATGTATTCCAAAAATGGCATCATCACAGCATTGTAATTTGCTTAAAAATATGGCCAACTACCTCTGAAATGGTAATGGCATTAGCTGGGGAATAACCTGTCATGGACTGGCATCCCATCCTGAGGGATTAGAACAATTTCCAGTCATTTGAAAAAAAAAAACTGAAGCTAATCACAGGCCAGGTTGTTCTTATTAGCTAGTGAGAGCCTTAACTTTCTCTGTTAGGTTTATTAACGATAACACTGGCGTGTTGATAGTTAATCCTCCAAATTGTAACTGTGTGGTGTTACTTAATCCCCTAAGCCTCCTTAACCTTTTGGATTTAATTACCCCCCCCCCCATCCTTCCCAACAGGATGAGATTACTGAGATGAAACGCAAGCTGAAGATCATGAACCACCAGATTGACCAGCTCAAGGAGGAGATCACGGCCAAAGAAGCTGCACTGGTCAAGGAGCATCTCGACCACCAAAGGTAGGAGTTCTGTCTTGTCTACCAATCCTGTCCGTACACCTCCCTCGTCACCAGGGTTCCCCCCGGCTTTTGGGAGTGTAAGATGGTACCCCAAATCAACGGCAGACCTTAAATTGGGCCGGCGTTTGCATATTTTTTATCGAACTTACGCATGCTTGTAAGATACAAGCACACACGACTGCTTGATGAATTTGTATCAAAATTATCCGATGTAGCTTTTTTTGTCCAAAGTGGAAAAACTGGTGCCAGAAAGTTTCGCGCTTACTGCTGACCGAGCCCAGCAAAACTTCAAATCTTAAATTGTTTCTTTTATATATTTCTGTTGATCTTTTCTTGTTTTCATCTTAGAGTGGAGAAGGAGAAGGAAGCCTTGAAGGGGGAGCTGCAGCGCATGAAGCAGCAGGCCACGGAGAGCAAGGCCTACATTGAAGCCCAGGAGGCCGAGGAACGCAAACTCCTCAAGATCATCTCGGAGGCGGACGCCGAACGCCTGCGCCAGAAGAAAGAACTCGATCAGGTATGTCTATGCTATACCAATATTTTTGTTCAAGGTGGATTGCTAAGCGGGAAAACAGTTGTTAGCCTCATAATTTTAAAGGCATATACACTGCAGGATCATTTGCAATTTTTGCATTTTGTTTCTTTCCATTAATAACGTCACTGAAAATGCATAGAAGCATGCTCAAATGCTAACCTGTTGAATTTTCAGCTCAGTGGATATTATTTTTTTCGAGAAAACAGTGAAAAACCATGCACAAGCTTTTGATCACAAATCATGATTTTCATCAGAATGTCCAAAAGTCGGTCAATTGATTGTTGGAAATCAACTACATTTTCCGATTTTTTCTAAACGACAGCAAGTCAGATGGAATAATTTCACGGGATAATTAGTACCGGTTGGCATGTCTTGTAATACAACTATGGGGTACCGAAGACCCGATAGAAAGCGCCCGCTGAAAGGTCAGAATCTTGAGGTCAAGACGCAGTCTTGTTTTGCATAACTAATCACCGAATCTGTACGCATATCATAGACGTTGCTTTGCAAGCCTCTTTTCCATAGACTACATAGGGCCCCGCCGCTAAAACCAATAACTGCGTGTTTATTGTAACCCTAACTACCTGGATTTTTGTTGCCGAATTGCCGACTTCAAACATTTTATTACCATATTAGCCGAAAAAGTTAAAATAGGATATATTTTGCAACATTAAAAAAAATCACTGTTTCCTTTAATAGCTTAAGTTTAATTGAACTGGTTAATGAAGCACAACCAATGACCTAAAAAAACAGCTGTTATACAGAGCTGCCAACTCTCCCCGATTCTGCAGAAAGTTCCCTGAAAATAAACCAAACTTTCCATGTTCTGATGAACAAATTTGAAAATATCCCTGATTATGGAAACTTTTATGTTGAATGTAAATACCTTCCTGCTTGTTGTACACAATCTCCCTGATTGCAAGATGCAAATGTTGACAGCTCTGGTTATATCCTAAAAGGGGGGGGGGGGAACAACAGGGACAAACGTCCCAAAAATAAATTGAAAAAATAAAAGCATTTTTCTGCCTACCTCCCTGGATTATTTTTCAAGAAAAATTCCAATAAACTCCCCTTTTTTGGGGGGGGGCGCCCTAATTACCCCCTCAACACTGACAAGGAAATATGTACAATACATTTAAACACCACTGCCATTGTGTGCCCTTAGAAGGACACTACAAGTTCATCACATATTTAGACGAACATCAGTTGGACATACTCATACTTTGTAAAAAAAAAATCTGAAAACGCATGCTTCACATAATTTGACATTTATTATAAACTCTGGGCAATCCGAGGGTGAGAAGCTATGCAGCTGAACGATGTATCTTGCCTTGAAGCTATAAACAATTCAATTAATGTTCATGTATTCATGTACAGTCTTATCACCGTGGTTACAATCATGAAGCTGTGCCTGAAGGAAAAAAAAACGAGAAGGACGAAAATGCAAAAAGGAAAAAAAAAAAGTCATGTGGAAAATTTGCAAAGTTGTTCATCTTGGCGTGTGTTGCCACAAGCGTTTATTTCCACTTGATTGGTTGTTATTTTCTCCTTATAATTTTTTTTTTTTTGCACATTGATAAAACATAGGATAGAAGAGAAGGGAGTCATGCATAAATGCATTAAAGTTACCGAGAGAGCGCCAATCTGTCCCCTATCTTATCTTGTTAATCAGTTGGCTTTGGGGCACACTCAAGTCATGAATATTTATTGCAAAAGAAAAAAAAAAAAAATGAGAAAATAAAGTATTTTCTATGGAACACTCTCTTGTTTTGCACCCAACGATTATCAAGTTAATCAGTCCCTCGTTTCTGCAATTGCTATCAATCTATTTATCTGGAAAGCCCTTTTTTGTCTCTGAAGTTTCCACGAATCCGCTACGGAGACGGTTTTTTCCCCTTAGCTCCGAGCGACCCAGAATCTAATGACATAACAGTTCAACGACCTGCCATTCCCCTACTTGGTCTGTTGTGAATTGGGGAGACGCGAAATCATTTAAATGTCACGATGTCTGTTTCTAAATTGTAGTATTGCGAAGACGGGGTTTACGTATAGAGTATATCAAATCAGTGTTCTAGCCTGACAACTGTGCCTGCGTAATCTAGAAATCTTAAAAGCTTTCTATTTTCCCCCTAAAATCAATGATTGCTCATTGCTTGTTTGCGCTTGTACCTGCACTGATATCGCGTGCCGTATCTTGTTTTGTGTCAATTTGAACAGATATGCTTCCAGTATACCCCGAGTTGGAGAAGAATACAGCCCCAATCTGCCACATATACGTATGGCACACCCTTTCATAATGTAACTAAAACACTTGATGTAATGGAATGAAATAATTACAAATTCAGAATCTGTGCATTGGCCAAATTGCCCTATAAGTTCTTAACTTCCCGATTTGCTGCATACTAGAGATTAATACATTTTGGGGATTCCAAAACATTATTTGAATTTCAATTTTAATTGCATTTTTTTTTAAAAGCTTGTGAAAATATGAAAGGAAATTTTTAAAACTTTTTTAAACCATTGTATTTTCCCTTCAATTTATCTTCGAAGTTTGTCCATCTTTACTTTGTAAAATCTGAGCAGAAAGATGCAAGCTTCTTGAAAACATTTAACAAAGTATATCCACTCGGGCTGATGATTTTGGATGATGGGCAAAATATTCACTTGTCGGATCAAGTGTCTTGACGGCAAGCATCGCCGGTAACCTGAACCTCCCAGTTTCTTGTAATCCAATTCTCACCCTGACCTTGAGGGTACCAGCTATCAACGATCAAAGTCAGAATGACGGAAACTGTATAAAGCTGGTTTCATTGCGGTGACGTTAAGTGGTTCTTTATTCCTGTTGATTGCGGCGAAGCAGATCAAATGGCAGTATCCCCTGAGCTTAAAAAAACTGGTAATTCGACTCGCATGGGTTGTGTTATCGAATTCATATCGGCTGACCGCTGTGGAAGTTGCCAGGGCATTCTGAGGACTTGCAATAGTCGATCTTGGCTTATAAGCTCAGTGCATCCCCCCCCCCCCTTCTTATTTGGGAAGATGGCCCAGCGCAGCTATCACCAGCCCTGAGAGCTTTCCACGGTCTATCCAACAATCTATACCTAGCTGTCAGCAATATTGGTATTGATCCCCTTTATCAAAACCTAGCTCTTGCGACTAGCGCTAATTGTTCCACCATCTAGAACCTCCGACGGACAATTGAAAGGGTCATTGACTGCTATAACTTCGCTTGTTCATCCGCAGTCCGCTGAATAATAAAATGTGGTGCTTATAAATATAGTGCTTTATATTATACCAAAGGTTTCAAAGCGCTTCACAATTATTACCCCTGTTGATCAGACCACAAGACCATTTTTTGCAGCTGTTTGAGATCAGGGCAATCTGGTCTCTACTTTCACAGCTACCCGTCTTTACTCCTTGGGTGGAGATAGACAATTGTGGCAAAGTGTCTTGCCCAAGAACACAAGCAGCATACACTGTAACCATTGGACCGCGATGCGCCACATTCAACCCAACAAAACTTAACTCGTATTTGAAAATACGAGTCAGAGATCTTTCCCAGAGATTGGCTTTCACACCGAGCAATGAACTACTCTTCAAGATTCACAACATGTTTGTACCGTTGGTTTTGAAACCCCCCTCTGCCCCTTGGACATTTTGAAATCAAAGAGATTCTATCATGAGATACGATCTCCATTGATTTTTCCACCGAGACATTAGATCCATGAGTGTTTGCCCGTGTATGCCATCCCAGAGTAGGCCTGTGACCCTCATTACCCTGGGTCCTGGCAAAAGCAGTCTAGATGTAGGAATATAGCAGTTGATACTCCACAAACTACTTTATTTCAGTTCAGCATCGGTAGATGTGTAACATATACCAAAATATTGACCATACATCAGGCCAAAAAAAAAAATAAGTCGGTCTCTGGTCAGCGCGCGCGTCGATTTTAATCATGCGTCTCAATCTTTTTTTTTTCCAAAATGTTCTGCGGGAGCTCCAACAGTGCCCTCTATTGCCGCACCTCCTCAGTTTTTTTTTAACCAAAGAGCACCAAGGAATGGGAAATTGCACCAAGGCAAATTGATGGAGAGCACCAACGCAAATTATGGAGGACACCAATGTACATGAGGACACCAAAAAAGCAAAATATTACCCCACCTTGTCTGTACAATCTAAGCTTGAAGAAAAAAATAAAAGCAAAAAAAAAAAAAAGCCGCATCCCCACATCAAGTCCGGAACTTTGGTCTGACCAGAGACCGAATATTTTTTTTTTGGCCTAATACTGGATATTTGACAATGTACCGGTACGTGTACTGTTTGCTACCAGAGATTATAAATGGATGTGATTAATGAGAATTGTACACGGACAATTCCAGCGTAATGAAAAGCAATATAAATGCAATGTCCTTGACAGAGCCAATTAACCATGATACCTAATTAATAATTCAGAGACACGATCCAAACCCTTTAGTGTGTAATCTCCCTGACCATTACTAGATGATGGATGTTCATGCATAAGATTTGAATAATACATTTTCCGGTTGATTCACTGAGCTCTTAAAAGCTCCGTCACGGACATTGCCCGCATCCTGTACTCCCAATTATCTCAGAGTACATGTACTTGACCATTTTGTTGGGAATTAAAGAAAATATGCTTAAACAAGTTCATGTCTGCCCACCCCGACCCCCTCCATAAAAATAAAATAGTATCTTAAAACCAGTTTAATCATTATAAAATATCAAACTTATTTCTCTCTTTTTTTGGGGTCAAATTTATCACATTTATGGATGAGAGCATAACATTTGTCATTACTAGAAAATACGCAAGTTAACTTTGAATATTAAGGATAAATGGGACTGTTAGTTTAGAACCAAATTGCTTGTGTGTTTAAGTTGTGAGTTAAACGGTTCATCTGCGCTCTCTGATATGTTTCACAAGTTCTGCCATTTTGTGTATTTCTTGTGTGGAACCGGTTTTTTT